TAGCAATATTTCTTACGATAACTAGGTGGAGCAACATCAAATTCGTTGGAGGTTAGCGCATGATAACTATAATGGTGGGCGTCGATGGTCTATCTTGACATCCAACATGGCAAAGAGCATCAATAGTGTTTTCAAAGGTATTCGTTCACTTCCTATAGATTCTCTTGTGCAACATACTTATTGGCGATTGTTGGAGAAATTCGATAAGATGAGATTGGAGACAGTAGCACAAATCAGAAGTGGTCGTTCACAGTACACCATCAAATGCGAAGAGATGATGAAGCCATGGTCACAAAAGGCAGTTGGACATTCCGTGACGGGGGTTGATCGACGTCAAGGCATCTATGTAGTTCAGACTCCTCCAAACAATTTCAACATGACGGGTTCGAACACACTGACAGTGCACTTCGACGACAACAACGGGGCAGGATTTTGTACTTGTGAGAAATTTCAAGAAAATAAAATTCCTTGCTCTCATGCCATTGCAGCTTGCAACCGAATGGGGGCTAATACGTATAGGTTTGTAAACGATGTCTACAAGCTTGAAACAATGTTGGCTTGTTATGGGACAAGTTTGACACCTCTTGGTGAATCTAAGGGATGGAAACAACATAATTGTTCTATTCTCCATCCTAATGTGCACATGATTAGGAAGCCGGGGAGGCCACGAGTTACAAGAATTCACAACGAGATGGATTGGCCAAGAGAGGGTGTATCACAACAAGTGTGTAGCAACTGTAACCAAAGTGGCCATAATGCATCAACTTGTGTTGGCCAAGCAAGTGGGAGTGGTAGCCAGCGAAGAGGAAGCGGTGGCCAACGACGTGCGAGAGGTGGTGGAAGAGGAAGTAGTGGTAATAGACGTGGTATGTAGTTTGGTCGAATTTTTATCAAATGTAGTAGTTGTTATGGTTTGAAGTAGTTGTTGTTTTTCAAGTAGTTTTTATGGTATGAAGTAGTTGTTGTTTTTCCACTTGTAGGTTGTTGTTGTTTGGACTATTATAAAATGTCTAAGTTGTTGTTGTTTGTTATTTGTTGTTCCGAATAGTTAAAGTTAATATTATAATACATGAAATTAAAAATAGTCCACATAAAGATCCCAAAGAAGTACATAATAATAACATAACAATCATAATGGTCTCACTAACGACCACCACCACGACAACCACCATGCTGATCCACTAGATGGCCGCCAGTACCACACCTCTCTGTGTGCCTGAACGTCTGGTGACATCTCCATACCACTCCATATGCTTTGAGTGGTAGGCTAAAACCTCCTCACTGTATGGAGTCATCGCTATGAACTCATGTTAACGGTTCCTAAAAGCAAGCGACTCTCTGGAGGCGTGTACCAACTACTGCCCACACGATGGCCCACAAGTAGTCTGACGAAGGAAAAACCTAACCTCAGCCTCAGGATGTGGTGGATGAGGCTCACCCTGCCTCATGCCAAACTGTCGGAGCACGCGGTCTGGATGGCGCCACATCACCCCTGAAAAGTAGATCAGTGGCACTACTGCTCGAAATGTCTCAGACTGTATCACACTACCTCTGAGATGATGTGCTCTCTCAACGTAAGGTTGCCACTACACACAAAAAATGGTCACTTTATTACTCATAAATCTAAAACAAACAAATGAAAACTATTCTATAAAATGAAATGTTATATACTAACCACCATTGTTTCCATCTCGTCAAACCACAGCTTGTACTGGAATAGCTGGTCACCATACTAACGAGTGTTGACCGGAAGCCATCGAACATCACAAGGGGATGCGTCCTCGGAAATCTGCACCCTCGTCACTAAATATCGCAGTGTCAGATACGGGAATCACTCCCACGCCCAGAGCTGCAGTAAAGGGATCCATCCACCAAGGTCACCTTCTAGAGAAGTGGAGGAATGCGTAATGTGCAAAGCCGACCTACCCATCTCACGGTACAGCTAGGATAAAACGGCTGCTCCCCAGGCGAACCGTCCATCTCTCTACCAATCCTCTACCAAAAGTAGGTACTGTAGGTGCACCGTAGCTCCAGAACGATCCGGGAACAGTACACCTCCCATCAGAGATAGAGCATAAGCTCGTGCAAACTGCTCTGTAACCTCCTGAGATGCATTTCCCGACAGATGATTGAATTCATCCCTCAGCCAAACAATCCTAATGACACCGCCAGAAAGATCATCAGGAACTCGTCCTAACAGTCTCAAGCAGATCTCCGACCACTCTTCATCCGGTATGTCTACTATGACTGCATCATCGTCGATCGCTAGACCGGTCAGTGTCACAACGTCCTCTAACGTGATCGTGACCTCACCAAACGGCAAGTGGAAGGTCGACATCTCGGGTCGCCAACGCTCTACGAGCGCAGTAATCAAACTCGCATCAGCATTCATAGGGACCAGTGGCAAAACATTAGACAAGCCCGCCGCTCTGAGATATGGCAGATAACGCTCATGGTACGTGACTAAATTGGTCGTACCTCGAACATGGTAAGGTCGATCACCAGCCTATAGTGCACAAAACTTATATTAATTCAATTTCACTCGTGATAATTCTAATTTCACCTAGTAAAATCTAATCTATCTAATCTAATATAATCTTAAATTATATAATTTCAAAAAATTTGATACGTAATCTTATTCTAATTTCAGTACAGTTCACCTAGTAAAATAGTCTAATCTAACTAGCTTATTAACTTTAAAAAATAGTTATCAAATACTTACTTCGTTTATCCAAACTAATTCGATACGATGTTGACCATGTCCCCAAAGAAGTAACGGATCGACCGGATTTGGATAAATTGTCGCAGGCGGTAGTCTCATGGAATAACTGTCCATAAGCCTAGGAACTGCAAAAGCAACAAAAACATTAATTAAAAACAATTAAAAAAAGTTGTGCCGGCGAGATTCCGACCGGCGGGAGGGAGATTCTGGTCGCCGCCGGCGAGATTCTCACCACGAAAACGGCCGCCGCCTCCACGACCTCGCCGACCTCTCCCCATGCCTCTGTCGGCGACTGCTTCCTCGTCGTCGGACGACATCTGCTCCGTCGAGGTTGAACTCAGGCGTTGCTAGGGATGGCAATGGGTCGGGTTGGGGCGGGTTTTGCCAAACCCAAACCCATGGGTTTATTTGCCAAAAAAATCCGGGGTAAAACCCGCTAGGTTTGAAAAACTTAAACCCAACCCAACCCACTGGGTATCCGCTGGTTCATGGGTACGCATGGATTTTTGTGTAAAAAACTACAATAACAAGTTTCTTTCAAAATAAAAGTCTAACATAAATTTTCTCATACAAATTATCCATACAAAAAACACCAATCTAGAGCACACAAGCAAACCGCAAATTATCAATACAAATTGTTCAAAATTAAAGATGAACATCTATAAACAACATGATTAATTGAAAACTTCTTCCTCGTCAACTAAACTTCTTCAATCTTCACTCTTTACTCCATAATATCAACTCTCATTATACACAATTTTAAAGAATAAATTAGACATGTCTCCACAAACATAAAGAAGATTAATTGTTTAAGGAAAATATTTTGCTTAGAATATTAAATATACCGAAAAAATTAATTATTTAGGTGTGGGCGGGTACCATGGATCGGATATACCTAAACCCAAACCCAACCCGTGAATAATGTAGCGGGTTTAAACCTGAACCCGGCCCAAAACCCGTCAACACGGATTTTACCCGCGTTGACCGGGTCGGGTCGGGTAGGGTACCCGTGGGTTCGGGTTTTGTTGCCATCCCTAGGCTCTACCGCCTCTGTCTGCAGCGGGGTTGGTCTGCGGCAGGGTCGCCCTCCTTAGCGTTGTGGGGCGACGGCGGCGTGGTGGTGGGTCTGGTTTTTCGGACGAGCAGGTTGGGGGGTGTGGTGTGGGAAGGAAGAAGAAGAGGATAAGAAAGGAAAGGTGGGGAGGGCGTCACGCGGTTTAAAAAATTGAGGGATGGCGGGGGCGCTTGAGTCTCCAGCGCCAGGGCCTAAGACTGGTTTTAGGGATTTAAAAAGCGGCCCCGTCTGGGTCTCTGGCGGCTGCGCCTATAACCCTACACAAATACACAATGTTTGTGTAAATACTTTTTAATCCGCCATATTGATGGTAAATTAAAAAAAGGTAATATTTATTTCATTAACCCATTCATTGCAAGTCTCCGCATTATTCCGAAGAAGCTGCAGCCTATTATTACTGAACAAAACTTAGTCGGCCGACTGATGTTATACAAGAAAGGAAAATGACAAGAAGACCGACCTACTCGAAATTTCTCCCGAAGTTTGGATGATAGTTTTGAACTCAAGAAGGCATTTTCTTTTGTGAACAATGTACTATCATTATATATTCTCGTATCTACATGTTCACATGCAATATGAAGAAGGTTCCAACAAGTTTATATAAAAAATATGAGAATATATTAATTAAAAAATGAAAGTGACAAAATAATTGTTCTTAGTAAATCGAAATTATGGCCAAGTAATTAGGTCCGTCAATGGATGGGATGGGGAATAGCTAGCGCTATCTCTAGCATGACGACATCATGTATTACGTACAGTAGGATGATCTCATCAACTTTTTTTTTTTTTTTTGTCAATGGAGGTATTATGTTTACGACTCCAATTCGACAATAATCACGAGATTTTTTTAGGTAAAGGAAACATACATTTACTTTTATACATTTATTTTTATAATTAGGTTTTATTGAAAAGAATCGAACTTGTTGTTGTATTATTAGTAGAACAACCCTTGTTTGTGACTATCAGGCAAAGCTGTCTAAATGGTTTAGATTCTTGTGTCGGTTTAACAAGTGAATGGTTATACGGATGATACAATTGGTTTGTTTCAATTCTTGGGGAGAGTGATTTGCGTGGCCGGGGGAGATCCAACCGCATAACCTGTTTCGGTTATTGTCAGTTTAAAAAAAAATATAAGAACGTAAAAATCGTTAAAACCGAATGAATTTAATCATATATAAAACATATTTGAAGAAAATTTATTTAGAATCTATGTTCATATTTAAAATAAAAGGTGATATTTCAAACAAAATAATAAATATCAATATTTGAATACGTCAATATCTAAACATTTATACTTGATTCGAACAATTAAAATAACTATTTAACTTTTACATGAAATAAATAATAAATTATTTATTTTTTAATTAACTCCGCTAAAACAAAATAATTTTCTTTAAAGATCGTAAATCAATCATATCTGTCATATTGATAGTGTTCAACCCGGTTTCATGACCCCTACCGATTGAACCTGATGCAATTGACCAACATTCCACCCGCGTGACAAGATGACTGTCATGTGTTTATAAATGGTTTGTGAAAACGGATTCAAAATTTTGCTTGAGATTTACTGTAAAAATACTAGTCGGTCGCGTTCATAATGAAAAATAGTATGGTCCTTTTTTATTTTGTGTATTTTTCCCCCATTATACACAGAAGGAAGAGATGTGTGGTGTCAATGGATCGGCGCGGACGAATAACCGACTCTTATCTTTTTCTTGCAGATGTTTTTGGAACGAAAACAATATCAATTAAAATCTATAAAACAATATCCACAATGAGTTGCTTGGGTCACAAGGTATCGTCTCTGTGACAGAACTATTTGGGAGATTACTCCTACTGCTGTTGGTTCTTGGATATGGAAGAGAGTTCTTAAGCTCAGTGACTCTGTTCTGCCATTTATTTCAGGGGCTGGAAGTTCTCTCAAGTGGGAGGGTTTGACTATGTCCCATTTCTCAGTTAAGAGGGTTTGGCAAACAATGCGTGTTAAAAAACCAGAGGTTGAGTGGGCATTCTTGCTTTGGGGAAAATATTTTATTCCTAAGCATAGTGTCTTGGTGTGGCTAATCATTCACAACCGCATTGTTACGAAAGACAAATTATTTAGCTGGGGAAAGGTGGTTGATCAGACTTGTGTACTCTGTTCGGGAGGTGCTGAGACTCGGGACCATCTATTTGCTGAATGTTCTTATTTCCAGGCTGTGTTGTGTGGGGCTTTGTCTGATTTGCAGGTCCCGAATTGTACTGAATGGTTGCTGAGCTTGCAGTGGGCGGTTTGACAGTGGCAGGGGAAGAAAGGTTTGGCTGTTTAGTTGGAGAAGTTGATTTGGGTGGTTGTGGTGAGCAGCGTGTGGAAGGAAAGGTGTTCTCGGGTTTATGGTGATAGGCGAGTTTGCTCTCCCTCTCAGTTGGTTGCACGGATTAAGTCGGAGATTTGTTGTTTAGCTTCAAAGAATATTGAGCTTAGTATAGCCATTGTGAGTTTTTATAGTTCTAACATAATAGTTTTGAGATGTAAACAGTATACTTGAGAGGGCCCTTGGTTTTAAGGTGTCCTGGTGCTTTAATGAAATTTTTTGATTGCGCATCAAAAAATATCCACAATGAGTTTATTTATTTATTTAGGAAATATGGAAACTGGGATGTAGACTAATAATGCAGGTGACAAGTTGAAACGAGACTTCTATTTTGCCGATAAATAATTAGTTGAAATTAAAATAAGGAAAATGAAAGGAAGGTGGGAACTAGAACTCTAGAAGGCAAGCAAGCACTATAAATAACCCTATATCAAGAAGGAAAATTTCATCCCAACATCCTTCTACCTCATTTCCGCTGCCTGCCTGCCTGCCTCTAGTTAGCTTTTTGCCATAAAAGGAAGAAGAAAAAAAAGATGCCTCTAGTTACCGAGACCGTCACCTTCAGGATGTTCTCCTCCTCCAGCGACGTGTGGAGCGCCGTCACCGCCGCCACAGCTGTCTTCCCCATGGCCATGCCCAATCTCTACGCCGGCATCAAGCGCAACCGCCGCGATGGCTTCACCGAAGGCTCTATCCGCGACATCACTTTTGGCCCTGGTACGCCTTCAGTACACCTATCTTAATTTTGACTCTATAATTTATTTAATACATATAATTAATTAATTTGGTGTAACCGGCGGCCGCAGCTTACAGCAGGGTAGTGGGATCGGCGAGGGAGGAGATCCTCGAAGTTGACCACTCCAACATGACGGTGAAGACGACGATGAACGACGACGGAGCGTTCGTGCCGCGGCTGTTCGACAGCGTCGACATCACCACGGCCGTGTTGCCTTCCTCCCGCACCAACCTCAGGGCCACGGGCTGCACAATTACTTGGTCATTTACGTACGACAGTGCCAAAGGTAACGCGGACATCAACAACCTCAAGAATGTGATGCAGACTGCGTTTCAGGATTTGGACGACTATCTCAGGAGGGGACGCGGCAACCGCCCGTGAAGAGGAGAAGAGCGAAGAGTAAGCGTCGACTTTTATTAGTCCACCATGCGATGGATATTGTTGGCTACTTCTTCCTACTTTAAAGCAATCGTGTATGTATAATAAGATGGTCGAGTACTGTTCTCGTTCTGTAGACCATCTTTAATTAGTTTGTGTTGGTTTGGATTTGGAATATTTGATCGTCGTTGTTGTTTCTGTATGTGTGTGGTTTCGTTTGATTTCCCTGTATTTCTTTCCATGGTATTGTTGTGCTTGTGTCTGTACCTGAAATAATGATGAAGGAGAATGTTACGCGTTGTGCAAGCTCCCATCCTTTTTACACGTTCTCCTGACTTCTTTCACAAGTCACAAGTCACAAGTCACAACCACCTCCCCAGCCACATCCTTTGGAACCCTCACTTGCTAGCACGCAACAATCAGGTCAAAACATGGACCAATGTCATAATTAAATGGATTTTCAGCGGAACCATTTTCAGTTGATCGTTCTGACCAAAATCGATATGTAGTAGAGGCGATATAGAGCAAAAACATGGACCAAAAATGATGTTGATCCAAGTTCCAAACCAGAATATATTGATTTGTGCCGAAAAATTGGTCAGCAGCATATTGATTGGGCCGCATCTTTCTCACTAAATAACGAGGGGGCGAATTAAAAGCGGTTTATTTTATAGATAAAGGTGATATATGTTTGTTTTTGTTAGAATATGACTTGAATTTGATTTGAGTTTGTTTTGTGTTTTAGGCCTATTTTGTTTGGGTTTGTGTTTGAGTTTTGTTTGACCATTTCCTTGTATGTATGGGAAAAAGTGTTTGGGTTTCTGTTTGAGATTAGGAGAAGAGTTCTATAAATACTCTTCATCACCCTAGTCTGTAGTAGGGGTTAGTCAGGGTTAGTTTGTTTGGTTTGTCCGTTTGGAATTTGGTTTGTAACCTGTACTCTCCTCAAATCAGTGAAATTTGTCCCACCTGCTCGTGGATTAGCTAGCACACATTGTGTTAGTGAACCACGTTAAATTTGTGTTCGTTCGTGTTGGTTTGGATTATCAATTGCACGCTTCTGTTCTGACAAGTGGTATCAGAGCCGCTTTCGATCTTTGGGTTATTTGAAACTGTCTTGGCGGATTTTGGATCGCGCTCCTGGTTGATCGGCTGCGCAATCGACAAGAGAGCTAGTTGGCGGATCAATTGGAATTTGGAAGCAATTACTTGAATTTATTGTGTTCGGTAATAGCTTGTGGTTTGGGGAGAATTCTGTTTGTTTCCCTTGGTGGTGATCAGGGTTTTCGATCACCAAGGATGTTTGTTCTGGATTTGAAGATCGAGAAGTCAATTTGGAGTTGCAGGCTTGGAGTTAGCAGTAAATTTGATGTTGGTGTTATGGACAGAAATAACACCAAGTTGGTTCTGAATGACAAGTCTCAATATGGATTGGACTTGCCGAATGGTTTGAGTTGTTGATCGCCCTTAGGGGCATTTGGAGGCAGGGGAGATTCTGGTACAACTGATTTGGAGGAGCTTGGTACGTCTGACAATTTTGATTGCATCTGAGTTTGGCAATTTGCATCGCGTTTGGTCTGGCGATATGAATCGCATTTGGATATGTCTGGCAATCTTGATTGCGTTTGAGTTTGGCGGTTTTGATCGCATTTGGATACGTCTGGCGATTGGTATCGCGTCTGGGTACATCTGACAACTTTGGTTGCGTTTGGTACATCTGGTATTTGACAGAGAATTCAAGTCAAGGTGGAGATTGTTAGAATATGACTTGAATTTGATTTGAGTTTGTTTTGTGTTTTAGGCCTATTTTGTTTGGATTTGGGTTTTGTTTGACCTTTTCCTTGTATGTATGGAAAAAAGTGTTTGGGTTTCTGTTTGGGATTAGGAGAAGAGTTCTATAAATACTCTTCATCACCCTAGTTTGTAGTAGGGGTCAGTCAGGGTTAGTTTGTTTGGTTTGTCCGTTTGGAATTTGGTTTGTAACCTGTACTCTCCTCAAATTATTGAAATTTGTCCCTCTTGCTCGTGGATTAGCTAGCACACATTGTGTTAGTGAACCACGTTAAATTTATGTTCGTTCGTGTTGGTTTGGATTATCGATTGCACGCTTCTGTTCTGACAGTTTTAGTTATAAGGGGCTACTTGAATAATTCATATATTATACTATCTTTTTGTTTGGCCAATTTACATATTTGATAAAGGTAAGGTACTACTTGAGTAATCCATATATTGGATCAAGATAGGGTGCATAACCATGGGTTATGCATCCATCAATAATCAAATCTGGACCCTTCATTTAGAAAATCCAGATCTAAGGATGGAGAATTAAAGATCATTTTTATTTTCTCTAGCTTTCTTAATCGGCTCATATCTTTTTCGTTTTAACTCGGATTTTAATTTTTTTTGCACAGGTGGAACGAGTTCATCGTGCTCTACAAAATGAGATCAATTTTCAATATTTTTTTAGAACAAAAAATTATGGCCTCTCGGTACCAACTGCATACCATATGGTATTTTCTTCATTTTTAATTCGTTTTTGAAAACGTTTGCACATAAGGGACGAGTTCATCATGATATATTGGATCTACAAATTTCTGGGTGAACAAATTACAGGACCAAAAAATACCACACAATACCATATAATACCACCCTGGTACGGGGTGGTATTATATGGTATCTTCATCGTTTTTAATTCGTTTTTGAAAACGTTTGCACAGAAGGGACGAGTTCATCATGATCTATTGGATCTACAAATTTTTGGGTGAACAAATTATAGGACCAAAAAATACCACACAATACCATACAATACCACCCTGGTACGGGGTGGTATCTTGTGGTATACAATGTTAAAAGTCGTAAATGACAATTAATATATTTCTACTATCATGTATTCAACCATCCTACAGTCTTTGTTTGTTCATACCACCATGGTACTTTTTTCAAACCATAGGTATGCTTTTATTTCAATACTAGTCAATACCATATGGTATAGACTGGTAAAAAATGGCTCAATTTTTTTTGTTCGAAAATATATTAAAGTGGATATCATTTTGAAGAGCACAATTAATCTGATCTAACTGTACAAAAAAATTAAATTTCGACTTAAAATGAGTGAGAAATCATCCGTCAAAGATTAAAGAGGGGAAAATTAAAGGCTTTCAGGAGAGAGTGGATGCTGATGTCATGCTGATGTGGACGGGTTACTCATGATTCCTCACCACAAGGTTACTCACCGGATCTGCTCCCCATATATTATACTATCTTTTTGTTTGGTCAATTGACATATTTGATTTCGGTTATTAACTATGTTAATCAATAGATTTCACTACTTAAATTATTTACATCTTTCATTTTTTTAATTCACCTTTTAAAAATGTTCGTCATCTTATGCATACGAATTTAATGCATATTTTATGAGTAATTAACTAATTGTTGGTTAAACTCAATAAAAAAATATAATACAGCGCTAAGTCAATAATTTTTTTGATCTCATGATTGCAATATGCAGATTTTATGAGAAATCCACTAATTGTTGGTTAAACTCAACAAACACAGAGCACTAAATCGATGATTTTTATTTGTTAGTGTATCAGTACATGGTTTGAGTTAAGAAAACATTTCATTTACTTAATCAAGAAATATTAACTCTTGCCTATACTTATCATAAAATGGCATTGAAAATTTTCAACATTCAGCATACAAACAAATAGTAATTTAATTATTTAATCTTGACTCATATCCTCAGTGGAAGTATGTAAGTCTTAGTGTATTATATCAAGATTTTTGAACCAAGACACTCAAATGTGTTATGTTATATAATACACTTGAATCTGTCATTTTGAATAGTACTTAGTCTAACTACTTAGTCTAACTGAAACAATAATATTTGTTATTTGCCTTAAATCATTAGTAAAATTTCTTATTGAAGAAAATTGATCTCTGTGTAAGTCTAGACCCTAATTCTCTAAACTTTAACCCATAATTCTCCAATGATTTGAATTTTGGACCCAAAACTTAATGAGCAAAATTCTACACCCTAATTGTGTTAAATGTAAATCCTAAGATTAAAAAAAATTATCATTGACTCTAATTGAATTAAGATCCGGGTTTAATTCGCTATAACAAAGATTTTCCTACGTAAAGATATTTAAGTATCATTTGCGATACAAATCTATCCCTGGGTAGAATTAAGGAGGATGAATCAATGTTGAAATGGAAAAAAGTTAACAAAATTATACTATATATTATTGAAGGAGATTATATGTATCAATTTTATAATGTATGGGTTTTTTCTAAAACTTTTTAAAATAAAATTAATTTTTTTCTATATTTTTTAATTTGAGATGCATATTCAAATGGGGTTTTTGTTCCCATCAGGGGCAGACCAAAGTGGATGATAGGGGTGTCCCGTGAAATCTCTAAAATTTGTGAGAAAAAAAATGAATTTCCAGTATTAATTTGAGTGTGAGAAAACAAAAAACAAAAAAAATGGTATTACATGTATTTCTAATCTATCACACCGTAATTATTAGTAAACATCTTTTTTACTTGACTACAATACACTCATTTTTTGTTGTAATTTTTTCATAACTGTAAATATAAACATGTAGCCCCCTTATCCCAAAATTTCCAAAGCCTAAAATTTAAACCCACAAACAACCCCGGCCCTTATTCCCACTGCATTTTCCCGATTTCATCCTGAGGAGTTTGGTAAGCTTTGTAATTCCTTTTTTTTTTAGAATTATTATCATTGGGTTAAAAACGATGATTTATTTTGGAATTAAAAGGAATTGATGAATTATCGGAGTTGACGATGGAGACACAATTGAATATATCATACTTATGGGTCTATTTGTTCCTCCTAAGTTATATCGATTTTACTGGTTTCAGCTCCAAGTGTTTTGAGAGCTTTTTCGGTATTAGGTTCCATCAAGAAAAAATTTTAAAATCGAATAGGGGATGAGTTCGTGAAAGATTGTCGAGTGGAATATATTGAAAGAGATTTGTTCAGCACCGTAGAGGTGAATGTAATTTTACATTTTTGTCAAAATATGATAACACGTCGTGGGTTTTTGTTGTACCTTGTGCTAGTCGGATATTTTTTTATTGAAAAGAATTTTAAATATCATTTTAGTTTTTAAAAGGAACACTCCTATATAAACTATTTCGATCCGTCGGAAAAAAACTAATTCAACTATTGACAATTGACATTAACCTGATACCAAATCACTACGACTACAACTTGCATGACCCATTGTCATTCCTAACAGACCTACCGACTTAGTGGTTCTAACTTATATGTTACTTTCTTAACTATATCAAGAAGCACTGAAGAAGTTGACTGACTTAAGCTAGCTAGCCTCATGGTAACAAATTAAAACACCTACGTGGCTACGCAACAGCCACTTGCCAATCTATATATCTAGCTATCTACTTACTTAACATATAAAAAATGAATATGGACCCCAAGTAGCATTATTTCCTCGACGGTGCACCTTATCCTGAATTTACTCTGTGGGATCCATTTCCACCTTACTACATTGATGATGCCTCTCTCTCAGAGTCAGAGTCAGACCTAGACAGTTGTGGTTTAATACGACCCAACAAGGCAACAACCGTCGGCGATTTACACAGCCAACAACCATATATACGGCTTTCATCAACTCGCCGACCGACCCATTTCTCGGTAAGTAGTATAAATCCATTTCCATGCCCTCCAATCTAACCATCCAAGCGTAAACACAGTTACCCACATACACTCATCTCATTTACTCTTTAACTCCCATTCCGAGAAAACAATGGCGAGAGCTGGGACTCTGGAAGTGGACGTGGAGATCAAATCCCCGGCGGACAAGTTCTGGGAGAACATCAGAAACTCCACCACTCTGTTCCCCAAGGCCTTCCCCGACCAGTACAAGAGCATTGAGGTCCTCCAAGGCGACGGCAAGGCACCCGGCTCCATTCGCCTCTTCACCTACGCAGATGGTATGTATGTGATATTCAAGTTTTAAAGAGCAATTTAATTTACACACTAAAAATTTTACAGGGAAACGAAAGTATTTTGGTGACCTAACTAAAAACTGTAAATTTTTTAAGTTTTAAAGATTTTGACTGCATTGAACTTCTGGGTTTACAGGATCTCCGCTGGTGAAGGTGTCGAAGGAGAGCATCGACAGCGTGGACGAGGCGAAGAGGTCGGTGTCGTACAGCGTGATCGAAGGAGATCTGCTCAAGTACTACTGCACTTTCAAAGGCCACATCGTGGTTGCTCCAAAGGAGGAAGGTTGCCTGGTGAAATGGACGTGCGAGTACGAGAGGGTGAGCGACGATGTGGAGGTTCCGCACGTGATCAAGGACTTTGTGGTCAAGAACTTCAAGGAAGTTGACGAACTGGCTCTGGCGGCTTAAAGAAGAAGAAGAAGGGCGCGCGGCTAGTTGTTCCGGTCCAGAAAGCTGGGAGATCTCGTCCGAGCCGTACTATTATGAAATGGTTGTTTGTTCAATTGAATAAGCTGCTTTTGCGTTGTCATACTCATAAGTCATATGCATTTGCAGCTCGATTATTATTATTATTATTATTATTATTATTATTATTATTGATTATTGATGTGACTTGAATCGGACTATCAGCCGCTACGACTGGTAATCGGGGGTCTCGATATAGTGAAACTGGCTCTCTCTCGCCCGTGGACGTAGCTAACACACATCGTGTTAGTGAACCACGTAAATCGTGTGTCGTGTTTTCGATTCTCGCTTTCGTATTCTTGCTTTGTCGATTCCTGCGATTTCCCGATCCGTAGCAGCGCGTTCATAACAAGTGGTATCAGAGCCGCGACTGGAAATCATGTTAGGGTTTTCGATTCAGAAGAATGACGTCGGTGAACATGGAGATCGAAAAGTTCACGGGGAAGAACAGCTTCGCTATATGGCATATCAAGATGCAGGCTTTATTAAAACAGCAAGGGCTGTGGGGGCCGCTGTCTGCGAAACAGAAGAAGGCAGCCGTCGATTGATGAGTGGAATACCCTGGAGGAGAAGGCCCACTCGACCATCATGCTATCGTTGTCTGATGACATCATCATTGAAGTCGCTGCTGAGAAACTGCCGCGGGCTTGTGGTTAAAGTTGGAGAGTCTGTATATGACGAAGTCCTTAACCAACAAGCTGCATCTCAAGCAACGGTTGTTCAGCTTGAGGATGCATGAAGGTACGCCTTTGAGGGAACATCTCGAACAACTTAACTCTATTTTGCTGGATCTGCGTAATATAGATGTTCAAGTTGATGACGAGGATGCTGCCCTAATCCTGCTGGTTTCTTTGCCGAGTTCATATGAGAATTTCGTTGACTCTTTTATTGCCGGTAAAGAAAGCGTGTCATTGGAAGATGTCAGGTCTGCTATCCATATGAGAGAGATCAGACATAAGGCGTCCGGATCTGGTACAGGTGGTGAGGCATCGGGTTTGGCTGTTACAGGTGGAAAGGGAAAGAAGAAATCTGGTAAAGGGAATTCGAATAAGAATTCCAAGTGTCCCGGTCCACAGCCAGGTGATGCTTGTCAGAACTGTAAGGAAGTGGGGCATTGGAAGTACAACTGTCCCAAGAGAAGAGGGCAACAGAAGAAACAAAGTTCAGTTGCCGTGGCAGAAGTGAACAGTTCTGAAGACGATCTCGCCTTGGCTGTAGATGAGAAGGCACATCGTGGGGATGTGTGGTTTCTGGATACTGCAGCCTCATACCATATGTCTCCGAACAGGGATTGCTTCACAACCTACGAGCAGATAGATGGTGGTAACGTGGTCATGGCTAATGGAGCTGTCTGCAAGGTTGTTGGAATCGGGTCCATAAATGTTCGGACACATGATGGTTCGTTCTGTGCCGTGAATGATGTCAGGCATGTTCCACGAATGACAAAGAACCTGATCTCCTTGAGTCTACTCGACAACAAGGGTTTTAGTTTCAAAGGAAAAGGTGGAGTTGTGTATGTCTGCAAAGGTTCAAGGAAGGTGCTGAAGGGCGTGAAGCGTGGGACCTTGTATGCATTACAAGTGTCTGTGTTGTCTGGTTCTGCTGCAGTTGCATCTTCTCAGGTTCATCAGGAAGATATGACCACTCTCTGGCACATGAGACTGGGGAATATGAGTGAACGGGGGATGCAAATTCTGTCGAAGAGGGATCTTCTTTGCGGGCACAAGATGCAGAATTTGGAATTCTGCGAGCATTGTGTATTTGGGAAGCTACATCGCAGCAAGTTTTCCAAGAAGGGTATCCACCGGACGAAGGGGATACTAGATTACCTCCACTCCGACTGTTGGGGTCCTTCACGAGTTGAATCCATTGGAGGCAGCAAGTATTTTCTGTCTATTATTGATGATTATTCAAGATTTACTTGGATTTTCATGATGAAGCAGAAAAGTGAGGCTTTCACGAAGTTCAAGCAGTGGAAGACATTGGTGGAGAATCATACCGGGAAGAAGATCAAGAAGCTCCGAACGGACAATGGTCTTGAGTTCTGTAATTCTAAGTTCAACGAATTTTGCAAGGATGAAGGGATTCCCCGTCATCGGACTGTGAGACATACAACCCAGCAGAATGGCGTTGCAGAAAGGATGAACAGACGTTGTTGGAGAGAGCACGGTGCATGCTCTCTAATGCTGGACTAGAGAGAAGATTCTGGGCAGAAGCAGTGAACATGGCGTGCTTCCTGATCAACCGTGGACCTCATACAGGTATTGAGTTGAAGACTCCTTATGAGGTGTGGTATGGTAAGCCTGCTGATTACTCATCACTTAAAGTTTTTGGGTGTCCTGTTTATTATCATGTGGATGAGGGTAAACTGAACCCAAGGGCAAAGAAGGGTGTATTTGTGGGTTACGGAGATGGAGTTAAGAGATTTCGAGTCTGGTCACCTTCTGAGCATCGAGTTATACTCAGTAGAAATGTGATATTTGATGAGAAGTCTATGTTTAACCCCATGTTGAAGGTTACTGTTGTTGAAGGTAGCAAGAATGTTGATAAGCAGGTGGAGCTGCAAACTCTCAATGAGAGTGAGTTTGAGCACCAAGGTGGAGAAGATCAACATGATGAGGATGTCTCTGCAGAGCCAGAAAGTTCAGAGTCCAGTGCACGAGCTAAACAGTCTATTGCTTCTGGTAGACCGAAGAAAGCGACTGCAGGAGTACCTCCATAGAGGTATGGGTTCGAGGATGTGGTGGCGTATTCATTTCAGGTTGCTGAGGAAGTGGATTCAGGAGAGCCATAGTCCTATAGAGAAGCAGTTTCGGGTGGTGAAGCTGATCAGTGGCTTGCCGCAATGGGAGATGAGATGGAATCCCATGACAGGAATCAGACTTGGGAGCTAGTCAAACGACCACAGGGAAGAAAGATTGTTACAAACAAGTGGATCTAAAAGAAGAAGGAAGGAATCACTTCTAAAGAGGGCATGAAATTTAAAGCTCGGGTGGTTGCACGAGGCTTCTCGCAGAGGGAAGGAGTTGACTACAATGAGATTTTCTCACCAGTGGTCAGACATACTTCGATCAGAGTGCTACTAGCAATAGTGGCACATTATGACTTGGAGCTCGAGCAGCTAGACGTGAAGACAGCTTTCCTACATGGAGAGTTGGAGGAAGAAATCTACATGACTCAGCCAGAAGGATTCGAGGTTCCGGGAAAAGAAGAATATGTTTGTAAGCTGAAGAAGTCCTTGTATGGACTTAAGCAATCTCCGAGGCAGTGGTACAAGAGATTTGACAGTTACATGCTTGAGCTGGGCTACAGCAGAAGTCCATATGATTGTTGTGTGTATCACAACAAGGTGGAGGATGGTTCGTTGATCTATCTTGTTCTGTATGTGGATGATATGCTCATAGCTGCGAGGTCAAAGTCTGATATCCAGAAGTTAAAGGGGCTTCTCAGTGTTGAGTTTGAGATGAAGGATTTGGGAGCTGCTCAGAAAATCTTGGGTATGGAGATTTACAGGGACAGGTCGAAGAAGAAGCTCTTCTTGTCACAGAAGAGCTACATCCAGAAGATACTGTCGAGGTTTGGCATGTCTTCAGCAAAGCCCTTAAATACTCCTAGTGCTTCAAATGTTCATCTATCCTCAGCTTATGCACCGCAGTCAGAGGCTGAGAAGAGTACATGTCGAGAGTCACATATGCTAGTGCAGTAGGTAGCTTGATGTACGCTATGGTATGCACTAGACCTGATCTTGCACATGCTGTTAGTGTTGTCAGCAGGTTTATGATACAACCTGGGAAGGAGCATTGGCAGGATGTGAAGAGAATCTTCTGGTACCTTAAGGGTACACCTGATGTGGGAATTAGCTTCGGAAGTGATACAGAGTGCTTGGTGTCTGGGTATTCTGACTCGGACTATGCTGGAGATGTTGACACGAGGAGATCAATGACCGGTTATGTATTCACTCTTGGGAGTTTTGTAGTGAGCTGGAAGGCAACTTTGCAGTCGGCGGTGACATTGTCTACTACTGAGGCAGAGTATATGGCGTTGACAGAAGCTGCTAAGGAGGGAATATGGTTAAAGGGACTGGTTGGTGATCTGGGTCTACATCATGATCAGGCAGTGGTGTATTGCGACAGTTTGAGTGCAATATGCTTGGCCAAGGATCAAGTCCACCATGAGAGGACTAAGAACATCGACGTGAGGTATCATTTCTTGAGGACAAAGAAGAGGATTAAGGTGAAGAAGGTTGGCACTGCGGATAATCCTGCTGATATGTTCACGAAGCCGGTTCCACATGGCAAGTTCCAACACTGCTTGGACTTGCTGAATGTCTTGAGTGGATGACTCCGCCCTGCGGGGCATTCATGGCGGGAGAGAGAGAGAAGGAGCAGAGTACATCAGAGATTTCAGAGGAAGAGGATTCAAGTCAAGGTGGAGATTTGTTGATGTGACTTGAATCGGACTATCAGCCGCTACGACTGGTAATCGGGGGTCTCGATATAGTGAAACTGGCTCTCTCTCGCCCGTGGACGTAGCTAACACACATCGTGTTAGTGAACCACGTAAATCGTGTGTCGTGTTTTCGATTCTCGCTTTCGTATTCTTCCTTTGTCGATTCCTGCGATTTCCCGATCCGTAGCAGCGCGTTCATAACAATTATTATTATGGTTAGCTCGCATTTTGGCTATCTAATGCTTGCTGTCAAGTAATTAATCGATTATTGCACTATCACATTTGGAGTCAGGAATTAGGAGCTCCTACGTAATAAAATAAAATTTTAACAAGGGACTCCCTGAATTGACTTGACATCATATATTATGATAAGTGAACTAATAACATATGAGAGTATCTAGATGGACTGAATTACATATTATTAATTTTTATATTTATTTTGATAGTTGGTCATGGTGTTAACCCACAAATTAGACTAGCCATTAGACAGGTTGATTACTTTTTATAATAAATTACTCGTAAATAAGGAAGACACTAACAATAAATTTGATACTTCTCACTTTATCTCCTATAAATCCATCTAGTATTTGAGAGTAAATTTTTTTGGATTACTGAGGAAGGTAAACGACTCTCTCTCTCTCTTCTTTATCTCTCCTTTCTCGTTTCTCTAATTTGAAACCTAGATTTGATGGCCGCCTCGTCGTCGGCAGGGATGTCGGCAGGCGAGGGCTCCTCATGGGCGAGTCTGTTCTCGGTGGCACCGGATAAGCGTCTCACCTACAGGACGCCGGAGAAGATTAAAGACGGATTTCGAATCCCGTAAGTGGTTATGAAGAAGGGCGCTGAACATTGGAAAGACTCGTTGGTGGGTCAATTCATCGGGAAACGTCCTCAGGTGGCGGAGCTATAGTCATGGGCTAATCGATTATGGGGGAGAGACGGTGTGGTACGCGTTTCGCGATTCGGTCCTAAGCTTCTGGTTTTCCAATTTCCTTCGGCTTCGTCGTGTGATTGGTTTTTCAAGTCTGGTCCGTGGCATTTTATGGGAAATCCTGTCTTCTTTCGTAAATGGGAGGTGGGGATACAGCCGGTTGCACCAAGAGTGGAGACGTTGCCGATTTGGGTTAGAATTTAGGGATTACCCCTTGAGTATCTGGGTCAGGATGGAATAGAGTGGGTTGCGAGCACGCTGGGCAAACCTCTATGGACATATCATAAGACGAGATTTGGGGATCAGTTAGGGTTCTCTAAAGTATGTGTGGAGTTATCAGCTGACTGTGAGTTTCCTTGGAGTATCAGGTTGTACCCTGACAATGATCCGAACTTTGAAGTGAGGGTCGCTTATTCGCACCTCCCTAAGATTTGTTCCTCTTGTTGTATGTTTGGGCATAACTGCCAGCAAGAACCAAAGAAGAAGTGGCGACTCAAAGGAGGGGCGGGGGCAGAAGATGAGTGTACTGGTGAGGAATAGGCACAAGGTGCTGCTGTTGTTGGTAATCAAGGAAGTGATGAGGAAGGCAATGAAGTGGCTGATCCTCATTTAGTTGTGGTTGTGGAAGAGGCACGAGGTGTTGGTGTTGTCGGTAATCAAGGAAGTGATAAGGAAGGTAGAGAAGTGACTGATCCTCAGGGAAGCAAAGTTATGCAGAGAAAAGAGGTCGAGGTTTCTACTCTGGATGTTGAAGATGGCAATGCTCCTTCATCAATTGGGAGCCCACCACTGAGCTTTGCCCAAATTTTAAGAGGATCACCGCCTTTGGGTGGGAGTCCTTCTGAGATTGGGCTTTTAACTGAGCTTGGTAAGCCACCATATCCTGAGAGTTTACAGGCTCAGCTGACTCAGGGTGGCAAGGGCAATGAAAATGTGCAGGCTAAGATTGACAAAGGGAAGAAGGTGTGGTTAGACTCTCCTTTAGTCCCATATACCAGCCATAGAGAGGAAAAGGTGGTAGGAGGAGAGGTAGGAGATGAAGATACTCACTTGGAATACAAGAGGCTTTAAGGCTGATAGTAAGTATAAAGCTATAGTAAAGAAAATAAACAAATACAGTATAGATATAGTTGCTATATTAGAACCTAGATAAGAGTCTCTGAGGCAGATGAATTGATTGAGAAGAGGTTTCCTGACTTGAAATCCAAGACTAAGCACAACTCAGCTGGTTTGGGGAAGATTTGGCTTCTCTGGAGGGAGGAAGTTTCACTTTCTGTTCTTCACTCTTCAGATGAGTTTATTCAGTTTATGGTTGGGGGATTACAACCATTCTTTTGCACTGTGGTCTATGCATCTAATGAGGAAAAGGAAAGACAGATTCTATATTGAGAGCTAGCCAGTATTCGAGTCACTCATATGCCTTGGATGGTGCTGGGTGATTTTAACGGTATTAGGCATCCTACTGAAGCGTCTAATAATCCAAGGGTGGACTCAACTATGACTTTATTTCAGGATTGGATTGTTGAGTTGGAGATGGAGGAGCATCAGGCAAGTGTGCCATGGTTTACCTGGATGAACAAACAAGCAAATAACCCAATAGCAAAGAGATTGGATAGAGTTCTGATTAACTTTGACTGGATGGATTCTGTTAAGGAGATCAAGGTTCATTTTCAAGCCCCTGGTGTTTTGGATCACTGTCCTGTATTGGTTGATACAGAGAGTTCTATGAAATCCCTGCCCAAGCCTTTTAAGTTTTGGCTTCGTCATCCTCGTTTTGATGAGCTACTTGAAGAGGCTTGGAGGAGTAGAGTTACTGGTCACCCTCTGATCAGAGTTTGCAAAAAGTTGAAGAACCTTAAAAACCTGCTAAGGAAGCTTAACAAAGAGGAATACTCTGATATTAGGGAGAGAGTTAAGGAAAAGGAGGCTAGCCTTCATTTGATGCAGCAGGAGGCTCTCACTGATCCAACTGAGGGTAATTTTGAAGAAGAGAGGAGACTGAGTCAAGAATATAAAGCTCTATTGGATGCAGAGGAAAGTTTCTTAAGACATAAGTCAAGGGAGAGTTGGTTGAAAACTGGTGATATGAACTCAGAATATTTCTATCGATCAGTTAAGTCAAAGCAAAAGAGGAACACTATTAGAATGCTAAAGAATGAGCAGGGATAGAAGGTTCAAGAGGTAGATGAGATGGCTCAGATTTCTGTCAGATTCCATAAGAATCTGTTGGGGGTTGCTGATAATGAGGTTGAGACAGTCTGATGAGTTCTATCCTAGGCTATTAAAAAGGACACTTACTAAGGAGCAAACTACTGGCCTATGTGATGGTTTCACTGATGAGCAGATAAGAGATGTGATGTTTGGGATGGATGCTGATAATGCTACTAGGGTTTTCTGCAACATTCTTTCATTATGCATGGCCATTGATAGGCTCTGAGGTAACCTCTGCTATCCGTTATTGCTTTGAACAAGATAGAATACCTCGCCCTGTTAATGCTACTATTCTTTCCCTGATCCCTAAGGTCCCCAACCCTGATGAAATGAAAAATTTCAGACCTATATCCTGTTGCAACATCCTGTATAAGTGCGTCTCAAAACTGATTGCAAATAGGTTGAGCAGTGTGCTTTCATTTTTAATTAGTAAAAACCAAACAGCGTTTGTGAACGGGAGGCTTATTGGGGAAAACATTCTTCTAATTCATGAAATGGTCGACGGTTTCTGTGTGGTGTGGTTAGAAAATCTGGCTCCTAATAGCGTGACATGCTTAAATTCCTTTTGTTCTCCATTAGTCTAGCTAGTATTCTTTCGTCAAATTTCAAAAGACATTTACACATAAAGTTAAATTCAATGTGGACTACAAACTAATATTATCTTTATATATATAGAGAAATTATTTCATCTCCAAATGTTACATGTTGATACCATTACTAATTTTAACGTCACAAGCCGAGCTCAAAGCTAGTATAAATGTTTAGTATTCCGTATTGGTTGTTGGGTAGTTTCAAACTTTCACACAATTTGGCAAAATAATTAAACGATAAACACAATCGCTCTCTGACCAACAAGTTGGATAGACTATAGCTGTTTATGTTCAAATCATCAAATGGCTACTAGCTAGACTCCACACAATACAAAAGATGGATCAGCTAGGCTTGACTTTTTTTTTTTTTTTTTAACATAGCTAGGCTTGACTATGTACAATTTATACACTCTCTAGAAAGTGGACAGACAGGGTAGCTAGCTAGCTAGGTAAACAAATTCTTCATCAAACTTGGGAATTGTCCTTGATAAGCAACGGCGCCCTGTTATCCGAAGAACACTTGACATCGTGAGCACACACTTTTCTTCCTTCATCTTCTTTGATCCTCCCCCACAGTATCGTATAGTACCCCATTCCACACACCACTGTTCCTATCACACTATCATACCACAAAACGCAACAAATTCATCATAAATCCTAACCCTGAATTTTTAACCAGGGTAAAAAAATTAATTAGTTACCTTCCATAGTGCAGACCATTCACAAAGAAGCTGACACCAAAAAATGTAGCCCAAACAATTCTGAATGGCTGGAACATGGCTACATATAAACTACCCTTTGCTCTTGCGCTCCAGACATGAACACTGCTCCTAATGATGCTTCCGAAGATCGCCTAGTCACATCGAAAATCGTTACTCCACATGTTAGATAAACAAGGTACCAAAGAGTTAGATAATATTAAGTGTACAATGTGTTCCCGCCGAGAAAGAACTCACCGTGACCAAAATGACCATAGATTCCAGGCCAACAATCTTGATTTTCCAGGCACCGAGGTCTCGTTCTACGGCCGAAGCGAAGATTGCACATTGAACGGTCCCGGCTAAGCTATAACACGACGCCACTTCCATCACTTTGGGATTTCGTTTCACTGTGTCCGACTGTCCGTACATACACAAATTGCCCAAACTGGTCATCAATATTCATCATCCAACCCGAACCAAACGCCCGAATAAAATGTAATTAACGTCGCCGTCGTCGACGGGATGATTCGTACGATACCTGGAGGAAGTTCCAAATCGAGACACAGAGAGAAGAAGCGGCGAGCAGGAGGCAGCCGGCGGCCCAACTGTCGTCGTCAGCCAACGAGTAGAAGACGAAACGGTGCTGTTTTTGTTGGAGATGAGGGGAAGGAGACGGGCGAGCTTCTCGTATGTAAGGGCCTTTGTACGTTACCACTGTGATTGCTCCCATAGCCGAGATCAAGGCTCCGATCAGCTTGAACTTGAAGCTTGAGCTTGACCAGTGCGTTGACTTGTTGATGGCTCTGCCGCCAAGGAGGACGTCAAGGACGGAGGAGAAGGCAGGAATCAAGAGGCCCATTGCACATACGACGATGGGCGAGCTGTAGACCAGGCCCATAAACGCGAGGTTTTGAGACAGGGCTATCCTGCAAGGCCGGAGATCCAGGGGTAAATATATTAGGCCCGGTTTAATGCGGCCCGGATATCAATTGGCAGGCCCATGGATGACAACTAGAATTAGGTGGCTTTTAACATCTCTGCAATTAAATTTAATTAATGGATGGACCCCGTCATCCAAAAACAATGACAAGATGCTTTTGTCGGCTCTAAATTCGTAAATCCGTTATATTCATTACCAGTCAATAAGCAGTATTTTTCTTATATAAAAAATATACAATATTTCACAACAGAATTTCAGCGCTTGGATAAAATTAATGATTCAGATTAAATTATATTTCATTATGTCTAGTTTTCTTGATGAGGGGTGTCTTTAATGTTTTAATATGGATTTAAAAAAAATTGGCATTGCAAAAATGAATTTATTAGAATTTATATTCATTTTATATATTTTGGAAAAATTGTATTAGAATAAATAAATTGTATTAGAATTATCTATATTATCATGCAATGTGTTCAAAACTGGACCGGATCATGAACCAGAAAAGTTAGTGCTTGGTGTTTCCTTGGTGTTGTAACGGTAACCGTTATAGCATCGTTGGGTTAACCGTTGATAGAACATTCATGCGCTACAACATAGAAGACACATATAATACGATAATTTATGAGCGAATTTATCATTAACCATAAACAATTTTTAATTTCATGTCATCTGTCACCAAAAAGTTCTAGCAAAAGCATTCAAACTATCTCAAAAAATAAATCATAATACCATGGTGATAATTCGTAGTGAACCAAATAAATCCAACAAGGAGGTTGAAAATTGAAAACCAAAGGAAGCATAAATAGATTTCTTGATTGAGGCTGGATAGTCTAATTAATTTACGTTAAATTTTCCTTTCGTGGTTAAAATAGCAAACCAGTTTACCGGTTAAATCATGATGGTTTATCTAGTTTCAAGTTAAAGCGTTCAAAACCGTTTCGTCCATCTCATACCTTCCAATCAAATGAACCGAACCACTATGTTACTGTATCAGTAATTCTACTAGCTCAACCGTTGTTCCAATTCGGTTCTTATAACAATATTATCATGGTATAGTTTTCATACCATATTTCATGTTACGTCATCACCATTGTATAAGTCTATATTATCAGGATATGTTTATGGTTAAGAAAACTTTAACCATAGATCTCATACCACTCTTTTAGTTTACCATGTTCACCACCCCCCAATGACATTTAGACACGATAATAACAAACAGGACTCACCCGGTAAAACCCATGAAGAAGTAGCGAGCCAGTAGCGGGAAAACGGGCCGTGGTTGCTGTTGCTGTTGCTGCTGTTGTTTCTCGTCAAGAATCTCATCGTTCTTTCCTCCAGCTGATCCCGACCACCAGGATCTGTGGTAGAGAAAGGAAAAGGGAAACAGAAAGAGAGTCCCGAGCGCATTTACATAGACGACGAACACGTAAGGGCTCATCACCATCCGATTCACCATTCCCCCCGACAGCACCGTTTTCGCCATTATCGTCAGTGCAATGGTGCAGCCTTCCATCCCAACCATCGCGGCAAACGGCGCCGCCGCTAATGACGAGCTAACCCTCTCCAAACCTGCTTTCATTTTCCGTCGTCGCGTTGCTAATAATTCATGTGGGTTTTCTGTGAGAGTTTTCATTGGGGGGACCTCTTGGTTATAATTCATGTGGACAGGAAAAAAAATATGTGGAAAGAGGCAGCCTTTGAGTAATATGGGAAGGTAAAGAGGGGAAGAAGCGTGTCGTGTGACTCAAACTCGATACAAAGGGAGAGAGTGGAGGCGTGATGTGGCAAATCATGTCGTGGTGTTCTTGTGGCTACATTTGTTTTTGTTTGGTTTTGGGATTGTTTTGTGTATATATTGTTATCTAATGGGAGGAAATCAAATACGGGGTTTAGAAAGGAAGTAAGTGAGGTGGGAAAATATTATTCTTACTGAATCTTGTAGTTTTGGGTTCGTGGCCAAGATTGATGATGGCCCCTCCATTCAAAATAAAATTACTATAATATATGTAAGAAATTATCTCGGCCAACCTACGTCAGCAAGAAGCCAACAAATTATAAGATAGAAAGCCAAACACAGAGAGAAGTCCACATTTGGGCGGCCATCGTCAGCAAAGGAGCCAAACATTTTATACTTTAAAATTTCAATTACCTCGTGTCGGGGTGTATCACAAATAATATTGCTGCGATATTAATTAGGTAAGGTGACTTGTTAGCTCGATTGGCACAGGTAGGCCATGCGAGACCATAACACAGGACCAAATGGAGTCCAGTAGTTTAGATGGACATTACTTGCTGGCTTGCGAACAGAAGACTGGAATCATCTGCTCACACCGGCATATCCAGAATACAAGTAGAGTATTGGACCGAATTTGAGCAGAAAATTAGATACCGTAAACCATGCCGAAGTCATGATTTTGATGTCGGGGGGCCAAAATTCGAATAATTATATGTATTTTTTAACCTAATAAAATGAGTTAAATTGGTATATTAATGGCATGTTTAAAAAAAATTCATTGAAGGGATTAACAATTTACTATAAATTTGGGTCATCGCCTCGTCGGAGGTATATATTAATGGCATGTTTCAATAAAATGAGTTAAGTTGGGCTGCTGCTGGTTGAAATCGATGGATTGGTGGAGAAAATTGGGCCGTCAGAGTTTCGGAACAGATGGCAGATCGCTTCCTTTCTTTGCTTTGCGGTGGGTTCTCATTTTGATTTTTCCTTTCTGTTGGTGACGGGGGAAAAACATAATGACAGAGAAATTGGGGTTGGGAGGCGGATTGGGGTTGGGATACAAATAGTAGGTTGGGCCTTAAATTTCTAATGAGTGAGAGGGCCTGGGGTTGGAAGGCGGATTGAGATTGGGGTTGGCAGGGAAAAACATAATGAGAGAAGGATTGGGTTTGGGAAGCAGATGGAGGGTTGGGCCCTAATGAGTGAGATGGCTAGGCCTTGAGTTTTATAGGCCCTAGATATTACACCATGGAGGAGGAGGGTTGGGCTCGAGCCCAGTGTGACCTCCCCCTGGTTCCACCGTTTGCGCAATATTGCAGGGTTACTTGGGTGAGAATACATATAGTGAGAGAGGAATTTTACAATGCTAGCTATAGGTTTTTGTCTTTATGGTACAACTTAAAATTGTACCTTTAACGTTATGGTACAACTTCAAATTGTATCTATATTTTTTGTGCAACTTTTTTTATGGTACAACTTGAACTTGTACCTTTATGTGATGGTACAACTTCAAGTTGTAAAGTTGTACCATAACATAATGGTACAAATTCATTTATGGTACAACCTAAACTTATACATTTAGAGACAATAACAGGGATGAATGTGTATCTCCATGGATGGTTCAGTTGTCCCCTCGCCTTCGAGTACCGCAGCGGGGGGAATCCTTCGAAGCGACAGTGGCAGGTTTATCAAAGCTTTTGCCGTGAACTTGGGAGGGGGTACTATCACAAGGGCAGAGCTAGTAGGAATAGAGCAAGGGTTGAAGTTAGCATGGGATCTTGGAGTAAGGAAGGTCCTCGTTCAAAGTGACTCTACAACAGCAATTGATCTCATTGAGGCGGCCTCGCAACATAATCCTCATTATAGACACATTGTCGAGATTAGACAGTGGTTGAGTCGGGACTGGCAGGTCAAGCTGGAGCATATCTTTCGGGAAGCCAATCATACCGCCGACTATTTGGCTTCTCTAGGGCACTCTCTTCCTGTAGGCCTTCATGTGTTTGATGTGCCTTCGAGCATGCTAGCTCATTGGTTGTACTTTGACAGTATTGGGGTTCAAAACCCGCGTTACCTTAATACTTAAAGGTTGGGGCGCCCTTAGCGCTCCATTTTCCCACCAAAAAAAAAAATAGAGGCAAGTGATACAATCCAACCAACCACTTGCGACAACCCAGCCACCCAGCTGCACACACCAACTCTTGCACTTCAGAATCTAAACCCAGTGTCGTTTCTGTCAGGAACTGGTAGGAAAGAATCGGTTGAAGGTGTGATTAATCACTCTCCTTAGAGTGTTATTTGTCCCCACTACAAATTGCTGGTAGGCTCGAGCAAGCCACCCCCAGAAGTCCCTTCAATTTTAAGTCTGGAAGCAGCAATCTTGCAGACTTCTGTGGTTATGAAAGAAAGATGGAAAACGGGAAGAAGAAGAATTCTCTCGCGTCCATCAAAAAGAGTTATGGCAGTCATCTATTTATAGTTGTGAAAACTGGAAGTTACCTCCAAAGAGACGCATCCTTTCACAAAAAAAGTTAGTCACCTTTCTTGAAAGGACACATCCTTTCACAATATTCAAACGCTAATTAATTAATATAAAATTAATTAATTAAACTGCCAAAAGACTCAATTCTTATACTTTCCTTCTCCCATCAATGTCGCATTACAACTCAATTGACTAACTCTGACAATCCCCCACTTAGTCAACAAGAGTTGAGAATAACTGCCGCGAACAAGTAACACATACATAAAGGTATCTTTTCGATTTGAACCTTTACCTAGTGTAAGCAACTCAAAGTTGATAACGAATCAGTGACGGGCTTCATCCTAGGAGTCACGATCCAAAGCTATAAACGGAGATGCCACACACGTACTTTTCTCTTCTCTAAACCACAACCACCAACAAGGGTAGCACTCTTATGGCCATGTGTTGATCCTGTTTCATGAGCATATACAAAAGTTGACATCCACTTTTGTTAGAGCGGCACCACTCTTAATGCTCACATAGGTGACATTCTAAATGAATTCATTAAGAGTTCTATAACTCATCTCAAGAGTTCTATAACTCACCCTTTTTTGGACTAATTTACTTGTACAAATAAATTAGTGCATCGGTTAGAGTAACTTGTTATTACCACATTGAACGTTTTAATTAGTGAATACCTAAAGAAAAGGTTGGGTTCCCATTACTTCTAACATCACATGAGGTCTCAATCCCATCCCTTGGGATGTCTCATAGATCATGCCTCTTGGTAATCACTTGGTAAGAGAATCTGCCAAATTATTGCTTGATCGTATATACACAATAGAAATGATTACATTAGTAATCAAATATCTAGACTTACCATTGCAACTCTTGACAAAGTAACCTCACTATCACAAAAGACGGAAATGGCTGACATCGGTTGTGGCCACAACTCTATACTTAAGAACATGTCTCTTAGCCATTGTGCCTCTTTTCCAACGGCCGCAAGGGCTAGGAATTCATATTCCTTAGTGGAGTGTGTAACACACTTTTGTTTCTTCGACCCCAATAAATAACTCCATCACCTAGTGTAAAATCCACCTGTTGTAGATTTATTATCACTAGAACTTGCTATCCAACTAGCATCAAAACCATCTCCCTCACAATTCTACCACTTGCCGAACTATCATGAAATAATTCTATTTAATTTTTCATGGTCTTACTTATTGAACTTTCACAACCACTACATTGATCTAATTGTTTACCAATGGTATGGACTAATTAAATTATCATACCACAAACAATTCAGACATTATTAGGAATATCATCTAATTACTTACCAATGGAATTGGTCAAGATAACTTGAGATGCCACAAGCAATTCAGTTGCATTTCCATATTGTATTGGAAATACCATCTAATTACTTACCAATGACATTTCATGAAGGTAACTTGACATACCACAAGCAATTTAAATGAATATTCTAAGTCAATCGTCTAATTACTTACCAATGGTATACACTTCATAAATGTACCATAAGTAATTCAGACTTTAAGTTCAATATGATCATCTCAATTGAGCTCTCATGCCAAATTGTTTTCCAATGGTATATGTCTACATAATCGATAAACAATTCTGACAAATATCTTCACATAATAATCAAATGTCAAATTGTTTTCCAATGGTATAGTGTATGTATACCATAAACAATTCTGAAGATGATTATTTTGATGATCACCATGCTTTGGCAAACTTATTCAATCCCTATAAGGATCCATCTTAGTTTCATTTTCCTTGCTCTCATGGCATATGAAACATGACATCATAAACCAATACATGATAAACAAATTACCAAATCGGGGAAACGCTTTTCACCATTATTTCAATTTACTTCAAGATGACAACCCAAAACAATTTTGTTATCTAAACCAAATTGTTCCATCCTGCAAGCATCAAAATAGAAGCTCATCCAAATTCAAATACAATTGAATTTTCTTGAACTCTTCTCATAATAGGAATTATGAGTTTGTTCTCATCTCAAATACTACAAAAGTATTTGATATCACTTAACCAAACCAATTCACCAAATTGGTTCATCAAACACCAAATTGAATTCCAATTTTTTCTCTCAAACCATGTTATAACATAAACATGGAAACTGAACATGAGCAACATTATCTAGCAATCATGTACTCTGTCTACGAATGTATCAAGAATAAGGTACAGATTGTTACCTATTTCCGATTCTTGTCCAAATGTCATTTGCCTCAGTTTTTAAGGAATGTCAGAGTGCCTCTCCCCCTTCATGGAGCAACCTCCACCTTTCTACCATTACAGATCCTTATGCATTGGACCATCATTCATTCGCATGGTCCAGGAACTGAGTTCCTCTCAATATATGCCTAACCAGATGCATGCAATGCATCCATTCTATCTTTGATGACAACTGAATGCCACTTTGCCATTTTTCTTCTCCAGGAACCAATCAAGAAAAAGAACAAACATATATATGCAAAATATAACATCCATTGCAACTTCCACAGGGTTACGATGCATGAATTAATTTTCTTGTTCAAATCAACCATGCAGCTACATAGCATAGGCCATAGGGACAGTTACACCCTGGTTACTTTAACGCTGACAAGCAAAATTATTTTATGGCAAACTTTATTAATGAATCAAATCCCACCAAGCACGAAGGATTACATTGATTAATTAATCCTGGCAATCTTAACGATCACTGTTTCACTGATAATCACGGGAGGCATGGAAAATGTATTTCATCATGTAATCAATATATTCGCCGACATCTATTTACATAGCCGCACAGTTATATATATGTATACCAATCGAACCAATTAAACATCAATCAACAACTTGAAAAAGAAGAATGCATTACCCGGTTGTCATTCCTTTCTTTCTCTTATACAAAGGAAATGTTTCCAACGAATCGAACATTCTTTTCTGGCGTACCGATACTTCGAAGTCCGAAAACCAACGAACACAACAAGACAACGAGAACCACATTTAGCTTGTTGGAATCAGAAGCATACGCCTTCAACGTACTTTCCACTTCAGATTCAATTTTTTCAAACAAATAACACTCTAAGATTGTCAGGAACTGGTAGGAAAGAATCGGATTGAAGGCGTGATTAATCACTCTCCTTAGAGTGTTATTTTCCCCCACTACAAATTGCTGGTAGGCTCGAGCAAACCACCCCCAGAAGTCCCTTCAATTTTAAGTTTGGAAGCATCAATCTTGCAGACTTCTGTGGTTATGAAATAAAGAAGGAAAACGGGAAGAAGAAGAATTCTCTCTCATCCATCAAAAAGAGTTATGACATTCATCTATTTATAGTTGTGAAAACTGGAAGTTACCTCCGAAGAGTATAGGTGTCAATCGGGCGGGTTCGGGCTGGGTTCAATCGGGTTCGGGTTCAAACGGGTTGCGGGTTAGTCGGGTTGCGGGTTCATCGGGTTCGGGTTTATCAGGTTCAGGTTCAAACGGGTTGCGGGTTAGTCGGGTTGCGGGTTCATCGGGTTTGGGTTCAATCGGGTTGTGGGCAAATCGGGTTGCGGGTTCATCGGGTTTTGGGTCGGGCGGGTTGCGGGCGGGTCGGGTTTCGGGTTGTTCGGGCCAGCGCATCAAGTAACTTAACTCATTACTCATTACCAACTTACACATTTTATTACACTAATTTAAAATATTTTCTCAACTTTTTAACCAATTTATTTCTACCTCGTATATATATACTTTATTTTTTTGAAAAAAACTAGTCAAAATTTTAAATCAATTTGTATGACTTGCAAACTTGTTATGTAATTAATCATAATTGGTAAAGTATTATAGCTAATAGTAATGGTGATATCAATATTTGCAACCAAAAGACACCGTTAATTGTTTATTTGATATTTTAGTATTAATTCAGTAGTAATTGAATTAAAGTATCTAGTTTAGTATAACCATACAAATCTGGTATTTGGCGTGTGGTAATTGGCAAAAACATAGTGATAAAAGGAGTTATTTCAAAATAACTTATTGCCCAAATAACTTCAGTAAACTGTTGTCAAACGAGTTATTTGTAAAATTGTTCGAATTATCCTAAAAATTGAACCATTAAAGATTAGCTATCAAATTTAGTAAAATTATTGTGACTTCAATCATAACTTACTCAATAGCATATATCCTATACACTTAGCCTTACCCTCAATCAACAATATTAAGTTAGTATATGTTGTTGATTGTATACACTAAACCATCAATACATTATACACTAACCACATAACCTATACCCTAATCATATGTCATTGAGTTGTGATTTTGCTAGTATAGTTAATTTAAAAGTGAAATTCATACTTTGATTTTCAAAACATAGATAAAAAGTGATATTTGCTAATTGTTATACCCTAACCATATATCCTATACTTTACACCACATACATTGTACCCTGACCACGTACCATAAACATAAATTAAAAAGGGATCTCCTGCCGTTAAAGACTTCAAATGACTTCAAGTGAACATATGTTAATAAAAAATTTAGAACCGTCAAAACCGTCAAAACCATCAATATCTTATACCCTAACCATATACACCCTAAAGGCCTAAACCATATGTACCTTATACCTTATACCCTAACCATATACTTTATATCCTAAACAACGAACCGTCAAAGATTACTTATCAAGTTTAGTATAAATTGTTGTAACTAATGGTTAATTCATTTATTAGCCCATAAACAATTACATACATATATACATATTAGCCTTCAAAGCATATAAGAATAATTTTAACTAGTCATGCCCTCCATATAAAAGTTAAAGATTCATATTTCAAAAGCTAAAATTATGACAAACCAAAAAATTGAAAACACCAAATTTGTTTCCTTCTTTATTTTCACAAAATACTAAAATTTCCCTCCTTCTTTCTCCTTCCATACATTAGAAATACTCAATTTTTCCTCCTCTTTCTCTTCCATAAAATTGAAAGAAACAAATTACCCTCTTCTTTCCTTCTACAAAAAGTTGAAAAGTCAAAAGTTTTCCTCCTTATTTCTCTTTCATAATCAAAAAAATCAAACTTTCCCACTTCTTTCTCTTCCCACATATCAAAACCACAAAAATTCTCACTTGTTTCTTTTCTAAACAAATTCAAAGAACCAAATTTTCCTCTTCTTTCTCTTCCCAAAAACTTGAATACACCAAAATTTCCCTCTTCTTTTAAAAACATCAAATTACCAAATACATTACTTTACTTTATTTATATTTAATTGATAATTTTATTGAATAGTTAAATTAACCAAAATTTTAATTCATATATTATATTAATATTGTCATGATCTCAAGTGACCTTCATGTTTCAATTTTGGTAATTTTCTTAACATACGTAATATCAAGTGAGTTTCATATTTTTTGAATTTCTTATACGAAATGAAAAAATAATTTTACTTAAGTTTAGAATGAAAAACTTTATTTTGAAAAACTATGTATTGTATATTTTTATAATTATTCAAGTGGATTAGATGAAATTCGGGTTGAGTCGGTCGGGTTACGGGTTAGTCGGGTTCGGGTTAATCGGGTTGCGGGTAGTCGGGTTGCGGGTTAGTTGGGTTGCGGGTCGGGCGGGTTGCGGGTTGTTGACTTTTAGTCAATTCGGGTTGCGGGTCGGGTTGATCGGGCGGGTTAATTGGGTCGGGCTATGTTTTGACACCTATGCCGAAGAGGCACATCTTTTCACAGAAAAAGTTAGTTACCTTTCCCGAAAGGACACATTCTTTCACAATATTCAAACGCTAATTAATTAATTAATATAAAATTAATTAATTATATTAATTAATTAAACTGCCAAAAGACTCAATTCTTATACTTTCCTTCTCCCATCAATATCGTATTACAACTTTATTGACTAACTCTAACCGTTTCTATTCGGGCTTAATTGCAAGTTTGGTCACTCGAATTGCTATAAAATTTTGCGTTTGCCACTCAAATTAATTTATTCCATTTATAGTCACTCGAATTAGTTGAACAGTTCAAGTTCGGTCACTCTCCGTTTACCTCCGTTAACTTTGACTGACGTGGCGGTCAACTCTGACAGTTGACCGTTAAATGTGTGACGTGACAAATAAAAAATAATTAAAAAATAAAAATTAAATTTTTAAACATTACACATCATTATCACAAAAAATTATAATTATAAAAAATAAATAAAAAATTTATCACAAAAAGAAATTACACATCATTATTACAAAGAAATTATCACAAAAACAAACAACACAAAATTCCTTCCAGATTTCTTTGAAATCGGATTCGAATTTTCAGAGAGATGGACAACAATCAGTAATCGTCGTTCTGGCAGTTCAGCGACCAGCTGAGGGTGCAGGCCAACAACCTAGCGAACCTCTCGCTCAACGATTCGATCTGGAGCAGCTCCTACGCCAACAAGCGGCCGGAGCAGCGCCGGAACTTCGACATCTGGGTCGGAGCCGAGCTCAACAACATCAATTCTCCTTCTCCTCCCCCCGCCGCCGGCAAGCCCCAGGTAGGCTCCGATTGGAACGGATTCAACGACGGCTGGAAGGTCGGGTCGGGTTCGGTAACCGGGCCGAACATCAATTTCACCGGTTTGTTGAATAACAACAACAACCAGTCCGTAATCGGCGGCGGCGGTGGCGGTGGAAGTGGATCTCACCCGATGAACGTCGGGCTGAACGGAGGGTTCAACAAGGGGATCTACTCCAAGGGTGGATTGAACAACGGGGGTTTCAATTTTAATGTGAATCCGAGGGCTGGGAAGAACGGCAAGGGTTTTGGGATTGAAGATGAGCAGCAGAATCATCTCGTCGGCGGGAAGTTCGGCAAGAAGAACGGCGGAAAGAAGAACAACGATAGCAACGATACCGGGAAAGAAGGGAAAATGGGAAGCAGAATGGGGTTGACAAGAGGTTCAAGACTCTTCCTCCGGCCGAAGCTCTGCCCAGGAACGAGACCATCGGCGGGTATATCTTCGTCTGTAACAACGACACCAATGTGTTGTTTGTTTCTGTGTTAATTTCTTTGATAATGATGTGTAATTTCTTTTTGTGATAATTTCTTGTTTTCATATTTTATAATTATAATTTTTTGTGATAATGATGTGTAATTTCTAAAAATTTAATTTTTATTTTTTAATTAGTTTTTTATTTGCCACGTCACATATTTAACAGTTAATTGTCAGAGTTGACCGCCACGTCAGTCAAAGTTAACGGAGGTTAACGGAGAGTGACCGAACTTGAACTGTTTAACTAATTCGAGTGACTATAAATGGAATAAATTAATTTGAGTGGCAAACGCAAAATTTTATAGCAATTTGAGTGACCAAACTTGCAATTAGGCCTTTCTATTCGTCTAAAATGTTGTATATTTATTATACACAGAGCACTCCTATTCGTCTAAAACCTCCCCTGCACAAATGCCTAAACAAGCATACTAAATCTCTCTAGCAATTAAATGGCAGTCGAAATTTCAATTGCTTAGCTTTGGGAAAGTTCAAGCAATAATAACTAATAAGCCCGAGTTACTTTGTGAGATGGCCAAATACACTTGTATAGCCAAAACTTTGACGATTTTGCCAAATATAGCCACTTTTGGGGAAATACCAATAATAGCCACTTCCGTCCAATTCTTTGACGGTGTTAACCAAATAGCTGACTGGACTAACGACATTGCTGAGATGGTGGTGACATTTTTAAACAACATTGCCACATAGATTAATGAAAAACTAAATAAAAAAATAAAAATTGTCCAAACCCCACATCCCCCCCCCCTAAACCCAACTCCGGTTTCAACCCCACATCCCCCAAATCATCATCCTCTTCCTTCCCCTTCAAATCGAAACCCGTCAGACCACCTTCACCTTCGCATCATCTTCTCCAACCAGTTAACTCCCCCGAATCGATCTTCCCCTGTTATGCTGCTCGCCATCGTCTCCCACTACCGGCCACCATCGATCCGCCCCTATGCCATCGCACCCAGATCTTCATCGCTGTTGCAGTATCATCATCGTGGAGCACCCAGGGGACGGGGACGAATCAGGTCCAGCACCACGTGGCGGTGTTGTTCTTCGACGGGCCCGACGATCGGGAGGCGCTGTCAGACGCTTGGAGGATGTTGGAGCACCCAGGGATTTTGTCACCGTCGTGAGGTTCATCCCAGAGGAGAACGCCACCGCCGCCGGAGCAGCAGCACCAGCAGGAGGCGGTCGTCGCAGCCGTCGCGGATCTGAAAGTCGAGATCTGAGTGTGGATCTGGCGGTGGAGGGAGCGGCGGGGCTGGATTATCGAGGTAGGAACAAGCTAGACGAGGAGATAATTAGGGATTTCAAAATGGCGAATTCGAACGGCGATTCGGTGTCGTATTCGGAGATCGTGGCGAGTAATGGCGAGGAGACGGTGGCGGCGATTCGGTCGATGGATAGAGCCATAGAGGGCACAATCTGTTTATTGTGGGGAGGGGGACAAGGGATGACTTCGCCGTTGATAGCGGGGTTGACGGACTGGAGCGAGTGCCCTGAATTGGGGGCGATTGGGGATTTGTTGGCGTCGTCGAATTTCGCGGCGAGGACGTCGGTGCTTGTTGTGCAGCAGTATTGTAACCTGGAGTCGAGTTCGCCTTCTCTGTCTCTGGGTTTGGGGTTGGAATCAGTGGTGGAAGGAGAGGGAGAGGAAAGAGTTCTTCGACGGCGAGTGGTGGGAGAGGAGAGGGGATAAAAAAAATTATCATTTTTATTTATTTTTAAATTAAAAAATGACATGGCAAGTATTGTTGAGTTGTCAATGATGTGTCCGGTGAGTTGCAGCCAGGTAAGTGTTTGGTTAATTTGACTAACGGTGTTATTGACGCCGTCAAACTATGTAACGGAAATGGCTATATTTGTCATCGAACTTTCAAAATTCTGGCTATTTCTGGTATTTCTCCAAAAGTGGCTATATTTGTCACAAACGTCAAAGTTTTGACTATCCAAGTGAATTTGGCCTTGTGAGATCAATCTCAACTTCTATGTCCATCTACCCTATGTTGGGTAATTATCATAAATGGTCACAAAACTATACACTTTGTACAAAACGGTAATAAACCTTTAATTTTGCACATTTCAGTAATATATGTTTGGACTAATAACAAAAAAGTAATTCCGTCCATCTCCATCCAAAAAACCGTTACTTTCGTCTAGTCAGCATGCCACATCATTTAAAATACTAATTAAAAAATTAATGAGCAAACCCAATTCAACGAACCCACCCGCCCAAATTCTTGAGACAACTCCTCTCCCAACGACCGCCGCCTCACCCACGGCATTTCCGTCAACTTCAACTACCAATTCGCCCACGCCGACGATGATGAACTCAATCCTTCCATTGTCTTCGTCTCCGAGCGAACCGGCTGTTCTCGAATTTAGCAGATTGCAACCGGCTATGAAATCCCCAAACCACTACCACCTCGGCAGTTGCCGTCTGGCGATAGTCTTTTCGCCCTCCCCTGACGATCGACCCCCAACTTCAAAACCCATATCTCTCAGACACTCTCTCTCGTCCATACTCTTCTTAATTAGAGACCTCAATTCCCCCAACGCTAAAAACAATCAAGCAATCAAATCCCTCACATCTCAGGTTTTCTAATTTTCCCCCCTTCCTGTGAGCATAAACCCTTAAACCTCTGTTAAAATTAATTTGGCGTAATACTGTGGTTGTTTGTGGCAGCTTCGGGACATGGTGCTGAAGACCTCGGGAGCATACAAGCATTGCGCGCTGTGCACGACGGGTACGGGGCCGACGACGAACGACAATCATCAGAGCCTGCTCAAGACGAACCCAGGTGTTTCTGTCGCGAAGAATTTGGGTGGGTGAGTATAGAATTAGGGTTTTCGATTGGGTTATCAGTTCAAATTGAATTTGATTATTAATTTTTTAATTAATATTTTAAATGACGTGGCGTGCTGACTGGACGAAAGTAACAGTCTTTTGCATGGAGATAGACGGAATTACCTTTTTGTTATTAGTCCAAACATTTGTTACTGAAACGTGCAAAATTAAAGGTTTATTACTGTTTTGTACAAACGGTATAGTTTTGTGACCATTTATGATAATTAGCCACCCTATGTTTCCATCTACCCTATGTTTCCAGAATCACTCCCGGTGTCTGTTTGCAATTTGATTGACAGGATTAATTGGCAGTTTGTGTGGGGTGAAGAAGAGGGTCGAACTAAATTCCACCCTATTAGGGATGGCAAAAATATCCGTAATCGTGGATATCCGCCCGAACCCGAAGGACATTTAGTGGGTACGGGTAAAACCCGAACCCGAATATTGCGGGTAATGGGTGGGCATGGGTTTCTCAGTATCCAACACGAACCCGCCCGATTATACACATACATATGTATTTTGTCTAGAAATAGTCATTATTTTTCTCTAACATATTTTATATTTAGCATATAAATATAATATTTTCATGAAATTGTGTTGTTTTAATTAATTTTCTTCATTCTAGTGAATTATTGTCATACTTTTCCTCTTGCGTAATGTGAGAATACGTGTGAATGTTAATATATTAGTTGGAGTTATGAAGAGAAATCATTACCCATGGATAACCGTGGATACCCGAAACCCGAACGGGTATGGGCATGGTTTTAATTTTCTACCCGTTTCATATGTGGGTATGGGTATGGGTAAAACCCGAACTACTTTGGGTAGGGTAACGGATATGCACTATCCGTCCCCGACCCGACCCATTGCCATCCCTACACCCTATAGCTTGGGATCAACTAACTCTACCTCGCAGCCAAGGTGGAGCGGGAATCAGGCCAACTCGTGCTACCAATCAAGCTATGCTGGCAAAAGGCAGCTGGAGACTAGTTACCGATGATCACACACTATGGACAGAAGTGATAAAGAACAAGTACGCCCGCTCGAGGGACGGTTTGGAAATCCTCACCAAAGCAAAGGGAAGTTCTTTTGCTTGGCGTAACTTCGCCTCTGTCTTAGATGTGGTCAAGAAATGCTATGTTTTTAATATCTCAAATGGTAGAAGAGCTAAATTTTGGACGGATCCGTGGGTTTTGCAAGTTCCACTAGCGGAGCTTGCTATAACGAAGATTGACGCGGACAAACTGCACAGCAGGGTGGCGGACTACTGGGATGCAGATCAGGGGTGGAAAGTGGAGGAATTTGAGTCAGTGATGCCATCAAGCATCATCACTAAGATTAGAGCTGTGATGGTGGATCCTCTGGCTGCAGAAGATGATCGCCCAATCTGGAATTTAACTTCAACAGGGAAGTTCACAGCTAGCTCTGCTTGTAGGTCACTTGTTCCTCAAAGTTCAGATCAGCAAACCATTTGGCAAAAGGTTTGGAAGCTACAGGTGCCTGAGCGGGTACGAATGTTTATTTGGATGACAATGAAAGGAAAATTAACCACCAATGCTATTCGCAAATACAGACACCTCACCCATGACGATTCTTGCCCGGAGTGTGAAGGCCTTCCTGAAACACACCTCCACTGCTTGAGGGACTGTGAAATAACGAAAAGAGTGTGGAGGAATGTGGTGCCAAGTGAAAGCCAATCAGAGTTTTTCAATTGCAATTATGAGACATGGGTGATGTCTAATGTTGCTAATGATTCGCAGGGTAACGGGAGAGGAAATTGGGCCTCCTATTTCATCCTGGTGTTATGGTACATTTAGAAATGCCGGAATGACGGAGTCTTCAACGACATCAAGCTCTCCCACTCGACGAGGCTCAATTATGTCACAGCCAAAGCGAATGAATGGTTGAAAACTTGGGACGCAACTAGCGCAAGACTTGATCTTAACTCCAAGCCTGCAAGAACTGAGACCCTGATAGGTTGGGTAGCTCCACCCACAGGATGGTGGAAGCTCAATACTGACGGGGCTGCTCAAAGTAATCCTGGTATGGCCACTACAGGAGGTGTCCTGCGGAATTGTTGGGGTGACTGGATTAGCGGTTTTTGTAGCAAGCTTGGCACAACTCGGCTCTCCTTGCCGAACTGTAGGGCATTTTACAAGGCCTTCAGCTTGCTTGGCGAAAGGGAGCTCAGTTTCTCATCCTTGAATCTGACTCTCAGTCAGCTTTGAATTTGATTGAACAACTTTGAATTTGATTGAACAACGTTCAGACCCAGTGCATCCTTACTCGACGATTCTTGGAGCCATTCGCCGCATGATAGCGCAAAGTTGGGTGGTTCAACTTGTTCACACATACAGGGAAGGGAATAGAGTCGCGGACTGGCTCTCGAAGCACAGTCTCGTCTATCCTTTCGGCACGCATGAACTAGATGAACCCCCAATCAGTCTTCTTTCGATGCTGCAGGATGATCAAAAAGGGGAGTTAGCTTCCCGCGACAGGTTGTGGAGAATATTTAGGGTTGTTTTGTCCCTGTTTTAGCTGCCTTTTTTCTGGTCTTGGAGTACCTTCTGCTGCTTCAGTTTGTTAAGCTGTTAAGCTGGTATGGGAGGCTTGTGAGAAGCTCTTTTGGCTGCAAGCATTGCGCCCTGCCTGCTTCCTGAACTCTGTTCTGCTGATCCTCTTGTAACTCTCTCGGCTGTTTTCTTTAGCCTCCATTTAATAAAAAAAAAATAAGCGCATAAAATTATTTTTCTTTTACACTTCAAATTGAAGGTCAAGCCTTCCAATATCAAGCTTTGGTCCAACAGAATCCTCTCTTGTTTTCTGCAAATAACTTCTAGTTTCCTTCCTGATAACTTGGCAGGAGAGGGGCCTTTTGGCTGCTTGACTCAGATGTCCCTCTGACAGTCCTAGCGCCATCTACATCTACTTCTTGAGCTTTGCCCCATATCACCAAATAGAACCCAACAACAATTACAGCAGCTCCAATCAAACTACACAAACCCATTCACAAGAGCTGATGTGAGTAGTAGTAGCAGCAACAGCAACATCAGTACTAGTAGACTAGTCATTCAAAATGTACAAGAATGACAGGGCATTGAACTTTGACCAAAGTTGACCAAATGGAAATCCCACCTGCCGAGGTACAGAGTATCCCCGAAGCAAATGACACCAACTGCAGCAGCAATCACTATCCCGATGGGTTTGAACATTGAAACGAAAACTGGCCCAGTCCTGCACAGACACCATGTACCAATGCCGACTTGGAAGGCAGATCCGAAAATTCCCTACAGCAGTTTGTCATGAAGAATTTTTCAGGTTGATGGAGGTGGAAGGGCACAGACATTGTCCAACAACAGTGAGACAAACTAAACTTACTGAATAGAGAACCGCCGTCCATCTTATGCTAGGTTTCAGGGTCCAAGCAGTGATATCTCGTTCCGTCACCAGACAAACTATTATGGACAGAATGGCAACGAAGAAACAGTAGAAAAATACCAGAATCAGCTCCGCTGGATATTTCTTGAGGATCAATGCCTGCAACACATCAACATACACAACTGAGAAACATCATTCTACCCTGTGGTAATTTATTCCAGCCTTTTCTTGTCATTATAGTTTAGAAAATTGCCTAACCTGTATGATAACAAAGGCAGAAGTCACAACACAATCCATTCCAAGAAATGATCCTGCGAGGACCCAATCGGACTGCTGCGAGAGCAATTGCTTAGTGAATCCGGGAGGAGAGTGTACTAAGTGAGTACCCTTGTAAAATGTCATTGTGAATGCCCCAGCCATTGATACAACAGTTCCCACAACTTTAGCTATGCTACCAGTGGCTTTCCAATCAAGCTTCTCCAACCTGGAACACGCTGTCTGATAAACTTAGCCCCATTTCTCAGCAGTAACAGTTCATTCGACTGCTATAGCCCATGAATTTTCAAATGGATGATAAAGGTAATAACCTGAAAGTAACAGCAAGAATGAAGGTAAAGCCGGGGACAAGGTTTAGTATGGCCGTGGCTAGTGTCGGAGAACTTAGGTTAATCCCAGTATACCCAAAAGCCTGTGCCAGAAAACTGAAGAAACCCCAATTCAAATCGAACTCAGAAAAGCCATCAGAATCCACCAAAAGCAACAGACTTTGACAAAACCCACTAAAGACATAGAGTCAGTTAACGAACCCAAATAGACCCAGCACGAAGAATCCGCTGATGGTTGACCAGGTAAGTGGAGGCCTCCCTGATCTGGGGAAATTTTGAAGCAAGGAAAGGAGCCAGAAAATCAGCAAGTACTGAACAATTTTGAAGTGACATAAATGTTCGGATTGAGCGGGGTTGGTTAGTTGAATTTCGTTCCAACCTGTGGTAGATTAAAGAGGCTGGAAGGAGGACAAGACAGGCGAGGGAGTTGGAGTAAAGGACGAAGATGAAGCTGCTCATCCCTTGCGACATGGCCTCTTTGCTCACAATCATCAGCCCAACTTGGGCACATTCCGCCATCACCATGGCGACAAATGGACCTGCAACTTTCATCTTTGCCCTTTCCAATCTTTCCCCCCACCCCTCTTTCACTGGCTTGCCTCAGATCAAATCGGACTAGCTCCCTGAGCAGCAGATGGGAAGTCCGACTTGAATTCGATAGACTAGGATAGAAAGAGGAATTATTAGTCTACTTGGAAGCAAAGCACAGATTGGCTTTCTTTCCTTGAAAAAAAATTAATATATTTGAATGGACTTAACTTGATGGATCCTGACCAATCTTTTCGATCTATAAAATTTTGGCTCAAACTATACATCAAAATAACGAAATTGGAGCCAAAAATGCTCTCGATACCTGTGAATTCTGGCAACTCACCGGCGGCGGATCTGGCCTTGACAGGTCGCCCACCGAATCCCTCTGGTTTGCAATCAACCCTCCCTGCGGGGACCGTTCCTGGATCACAGGGCTCCACCCCCTTGAGCTACAAAACGGGGCTAGTTGGATCGCCGACGAAGTCAACACCCGCAACACACCAATGGACATTCATCGGGGCGCATGACATGGAGGTGGGTTCTTATCAGGGAGAGCCCGAGCTGAAGATTTCGGCACAGCTCAGGGAACGACTTTGTATCCCCTGGAAACGCACACTTGTTGTCCGGCTTCTGGGGCGATCAATCTCGTACCAATACCTAAGTTCGCATATTCGATGGAAGTGGAAACCCAGTGGCACGGTGGACATTCTGGATCTGAACAACGCCACTTTCCTGGTCAATTTCAGCAATGAACATGATTATCTACACGCACTCACCGGCGGACCATGGGTGATTCTGGACCATTATCTGGTTGTCCACCAGTGGTCCCCTGCTTTCCGGACCTCTGATAAACCTCACCGGTCAGTTGTAGCCTGGGTCCAGCTACCCGAACTACCAATCCACTTCTACCACCGGGAAGTGCTTTTCACCATGGGGAACCTGTTGGACAGGACAGTCAAACTCGATTATCACACTGAGAAGCTTGAGCGTGGTAAATTCGCAAGAATCACGGTTGAACTCGACATGACGAAACCTCTCAAATCTCGGATCCATCTGGATGGATTTTGGCAACAGGTGGTGTACGAAAATATTCCTGAAATCTGTTTTGAGTGTGGCCGAATTGGGCACTCAGAAACCTCTTGCCCAAAGCTCCACCACCCGGCGGCGGCGCACCGGTCGACAGTCTCCGATTTGCAGTTGGCCTTGCCGGAATCTGCCCCGGTAGAACCACCGGCGGGATACGGCCCGTGGATGCAGGTGGTGCGGAAATCGCGTCATCAAACTAGGAAAGCCCCCATCAATTAAGCCAGCACGCCTGCAAACGTAACGAGCAAAGGAGGCAATTTAGGAAAGGCAACTATCAGACCTTCAGCGGATCAGAAAAATGAAAAAGCAATGCTGTCAAAGCCGAGCCGGAGTATGATCCGATAACGTGAACGGCTCGGTCATTAGTGGTCCAGCCGGCATTAAACCGTTTAAAAACCGTTGGAGAACCGGTACCTAATAAACAGTCATACGTATAAATAGTAGGGTTTGGAGTACTCATCTACAAAAGAAAGATCAAATCAGCAAATTTACAATAGAAAATCTAACACTACCATTCTGAAACTTCTAGAAGACAGATCTAATCGATTAATCCCCCAGCAGTCCATTTCGTAAGCAAACTAGCTGCCCCTATCAGCAAATCTCAAAATCTACGCTAATCACGTCAAGATCAGACAAACGACTACTAGATCCACCACTAATCAAATACCCAATAATACCCACACCGGAGAAATGCTAACATAGAAATCCCCAGAACCAACGGAAAGAGTGAAGAAGAAGAAGGGAGATGAATTACCCCGCTTTCGGATGGCGCGCTGCTTGCGGCGACGGGACGGAAGCGCTGGGGCGATGGTTGACGGCGGCAGGGTGGCGCCGCTCTCCCTCTGTCGTCTGTTCTACTTCTAGGTCGAAGATGAAGAAATAAAATGAAAGTTAGGGTTTTGTTTGGCTGCCCCATTCCACGATTGACCTTTTTTTATTAGGGTAAACCAACGGCCGAACCGCGCGACCGGCTTGAGCGACTCGAGCGGTTAACCGCTTTGGCCGCTCGCCGGCCGCTGTATAAAACCGTGGCGGTTAAATAGCTGATCCGAGCCGGTTTTATGGCCGGGTGGCGGTTTTGACGGTCCGGCCGACTCGGTTCGGCTTTGACAGCACTGTGAAAAAGGAAACGCAGCTATCTCAAGGGCGAAAGGAGGAAAGGAAGAACGAAAGGGAGATGGTAATAAGGGTAAGAGTTCGAGCATTAAAGGTAAAGCGGTGCTAGACAACGGCACCGTGGCCAACAAGGCTAAGAAGCCCAACTTGTTCCAGGCCTGGCGGGTGGTCGAGCCCAAACCAAGTGAGACTCATTTAGGTGTTAGGTCGCAAAGCTCTGGAATGGAAATGGATCACAATATTGATAAGGAGCTTGACCCGGAGCCCACCACAACTGAAATTAATGGCCCAAACCAAGATAGCCACAAGGCCATGGAACCCTCATCCTCATCGCCAAAGATTCTTGTGTCTTCCCCGCCATTGAATGGTGTTGCCTTGGAAAGTGTCTCAATTAGACAACATTACAGCAAAAGTCAGAGAGGGGTGAGATCTCAATCGACGAAAATGAAAACTGCTCATCTCCGGGTGACATAGAAAGGGCAAGGATTGCCTTCTTCAACTAAAAATGGGAAACGAGGTCTTCAAAAAAAGAAAAAGAATCCCATTTCCCAGGTTGTGGCGGGGGAAATCTTCCCGCAACCCCAGCAATACCCTCTGGAGAAATGTAAGGAAAGGAGCTCCGAGGATGCCGATGATCTAATGGCTGGAAACTCGACCATACCGGAGATTGAGCAAAAGAAGGAGGGAGTGATTACGGAGACCCAGGATATGGGTGGAATGGTTAATTCCCATGGGAACTAGCTGGTGTCAGGGAGTTTCTTATGCTCTTTTTCCTATCCATTTATTATTTTTAATATATTTTGCTGGAATTGCCGGGGGGCTAAACACCCGAAAAATTTATCTGTTGTTAAAGATTATGTGGCAACCCATAAACCCAATCTCGTCTTCATTGTTGAGCCGCGTATCAGCGGCAAGGATGCAGAAGATGTGATTCGCACTATGGGATTTGATAAGCACATTCGTGTGGATGTTGTTGGTTTTTCTGGAGGGATTTGGGTCTTGTGGAAGGAATATGTGTTTGCTATACAGTTTCTTCACTTCAAATGTACAGGGGCGAACAATATCTCTGCTATTCTGACTGCAATTTATGCTAAGCCTAGAGACCACGAGCGTAATCCTCTTTGGGCAGCAATTCGTCGTCTCGAGCAAAGCATCACCCAACCTTGGCTTCTAGCGGGGGATTTCAACTCCATCACGTGCCTGTCATAGCGTAACAGAGGAGCCCAGTACAATGCCCACAGGACCTCCAATTTCAACGCTTGCATTAGGGATTGTGGCTTGATAGATGTTGGACTCAATGGGCTGAAATTTACTTGGAGTAATGGGACGCTCTCACAGCGTTTGGATAGGGCACTGTGCAATCAAGAGTGGCTACGGTTATTCCCCGATACCTTGACTAGTCACCTGCCTAAACTCCGATCGGATCACAGACCGATCCTCATTCAAAGTAATAATGACCATGTTCCGCCAAAGCAGGTGAGACCTCTCCAATTCCTTGTACCATGGCTTGCTCATAAAGATTTCCCATCTGCAGTTGAAGCCTCGTGGCATCGAGGAAGGGACTGTCTTGTGTCATTGCATGAACTCCAAGTTCATCTTATGCGCTGGAATAAAGAGGTCTTCGACAATATTTTCTTGAGGAAAGCCAAGTTGACCGCTAAGCTTGCCCATTTAGAAGTACAGAATGAGAACTCGGCTTCGGAGGCCTCTATGCGGAAAGAAGGGCAAATCCGGGAGGAGCTGGAACAGGCTCTGTGGCAAGAGGAGCTCTTGTGGCTCCAAAAAGCGAGGAACAATCAAATTCTAAATGGAGACAGGAACACTCGCTATTTCCATACTGCTGCCCTCACGAGAAGAAGGAAAAACAAAATCACCAAGTTACAAGCAGTAGTTGGGACATGGATAGAGGATCCTGATGAGCTTAGGAATATGGCGCGTAATTTTTATGTTGACTTATTCACTGATGATTGTTGCGGGCAGCAACAAGTCCCAGCTTCTTTCAACGTTCTGACTGAAACAATGACAGCCAACCTAGCAAAGGTCCCATCCCTGGAGGAGACTTTCCAAATAATCAAGGAAATGGGGGGTCTAAAAGCACCAGGGAAGTATGGATTTCATGCCTCTGTTTACCAAAAATGTTGGAGTAAGGTAGGGGCAGATTTCTATGACCATTTGGTTGCTTGTTTCAGGAACCCAGACCGAATCAAGCTGTGCAATGACACTTTGCTAGTGCTGCTGCCAAAGGTGGATTACCCGAAGCAGATAGCCCAGTTTCGGCCGATTGGGCTATGCAACGTGAGCTATAAAGCTATAGCAAAATGTCTAGCTAATAGACTCAAAGGATTCATGCTGCAACTGATAGATCAGAGCCAGACCAGCTTCGTTCCCAAGAGGCACATCACCGATAATATAATTATTCTGCAGGAGGTAGTGCACACAATGTCAATCCGGACAGGGGGAAAAGGAAGCATGATCCTAAAGATTGACCTTGCCAAAGCGTACGACATGATTAATTGGGCGTTCCTTGAGTCGACTCTCCTGGCGGCTGGACTTCCAAAAGATTTTGTCGAACTCATTATGGCTTGTGTAACTACTACCCGATTTCAGGTGTTATGGAATGGCGGCTGCACGGAACCCTTCTAGCCTTCAAGACGCCTTCGCCAGGGATGTCCTCTCTCCCCATACTTGTTTACTCTTTGCATTGAAAGGCTGAACCATTGTATTAAGGATTCTGTTAATAGGAAAACTTGGAAGCCGATTACCTTGTCTAAGGATGGACCGCCTCTCACCCACTTATTTTTTGCAGATGACCTGGTTTTATTCGCGGAGGCCAATCAGAAACAAGGAGAAGAAATCTTGGCTTGCCTTGACTGCTTCTGCGGGGCTTCCGGGGAGCGTGTTAACAAGGACAAGTCTTGTGTCTATTTTTCCAAGAATACCAGGGAGGAACTTAAGACAAGGATCAGTGACACCTTGGGAATTCAACACACCAACAATCTCGGCCGATACTGGGTATTCTGGTGCTTCATGGCAGGAGCACCAAGAATACTTACAAGTATATCTTGGAAAAGATCGACCAGCGTCTTTTGGGTTGGAAGGCTAGAAGCCTTTCGCTAGCAGGGCGTGTCACCTTGGCTGTCTCTGTTCTGAACGCAATTCCTAACTATGTGATGCAGACGGCTGTCCTCCCTATTTCAGTCTGCGATGCCATTGACAGGAAAATTCGGCCTTTCATTTGGGGAGCAGAGGAAGGCCATCACAAGGCCCACTTGGTGAAGTGGGAAACCATCTGCAAACCGAAGGAGGAAGGAGGCCTCGGTTTAAGATCAGCCACGGCGCTGAACCTCGCTTATCTAATGAAACTTGGATGGGCCTTCCTGAATAAGTCCGATGACTTGTGGATTCGTGTGATGCAAGGAAAATATTTTAAATCTAATGCTGCAGGTGAATTAGTCATGAGGAAGAGTAACTATTCGAGACTTTGGAAAGGGATCGTGGAGTCCTGGCCGGCTGACACGCCAAAACACAACACCAATCTGCGACCAAGTGTAATCGCAGACCGGGAATGCAGTAACAGGCAAGTTATATTATCAACCCGGGGTCTAGATCTACTGCTTACTCAGTGATTCTCTGTTATCTAGCCAACTAGAGTAAGTGATTGTTGTTTAAACTAAAAGCAGAAATAAAGCAGAAAATTAATCGGTTTTCTTAAGCAGGAAAGAGTCACTCGGGAATGAATCCCCCTAGCTCCTTAGTTAGGTTTCAATTGCAATTTACCCTGGGTTGATTTACTGTTGATTAGACTGCGGAAGATCCGACAGTAGCTTGGAATCTCTTAAGCTGACCAAGCCCTCTCAGTCTAACTACCCGGCAGACGACTAGTCTTCACCGGGATAGAAAGCTGAGGCTATGAACCCAGAACTCCACTACTGGCGCCAAGAACACCAATACAAAGCAGTAAACTGGCTAACTCTCGTATAGCCAACCTCCTACTATCGAATGAAGAGGCTCTAACAACCTAATCAGATTCTATCTATCTCAGGTTGAAGCAGAAATTGAGACAAGCTGATCAGACTCAAATCAATTCATGAAACATGCATCATTCGATTAAAATCAAACAGTAGTATCATCCCAAGTCATTACAATCAATCCCCTAACGCATGGAACTAGGGTTCTTCATCCCCAAGTGAGAGAAGGGTTCTACTCCATAGAGAGAGAAGAGAAAACAAGAATCGGATTAGTCATACTCATAACGATGAGGATAATCTGCTCCGGGACGATGATTTTCACTCCTATGACGATCTCCAGGCTCGATTCGATGAAATCCAGCTCTAAGACAGCTTCTAGGATGTGTTCTTCGTACTTTCTCTCTCTAGGGCTCTGTTTTTGCTCTGAAAACACTCTCCTCTCACTTCTGGCTCGGATTAGGCTTTAAAACCGGGTTTCCCGAGTTGCACGGCCAGGGTGCACGGCCGTGCACCTCACCATTCTGGCCGTGCACCATGAAACGCAGCGTATCCCTTAAGTCGAACTCAGGCTTCTTGCACGGCCAGGTGCACGGCCGTGCAATCTTCAGGGCCTGTCCGTGCAGCTCCTCGGCATGAGGCGCACGGCCAGCTTGCAACCGTGCACGGCCGTGCAGCCTCCCTGGTCTGCCCGTGCAGCTCCCCAAAAACCTCGCCATTCGTCCGTTCTTCGTCCAATTGACCCCAGACTCGCTCCTAAGCCTTCATTCACGTACTAGGACATGAAATATCACAAACAAGCACAACCTAGCGTGAAATCGGCCTAAAACACGAGAATCAACACCTCAAACGGTGTAATAACGGGGGTAAAAACATGTGTAAATGACGGTCTATCAAACTCCCCCACACTTAACCGTTTGCTTGTCCCCAAGCAAACCAAGTCAGACACTAGGTAAGCCTACACATTTCAATCAACCAACATTGGGGACAAGTCATAAAGGCACAGAACACGTGAATCGCACTGGTTTTCAAACATCAATACATGCACAACCTCAATAACAACCTGGACAACCACCACAAAGGACATTTGAGTGCAGCAAATCGAGTAAAGGAAGAGTCTCCCGTCTGTTCACTGGCCAACCTAGACTTGATTCAACCACTTACTCAAAACAGTCAACTCATGCATCCAACTCAAGACATCAGAATAGAGACCGAGCAATCTAGGTCCTCACCGGGGTACAAGAGCATATAGAAAATGAAAATGAATCACTCACTCTCGACCAGTGGGGTCAGGACAATTTGATGCGAAAGATGCGCATGCTATTTCTCTCAATCCCTATCATCTCTTCACCATGATGGCAGCCTCTAAATGCTAGAGTTCACATATGGGGTGTCACCACTAACTAATCAGGAGGTCTTAGACACAGGTTCAAATGACTGGCTAGGGTCTTGGACATGGGGAAAAGGCCTTTTAGGTGGTGGAAGTATTCATAGCAAAAGGTTCCACATTTTCCAAACACACAATCACAGTCAAACAAACCGGTATTTTCTTTCTGCTATTCTGCATTACTCAATATCTTAAGAACACAAGAACGAAGGAGGCATAAACATCAGCATTTCCAAGCCAGACTGCTAAGAAACACTACTTACGGGGCATTATTCAGATTTTTGGTAGTGGCTCTCTTTTACTTTCAATTATTTTTTTCTTCGTTTCACTTTCATTTTTCTTTTCATTTCTTAAGAGAGCCACCACTCCTGCACATATTTCAAACATCCGCCCAACTTTTAAGCACTACCTCCAACACTCACATAGACTTTAGCAGAAACAGCAGAGAATATATAAAAACCACTCTGTGGAACCTTCTAAAAGATGCAACAAGGGTGATTTCTTTTCATTATAGACCAAAAGAAAGGATAACACACCGCTCAAAGGGGCTGACTAGGGGATATGACACATCAGGACAGTCAGTTTTGGGCGTGGGCTAATCCTATGCCCCCATCATCTCAGCTAGTGACAACGTGAATGCTACACATCATGGAAGAGGGATCTATCGCACAAGAAAGAAACGAGCAGGCTCAAATCTCACATGGCTACCTATATGCTCTATCTCATATTCTGCTACCCTGAACTAGATGCATAAACGACTGTTAAGAACAAGTAATCAGATCAAGTCAGATCAAGTCACAGTTGGCAAGCAAACAGTTGAAAAACTGAACCCCTACATCGTTCTACTGCACATCTCAGTCCTCATCATAGGTTGTCCTAGTCGCAAACAAGTTGTCATGCATTAATCCGAAAACCAATCAATTCATCCATTAAAACACAGTGCCAATATGATCAAACAGCAGTACTTGGAGCCCTCAAATCGTAAGATTCGGACAGCGGACTAGGCTCCAAGCACCATCATAAATATTCCAACCGATACAAAGCATCCCCCCACACTTAAGAACGACATTGCCCTCAATGGAGCAGAGGGAAAGATAAGGGGAACGATGTTACCGGGTAGGAACACTGCTGGGGGACTGGAAGTGGACCAGTCGGCGAGAAACGAACGGGAGAGTGGACAATGCTGCACAAATCGAACATCAGAAACACACTAGCACACTGTGCGTTAGGGATAAGTGTTAGCCCAGACGGCTACATCAAACCACAAAGGAAAAACCAAAAACAAAAACAAACGACACTAAGTTCAAGCTCCGCACACATGGAGCAAACACACAAAAGTCTAAAATGAAAAAGAAAACACACTGAGACGGGCAACGAGTACAGCCTACTCGTCGCCAAGATCGTCGAGGTCGATGTCGTTCATGAACGCATCATCATCAGCAGCGCCAGCAGTTCCATCATCACCGTCAGCTGAAGCAGCCCCGGCCGCACGGGCAGGCGCGCACGGCCGTGCACGGCGTGCTTCTGCCCGTGCAGGCCGACACGGCCTGGCCGAGCCGAGGCGCACGGCCGTGTACCTGTCGCTCTTGGCCGTGCACTCTTGGCCGAGAGCTCGCACGGCCAGGCCAGGCATAGCGCACGGCCGTGCAAGACAATGCCATGCCCGTGCAAATCGCACAGCCAAGCCAGGCTGAGCGCACGGCCGTGCATTGTGCACTTGTGGCCGAGAGCTCACACGGCCAGGGGGGGTACCCGAACGGCCGTGCAAGTCTAGGTTCTGGCCGTGCGACTTGCTGGGGTCCCGAAATCAACCTGTTTTCGCTCAAAAACGACACGTAACTCTGGATCAACGTCTCAAGACTCAAAAACACACAAAATCAAAGGAAAAAGAGTAAGAAAATGCAAACCTCGGTGGGGTTGCCTCCCCACAAGCGCTTCTTTACCGTCTTTTAGCTGGACGCCAGTATGGATGCTCAGGGAAGTGTAGGATCAGGTGCCTTCAAGAGCGGATCCACATCGCTCTTGAGGTACAGCTTCAAATGGTGGCCATGCACGCGACGAATGTGGCCACCTGCATTCGCCAGCTCAACTTGGCCATCCGGTAGGATGCAAGCGAGTGAATACTCGGATGGCCAAGGAGGGGGCGGGACCAGCTCATAGTGGTCTCCGGCTTCCTTTCGAGCAGGCTTAGCTGCCTGCAGTTTCGGCCGCCACTCCTCCTTGATCTGTTCTTTGGGTGACGGAGTGGTCCGGAGTGGCGGCGAAGGTGTGGGAGGCGGTTCCTGCAAAATAGGCAGCACAGAAGGATACACGACAGACTCGTGCTCCTGGTGAGATACAGCATGCAGAGGTAACGAAGCAGGTATATTATCAGCAACAGAAAACGTTATTCGCTCCTCGCCATCCCTCAAAACTAAGGTCCCATCATGCACATCTATGAGAGCCTTGGCGGTGGCCAGGAAAGGCCTTCCCAGTATAAGAGGCACTTCTGTGTCCTCACTGATGTCCAAGATGACAAAATCCACGGGATATGTGAATTTGCCAACCTTAACCAGAAGGTCTTCCACTATACCCCTAGGATGCACTACAGATCTGTCAGCTAATTGAAGGGTCATCCTAGTAGCACGGGGTTCACCTAGGCCTAGTTTCATGAACAATTTATATGGAATAACATTGATACTAGCACCTAAATCCGCCAAGGACTTCTCTACATGCAATTTATCAATAGAGCACGGGATAGTAAAACTACCTGGGTCCTTCTTCTTCTGCGGAAGCTTGTTTTGCAGAATAGCCGAGCATTCCTCGCTGAGCTCTACCGTGGCCAGCTCACTCAGCTTCTGCTTCTTTGAGAGAAGCTCTTTCAGAAACTTCGCATACTTTGGCATTTGCGATAGTGCCTCCAGGAAGGGCACTTGGACATTCAGCTTCTTAAGCATGGCCATGAAGTTCTCGAACTCTGCCTCCAGCCTGTCTTTGTGCAACCGAGTAGGGAAAGGGAGTTTAGGGACATACTCCTTCACTACTGGTTGCGGTTTAGGTGCAGGCACCTCAACTTCCTTCTCTACTTCCTGTTCAACCGCTGGAGCCGCTAAGACAGGGCTTTCTTTCTCCGGTTCCCGAGCAGGGGGATCAACAGTCATCTTGCCACTCCTGGTCATGATGGCATTGCAGCGCTCATTCGGGGTCGGCGGGTGAGGGATGGTCTGCCCTGGTAGAGTACCAGGAGCCCTTTGAGCCACTGCCTGGGCCACGCTCCCCAGCTGGGTCTGGATATCCTGCAAAACAGCCCGTGTATTCCTCTGACCAGCTTCCAGAGCCAGGAGTTGACCCGAGGCCTTCTCCATGAACTGCTCAAAGGTGTTGAATTTCTGAGCACTAACACTGGCAAGAGAACCCACCAAGTCCCGCAGTTCAGCCATCTGATCATTCTGCACTGGGGCAGCAGGGGCTGCACCTGGCTGCTGGAATTGCCCCTGTCTGGGCTGATATGGTGGCCTCTGGAAGCCCGGTGGTCCCTGTGGAGCTGGTGGTCTGGGATTTGGCCCAGTCCAGGAGAAGTTAGGATGCTGGCGCCACCCCTCATTGTACGTGTTGCTGTAGGGGTCATTGCGCCTGACATTGTTGATGAAGTTCACCTGCTCCTGGGGCGTGGTCGATTCCTTCATCGCCTGGCAGTCTTCCACCATATGATGGGTGCTCTCGCACCACTGGCAGAGCATCGCCTGCTGCTGTCCGGTCCCTGGAATCATCCCGGAACGATCGATAGCTGAGACCAGCTTCGATACTACCTGCACCAAATCGGATGACTGGGTGCCCACAGCATGCACACCCCGGCCTGGTGCTCTCCTCGATCTCCTGGCAGTGCCCCAATCATAACCATTCTCCGCCATCTCTTCAAAGAGTTGATTCAGCTGTGGCGGGGTTTTGGTCAGCATGTTCCCGCCACAAACCGAATCGATCAGCTGCTTGTCCTCCGGGAAGAGGGCGTGATAGAAGGTGCCCACCTTGAACGCATCGTTGAAACCATGATTGGGACACCTGAGGAAAAGACTGTTGTACCTCTCCCATGCATCCCTGATGGTCTCATCCTCATCCTGAACAAAATGTGTAATTTGCTTCTGCAGGTCAGCTGTCTTGGATGGAGGATGGTAGCGGGTGAGGAACTTGTCCGCCAGGTTGGCGAACGTGGTGATGGAGCCCGGAGATCGAGTGTCTAGCCACTCCTTGGCCTGCCCCTCCAGAGTGAATGGGAAGTACCTCAGCTGGATGGCATCTGCTGGTACCCCATTGATCTTGATTCCATCGATGAGCTCGTGGAATCGCCTGAGATGTGATCGAGGGCACTCTCCCTCCTTACCACGGAACACTACTGAACCGCGCAGCATGGTGATCACGGAGGTGCTCACCTCAAAGTTGTTGGCTGGGACCTGAGGGTGCTGAATGGGTGACCTCATGTCCGCAGCCCTAGCGGTCCAGTAGGAGCCCATGGTCTGCTCCTCGGGGATCACAGCATGGTTCCCTGGTTCAGCCATCTCTTCTTCTTCCTCCTCTAACTGCAGCTGTGATAGCGCCTCCTCCTTAGCCAGTCGCGCCTTTAGAGCCCGCTTGAAGTTTCTGCAGGTTCGTTCAAGCTCCTGGTCTAGTGGTAGTAGATCTCCCGACTGGCTACGGGTCATGCACTACCTGCACACAATCAGCAGAAACAACCCGTGAAGGCACACAGGTGGAAGAAATAAAAAGCAGAAAATAAAAGCTAGAGTAACAAATTCTCACGTTTCCCCAATAACCTAGAGGGTCCCCGGCAACGGCGCCAAAAACTTGACACGCCAAAACACAACACCAATCTGCGACCAAGTGTAATCGCAGACCGGGAATGCAGTAACAGGCAAGTTATATTATCAACCCGGGGTCTAGATCTACTGCTTACTCAGTGATTCTCTGTTATCTAGCCAACTAGAGTAAGTGATTGTTGTTTAAACTAAAAGCAGAAATAAAGCAGAAAATTAATCGGTTTTCTTAAGCAGGAAAGAGTCACTCGGGAATGAATCCCCCTAGCTCCTTAGTTAGGTTTCAATTGCAATTTACCCTGGGTTGATTTACTGTTGATTAGACTGCGGAAGATCCGACAGTAGCTTGGAATCTCTTAAGCTGACCAAGCCCTCTCAGTCTAACTACCCGGCAGACGACTAGTCTTCACCGGGATAGAAAGCTGAGGCTATGAACCCAGAACTCCACTACTGGCGCCAAGAACACCAATACAAAGCAGTAAACTGGCTAACTCTCGTATAGCCAACCTCCTACTATCGAATGAAGAGGCTCTAACAACCTAATCAGATTCTATCTATCTCAGGTTGAAGCAGAAATTGAGACAAGCTGATCAGACTCAAATCAATTCATGAAACATGCATCATTCGATTAAAATCAAACAGTAGTATCATCCCAAGTCATTACAATCAATCCCCTAACGCATGGAACTAGGGTTCTTCATCCCCAAGTGAGAGAAGGGTTCTACTCCATAGAGAGAGAAGAGAAAACAAGAATCGGATTAGTCATACTCATAACGATGAGGATAATCTGCTCCGGGACGATGATTTTCACTCCTATGACGATCTCCAGGCTCGATTCGATGAAATCCAGCTCTAAGACAGCTTCTAGGATGTGTTCTTCGTACTTTCTCTCTCTAGGGCTCTGTTTTTGCTCTGAAAACACTCTCCTCTCACTTCTGGCTTGGATTAGGCTTTAAAACCGGGTTTCCCGAGTTGCACGGCCAGGGTGCACGGCCGTGCACCTCACCATTCTGGCCGTGCACCATGAAACGCAGCGTATCCCTTAAGTCGAACTCAGGCTTCTTGCACGGCCAGGTGCACGGCCGTGCAATCTTCAGGGCCTGTCCGTGCAGCTCCTCGGCATGAGGCGCACGGCCAGCTTGCAACCGTGCACGGCCGTGCAGCCTCCCTGGTCTGCCCGTGCAGCTCCCCAAAAACCTCGCCATTCGTCCGTTCTTCGTCCAATTGACCCCAGACTCGCTCCTAAGCCTTCATTCACGTACTAGGACCTGAAATATCACAAACAAGCACAACCTAGCGTGAAATCGGCCTAAAACACGAGAATCAACACCTCAAACGGTGTAAGAACGGGGGTAAAAACATGTGTAAATGACGGTCTATCACCGGCCATCAAGGAACGGATTGTTTGGGACATCCGAGAGGGCCGCAATGTCCAATTTTGGACTGATGCTTGGCTGGCCGAGGGCCTCATCCTGCGGGACCACGTGAGCAACGGAGGGGAAGGCATTAACTGGCACGCCAATGTGGCGGATATGGCCACTGATGAAGGTGAGTGGAATTGGAAGGAAATTGAACCTTATCTGACTCAACAGTTTATCTCCCTAGTTGCAGGCACTGATCCACCGGTGGCAGGCTCGGGAGAAGATATCACGGCATGGGGAATGGAACCGGACGGGAAATTTAAACTTCGATTTGCTTACTATGCTGCAGTTGATTGGATCGGCTACACGGATCTCCGAATGGATGGGGAAACCCCTCAACCCCACTGGAAGCAGCTTTGGAAATGGTCCGGACCAAAGCGGATTAAGCATTTTCTCTAGCTTGTTTTTCATGACATGTTTGATGACAAATGCGGAACGAAAGAGGAGGAAGTTGACGAGCAATGAAGCCTGTACCACCTGCAATAATGGGACAGAGACAATTGAACACATCCTGCGTGGCTGCCCCAGCTCCCAACAGGTATGGCGATTGTTGGGGATAAATGATACTCTTCTCACCTGCGGCCTTGGTTTTACAGCTTGGCTAGAGTCACACCTTGGGAACGATCAGGAAGGACTTCTCTTTGGAGTGGCATGCTGGTACCTCTGGAAGAGACGAAACGAGAAGACCTTCCACAATTTGACTCAAGAAGATCACATCCTGGCGCATCGGATCAGGTGCTGGACCAATACTATCCGCAATGCGCAACTGAGCGACAGGGATTCCCATGATCAGACTCCGACGAAGACAGTGCAGGAGCTTGTGTGGGAACCTCCCCGACATAGTGGATGAGCATCAATACCGACGGGTCGGTCAAACAACCGGGATCGCTTGCTGCAGCGGGAGGTTTGATCCAAGACTGGACAGGACGCTGCGTGGACGCTTTCGTGGAGAATCTTGGAATTTTCACGATCACCAGAGCTGAGATCAAAGCGGCAATTCGTGGCCTGCAGATGGCTTGGAGGAAAGGCTATCGCAAGGTTCACATTCAATTGGACTCTACCACTGCTGTCAATATCCTCTCCTCCCAAAATCAGACCGATCACAGGTACTTCAACCTGGTCCAACAATTCAAGGGACTAGTTCAGCAAAATTGGGAAGTTAAAATTTCCCATACCTACAGAGAATGCAACAAGGCCGCGGACTTCTTGGCGAATAAGGGTCACGGTGTTAGCATAGGTTTCCATGATTTCAGGATCGATGATCCAGGTTTATCGTTTTGGATTTTGTATGATACTTAAGCATTGCTCAATCTCGCTTAATTTAAGTAGCAGGCAGGGGCGCCCTTTTAGCGTCCCATTTTTCTACAAAAAAAAAATAACGAAATTGGCCAAATCCAATGTTTGAGCGTTTGATAACGATTTAATTGCACATATTTGCGCCCCTAGTTCTTATCCGTTTGAGGGGCATAGTCGTGTATTTTTGGCCTATTTTACGCCGGGTTGTGCTATTTTGTCATATTTCAGGTCCCAGGCGTCAAAGAAAAGGCTAAGCACGAGTTTCGGGGCATTCGAAAGTCATTTTGTCGAGCTGGAGCCAAAACACGGGCACACCTAAAACAGAACACGGCCGTGTTCTGTGGCCGTGCTTTTACTGCCGAGAGCAAATTCGAGTTTGGCAAACATTGGCTAAAAACACGGGCAGGGCTTAGACAAAGCACGGCCGTGTCCACCCAAAGCACGGCCGTGTCCACCCAAAGCACGGCCGTGTCCTCTCCAAAGCACGGCCGTGTTTCTCCCAACAGGTGGCCGTGTAATTAACCCTAGCCAAAGCACGGGCGGGCTGAGGCATTACACGGCCGTGCCCTCGACCGTGCTTTGGCCAGGGATGCCCTTTTAAGCAGATTTTCAGCCAAACAGAAGGGGATTCGAGTTTTGAGAGAGATAGAGCGATTCCTAGAGAGAGAAAGCGACGAACAAGAGTCTCCAAGTGCCCTAGCTTGATCTTCAACACCATTGGAGGCCAGTTTAAGCTTGGAGGAGTGCCGATCAACGTCCAGGAGCAGGGATCCATCCTTCACAGTATGAATTCCGCGTCTCATTCTGCTTTTGCCTCTTTCTCCATGGAGCAGTTCTCCCATTCATCTGAGTATGGAGAACCCTAGATTTGTATGTTAGGCTTTGATTGTATGAACCCAAGTACTGATTCTATGATTTGATTATATTCAATTGAGGTTTGAATGATTGAATGGCTTGAATCCTGATCAAATTCCTATTGTTTCTGCTTTGACCTAGAATGAGAATATCTGCCTAGGTTGATAGAGCATCCTTGATTGAAGGTAGGGAGTTGGTGACTTTAGCCGAGGAGCCAACTCACTATTCTGTACCGGATTTACTCCGGTAGTGGAGGTTTTGTTTGTTAAGGCCTCAATCTGTTTACTCCGGTGGAGGTTAGTCGCCCGCTAGAGACTCAGATTGAGAGGGTCTGAAGACTTTTAGTCGAGACTTCAGGCTGTTTAAGAACCTTCCGCAATATAACTATCATAGAAACTGAACTTGGTAATTACAATCCGGCTTAACTGCAGTCTAGGGGGAACCATATCCGGGTGACCTCTCTTAACCTGAATACAACTGTTTACTTGCTTTGTTAGTTTGTTAGTTTAAACTTGCATTTAAGTTTCATTGCTAGATAACAAGAATTCACCGAGTAGTCATCAAATCTAGAACCCGGGTTGATAATTAAACCTAAACCCGCTATACTATGCTTTAGGAAGTGGTTTCACTTGGCCAATTCCTGGAGTGACAGTAGAAGTGAGTCAAGTTTTTGGCGCCGTTGCCGGGGACGGCTAGGTTGTTGAAGAAAAGTGATTTCTGTTAATTTAGCTTTTCTTTTTGCTTTGTCCCACTTGTGCCTTCACGGGTTTGCTTGCTTAAGTGTGTGCAGGTAGTGCATGACCCGTAGCCAGTCAGGAGGTTTACTGCCGTTGAATCCAGAGATTGATCGCACCTGTCGCCAACTCAGGAGACAAGAGCGAGCTAGACTGGCTACGGAAGAGCGCATAGACGGCCACCTGAGCAGCGATTCTGAAGAAGAGTACGGGATGGACGGAGACTACAATCAGCACCAGGGGAATCCTCAGCAGGTTCCCCCGGTGAATAAGGTCCTGGGGAACAACCCCATACCTCAGGATCATGGGGTTCATCATCATCACCCGCCTCCGGGTCCCACCTTGGAGTACTACTACACTCCACGGATTGCTGACATCCGCCCGGTCATCCTCTACCCGCCTATTCCAGCAAACAACTTCGAGATCAAGCCATGCTGGATTCAGCTCATTACATCCTCTATCCAGTTCCATGGCTTGAAGGATGAGGAGGCTAGGGTGCATCTTTCCCGTTTTCTGCAGCTGACGAACGGGTTCAAGCTGAATGGTGTCCCGGATGATGCAATCCGCCTTCATCTCTTCCCCCATTCTCTGGCAGAGAATGCTAAGAGATGGTTGGAGACCCAGCCCCCATTGTCCATCACCTCTTGGGACGATCTGGATGACAAATTCGTGCACATGTACTATCCGACATCGAAGACTACAGAGATCCAGCGGGAGATCACTCACTTCCGCCAAGAGCCAGATGAGTCACTTCGTGATGCATGGGAGCGGTACATGGGATATTTCTGGCAGTGTCCCCATCATGGCTTTAGTGATGCATTCACAGTGGGGAACTTCTACAGTGCTCTCTCTCCAGACAGCCAGAGGGTGATTGAGTCTCTATGCCCAGGAGGGGATATTCTTACTAAGACTCCACCCGAGCTGAACCAGATGATCAATACCTTGGCTGCCAGAGATCATTCTTGGGGACAGAGCAGCAGAGGCAGACATTCCCGGGACCGTGGTGTGCACGCCATGGAGACCAGATCCGGGCTCGAGCAGCAGGTCGCTGAGCTGGTGCAGACATTGAAGCAGCCCAACAGTCTTATTCCGGGCAGAGGTTTAGCTACACCTCCAGTTGCTCAATGTCAGTGGTGTGAGAGCTCCAATCACCTAGTGGAGGACTGCCAAGCTATGAGGGAGTCTACCACTCCCCAAGAGCAGTTGGACTTCATCGCCAATGCTCGGCGCCTCGACCCGTACAGCAACACATATAATGAGGGGTGGCGCCAGCATCCCAACTTCGCCTGGAGCAGCAACACCACTAAACCACCTGGATTCCCAGCACCAGCAGGTGGTTTTCAGCAGAGGCAGCCCTTCCAGGCTCGACAGGGGCCGGCCCCACAGCAGCAACCCTACCAGCCTAGGCAGGGGCAACCATTCCAGCAGCCCCAGCGCCAGTTCGCCGAGCCAGCAGCAGCTCCGGCCCCAGATGACCGGATGACAAAGCTGGAAAATATTCTAGCTTCATTCATGACTAGCACTCAGGCTGCTATCACGTCACTGGAGGCAGGTTAGCGGAACCAGGGTGCCATTTTGCAAGATCTGCAGACCCAGGTGGGCATCTTGGCCCGCCAAAACACTACCAGGGCACCAGGGACTCTGCCTGCCACCACTATCCCGAATCCTCGGGATCCTCACCAGCTCCAGCAGCTGGATGCCATTTTTACCAGGAGCGGTAAGACCATATCTGCTGATCCTGTCCCGGCCAGACAGGAGGAACCACTACCTGCTTCAGCACTTCCAGCCGACGATGCAGAAGTGCGGTTGGAGAAGGAAGCCCCTGCTCCCAAGCCATAACCAGTGGTTAAGGAGTATGTACCCCAGCTTCCCTTCCCCACTCGCCTACACAAAGACAAGCTGGAGACTGAGTTTGTTTATGGCAATGTTGAAGCAGCTCAACATCAGCATACCGTTTGTGGAGGCAATGTCGAAGATGCCCAAGTACGCGAAGTTCATGAAAGATCTCCTCACCAACAAGAAGAAACTTGGGGATCTCTCGACAGTGTTGCTGAGCGATGAGTGTTCTGCTATCCTGCAGAACAAGCTGCCCGAAAAGCGCAAGGATCCAGGGAGTTTTACTATCCCTCTTACTATTGGCAGCATGCATGTAGGCAAGTCCTTGGCGGACCTAGGCGCTAGCATAAATTTCATGCCATATAAGTTGTATAATAAGCTATGCCTAGGTGAACTTAGCCCTACTAGGATGAGCATTCAGATGGCTGATCGTTCCATTGTGCATCCTAGGGGAATCATAGAGGATCTGCTTGTCAGTGTCGGTGCATTCACATATCCTGTTGATTTTGTTATTCTTGATATACATGAGGATGTGTATGTGCCTTTAATTTTGGGTAGACCATTTCTTGCCACCGCCAAGGCACTTATTGATGTGCATGATGGTAAACTGATCTTGCGTGCTGGGAATGAACAAGCTACTTTTTCTGTGACTGAATTTGATCACTGTGATATGATTGGTGTCACACATGTGCATGCCATTTCTGATCAGGTACACGAGCCTGTCGTGTATCCTTCTGCACCTCTTATTTTGCAGGACCCTCCTATCATTCCTTTGCCACCACTCCATCCAGGCTCACCTCCGAACAAATGATCAAGGGGGAGTGGCGGCCGAAGCAGCAGGTTGCTAAGCCTGTTCGGAAGAAGGATGGAGACCACTATGAGCTGGTCCCACCTCCTACATCACGACCACCCTGGCCGTCCGGGTACTCACTTGCCTGCATCTTGCCGGATGGCCAGGTCGAGCTGACTGATGATGGTGGTCGCATCCGTCGGGTGCATGGCCACAACCTTAAGTTGTACCTCAAGAGCGACGTGGATCCGCTCTTGGAGGCACCTGTTCCTGCACCTCCCTGAGTATCCACCATGGGCGTCCAGCTAAAAGACAGTAAAGAAGCGCTTGTGGGGAGGCAACCCCACCACGGTTTGACTTTCTTTCTTGTGTTTTGAGTCGGATTGTAAACCGGTTTGGTTTTGGTTTGTTTTCTTTTGTTTTGGATGATGTATTATTGGGCTGACCATTGGACCTAACATATTGTGTTTGAGCTCTTTGGTTTTGTTTAGCTGTGCTTGTCTTGACTGGTCCTCTATCCAGTCCGCTTCACTCAGACTGGTCCGCTTCCAGTCTCCTGCAGTCCGTGCATACCGGTAACATCGTTCCCCTTTTCCTTCCCTCTTCTCCATTGAGGGCAATGTCGATCTTAAGTGTGGGGGGATGTTTATCTTTTGACTGCATTAGATCTGTTTGTGTGCTTGGAGCCTAGTCCACTGTCCAAATTTTTAAATTTGAGGGCTCCAAGTACGTGTTTCCATTGCCTGCTCAGTATGCTTTGAATTGACAGTCTTTATAGTCATATGCAACCTAGGGAGGTAGTGTAGCACTATGGAGGATGTTGATGCATTTGAGAAGTCTCATTTCTTCTTCATATTGTGTTGGTTGATTGAGTGAATTAGTGATCTTAGGACCCTTGAATTGTGTGGTGTTGTGGACTCTCTACCTGTCATGGACTCTTGTTTCATGTTTTGAGTTTAACAGGTGCTCGAAAATGTGCTTCAAAATAACGTCTCCCGTGCGAATAGGGCGAAAGTATGTAAGGGGAGACGGGAATCCGTTCTCGATTTCCACCTAATACTTCCAGCCCCCTTACATGTCTTTCCCCCGCACGAGGCTCGAGACATCTGCTCCTGGCATGGCCGGTAAGAGCCGGTTGGGACCCTTGAAATAAGAAAAAAAAATAACTGAAAACAAGCAAAACAGAAAGAAAATGGGTTCCAACCATCTTCAAGAAGAAAATAGAGCACCTTGAAAAATGTGAGTCCATGATCCTTTGTTTTTGAGAATCTCTTCATCCACAATTCATTTGTCCTCTCTGTTCACTATTCGCCATGATGCCGACTCGATACTAGTGCTCTCGCCGAAGAAGCTATGAGATGACTTGTGCGTCGGTTGACCTCGTAAGTTGCTAAATGATCTAGGAAGTCCTCTACCTACGATCTGGGTTGTTTGTTGCTATAGAGGTCTGGAGAGTTGCATTGGTTTGAGTTAGGTTTGCTTGGGGACAAGCAAACGGTTAAGTGTGGGGGAGTTTGATAACGATGTAATTGCACATATTTGCGCCCCTAGTTCTTATCCGTTTGAGGGGCATAGTCGTGTATTTTTGGCCTATTTTACGCCGGGTTGTGCTATTTTGTCATATTTCAGGTCCCAGGCGTCAAAGGAAAGGCTAAGCACGAGTTTCGGGGCATTCGGAAGTCATTTCGTCGAGTTGGAGCCAAAACACGGGCACACCTAAAACAGAACACGGCCGTGTTCTGTGGCCGTGCTTTTACTGCCGAGAGCAAATTCGAGTTTGGCAAACATTGGCTAAAAACACGGGCAGGGCTTAGACAAAGCACGACCGTGTCCACCCAAAGCACGGCCGTGTCCTCTCCAAAGCACGGCCGTGTTTCTCCCAACAGGTGGCCGTGTAATTAACCCTAGCCAAAGCACGGGCGGGCTGAGGCATTACACGGCCGTGCCCTCAACCGTGCTTTGGCCAGGGATGCCCTTTTAAGCAGATTTTCAGCCAAACAGAAGGGGATTCGAGTTTTGAGAGAGATAGAGCGATTCCTAGAGAGAGAAAGCGACGAACAAGAGTCTCCAAGTGCCCTAGCTTGATCTTCAACACCATTGGAGGCCAGTTTAAGCTTGGAGGAGTGCCGATCAACGTCCAGGAGCAGGGATCCATCCTTCACAGTATGAATTCCGCGTCTGATTCTGCTTTTGCCTCTTTCTCCATGGAGCAGTTCTCCCATTCATCTGAGTATGGAGAACCCTAGATTTGTATGTTAGGCTTTGATTGTATGAACCCAAGTACTGATTCTATGATTTGATTATATTCAATTGAGGTTTGAATGATTGAATGGCTTGAATCCTGATCAAATTCCTATTGTTTCTGCTTTGACCTAGAATGAGAATATCTGCCTAGGTTGATAGAGCATCCTTGATTGAAGGTAGGGAGTTGGTGACTTTAGCCGAGGAGCCAACTCACTATTCTGTACCGGATTTACTCCGGTAGTGGAGGTTTTGTTTGTTAAGGCCTCAATCTGTTTACTCCGGTGGAGGTTAGTCGCCCGCTAGAGACTCAGATTGAGAGGGTCTGAAGACTTTTAGTCGAGACTTCAGGCTGTTTAAGAACCTTCCGCAATATAACTATCATAGAAACTGAACTTGGTAATTACAATCCGGCTTAACTGCAGTCTAGGGGGAACCATATCCGGGTGACCTCTCTTAACCTGAATACAACTGTTTACTTGCTTTGTTAGTTTGTTAGTTTAAACTTGCATTTAAGTTTCATTGCTAGATAACAAGAATTCACCGAGTAGTCATCAAATCTAGGACCCGGGTTGATAATTAAACCTAAACCCGCTATACTACGCTTTAGGAAGTGGTTTCACTTGGCCAATTCCTGGAGTGACAGTAGAAGTGAGTTAGCGTTAACTTGGACGGTCAAACTCGTTGATTAACGGTCAACGCGCCACATCACTGCCAAATCACGAACTATCAATTAATTTTTTTTATAATTTCCACCTATTATAATTTTCCTTTTATCATTTTGAAAAAAAAAATGCATCCCCTGCCCTAACCTCATTCATCCCGCCTTCGCCATCGCCCTCCTTCGATCACCAACACCACAGATCTAGAATCCACCGGAAATGGTCGCCATGCCGCCGCCGAGAGACGGCGACCCTACCGCGGGAAGCTCCGGTTCGGGGACAACATCGAGGATGAGTGGTTCGCCGTCTTCCTCCTCTTCGAAATTTCTCGCAACTTCCCTTCCCTCTCCATTCGCGCCTGGGACAACGACGGCGAGTTCCTCCTCATCAAGGTCGCCTTCCACCTTCCTCGTTAGATAGACCCAGAGACCAACAAGAATCGCGTGTTTATTCGCCGCGGCAATCTCCGAATCATCCCCAAGAAACGCCTCCCCAACCCTAGCTTACCTGAGTCGTTGAAGTTCCCCGTGAATTTCGAAATCGATTCTCGAGCGGCGGAGCCAATTCAGAAGGCAGCGAAGGATCGGATTTCCGACTATCCAGAGAGAGCGAGGCGAAACACGTACTGTGTTAGGGTTAGGGTTCCGGTCTCGGTGGCGCAAGTGCTGACGCACGAGCCGACGCCGTCCAGGATCACTCTTAATCTCTTCAACGAGAGCAGACTGGAGTTGAAACCCACCGCCGCGGCAGCAGCCGCCTCCGCCTCCACCTCCCTCAACTACCAAAGAGTCTACACTCTGGATAAATTCAAATCTGCCTTAGAGAGGGCAGAGAAAGATCCCGACCATGCAGCGGCGGCGGCAAGGAAACGGTTCACGACGGGAAAGTTGTCCCTGTCCCCTTCGTACTCCTCGTCGTCGTCTTCCGTCAAGGAGCTGGCTTCAGGGAGGAAGAAACAGAGGAGAGGGCGGCGACAGCTTCTTCCCCTGTGGCGGTGGGATTTCCTAGGTGCTTGTCGTACGTGTTGATCAGGAAGAACAACCTCAAGTGTCCAAGGTGTAACTCGGTTGTTCCGATGCCGACGATGAAGAAACAGAGGATCGACCTCAACATCTCCATTTGAAGGCGGCGGCTGTGGACGGTGGTGATAATGAAAAAAAAAAAGGATGTTAATAGGAAAATGATTTTTTTCAAAATGAAAAAGGAAAATGATAATAGGTGGAAATTATTAAAAAAATGAATTGAAAGTTGCTGATTTGGCAGTGACGTGGCGCGTTGACCGTTAGTCAATGTCGAGTTTGGCCAATTTCGTTATTTTGGTGTATAGTTTGGGCCAAGATGTTATAGATCGAAAAGATTGGTCAGGATGTTTATTATGGTCAAAGTTCAGGTCATACAAATATATTAACCAAAAAAGGAAGGTAAATACAATATATTAGACACAACTATTATACATAGGCTCCTTATAATCAATACTATCGAAATACAAATTATTAGTCATAACTCTTATCACCTGAAAATCTTTTAATTGCATCCATTAATTTTGATATGGACTACCCATAACTTATATATAGGGATAACAAATAGGGGGGGCATCCGGTTCGAATTTCTTGAACCAAATCAATTTGAATCGAACTAAGCCCGATCCGAAACCGAAATAATGCAATTTAGTTTAGAATTTGGAAGGGAATGATGGTTATTTCGGATTCCAGGGTATCCACGAACGAACCCGAATTTCAATCCGATAAACCAAAATTTTGCAGCCCACCCCTACCTACTAAGCCCAACACTCTCCTAGCCCAGTCACCCCCACTGCCCAACAGACTCTCATCTTCCCCTCAGAGCCTAGCTCTCTTGGCTTGTCTCCCAACCAACCCACTTTGACCCTGACCCGGTGAGAAAAACGGACCGCACGCACCCGTCGGGTCAACCGCTACAAGGTACCGGGTTAGAGGTCAAATTGTGTCATTTTTTTCTTTGGTTTGCGAAATGCGCCTATTTTCCGATTTTTGTTTTCGCCTAACTCAATTTTTGGAATCCAAATTGAACATTTGAATATTGATGTTATGTAAGTGTACGTGTGAATTTTCACTATATGTTGGATCTAAGTACGACATGTTATTTTGGTGTAATATTTTATGTTATAACTCATATGTGAGATTTGATATAATTTATCAAGATAAGTACAATATAATGACTATTTTCACATTTTCGGGCTAAATCGGGCTAACACGAGTGACCCATTAATCCTTGACCAACTAGCTCGTTCGGGTACGGATCAGCCCGCGGGTTGACAACCTTGCTCCCAACCCTCTCCTACGTACTCGCCCTAATCCCTATCTAGAGAGCATCCACCAACCCCCCACCTTTATTCCAAAAAATTATCTCACTAAATCAGTTCTCCGATCACCACCATCGCCTATTCTCATCTTCTTCTCCTGTCCCTGTTTGTCCCTACAGGCTGCAAGTGAGCAAATTCATATCCAAATCCTCGTCTCCTTCTCCTGTCCCTATCCTTCTTTTTCAGTGGGGAAAATGACATCTGGTACGGCCATCTCGGCGACGGCAGGATCGACACGGAGCGACGGCGGCATCGACAATGAGTGACGGAAAAAGCCCCGATGTACTCGGCTCCTGAAAATCCCATGCGTGCTCTCCCACGCCTTCTCTTTTGCATCGCTTCCTCTTCCTTGTAATGGGCGAGCGGCGAACTTGGTGCGCCTGACAGGAGGAGGGAGCTCAGAGAAGGCGAAAGGCCTGTTGTCCCTGGCAGAGAGAGAGACAGAGAGGGAGAAGATGGGAGAAGGAAAGAGTGAAGGGAATGAGAAGAGAGATTCTGAGTGAGAGGAGGAAACAAATCTGGGAAGGAATGAAAAGGAAGAAGCTTCGGGTTCGTCGGGTTTTGTGATTCTGAGCTGATTAAATTTCTGTTCGAAATTTAGTTGACCTTTGACAGTTTAAGAGTACCGGTATGATCTTGTTGGTTTGGTTTTAATCGAACCGATATCCACCCCTATGCATTAATGCGGTATTGTCAAACCGCTCCAATTCACACCAAATCATTTTTTTATCGATCCAAATCATATCGTAAGACTAGCGATCTAATATATGGTCCAAATTTTTAGTAGCTCACGACTAGTTGATTGTCACATAGGGCCTAAAAGCACATATAAGACCTTGAGTTGATTTTATCAATAAAATTATCGAGTATTTCCTGTAGAATTCAGCCTCACCCACGGTGAGAAAGAACCACTTAAAATTAATTATATTTACGTTTATCCTATTATTTTATATTTATATATTGGAGCCTCCACATCAATGCAATTGCAAAAACAATTGCATTTGTGCTCTTCATTATATTTTTATAAGGCATTTGTGCTCTTTATTGTCTACTCAATTTTTTTGCAATCCACCTCAAATCACTTTCATTCACCTACATCAATGCAATTACTTGCAATTTCATATGTAATTACAGATTATGTTTAAATTATGGAAAATAAAGTAAAAGAGAAAAGAAACAATATAAAATAAAATAAAAACTCTATTTTTATGTATTTTTTACTTGCATATGCAATTGCATTTGTTGCAAGCTTGCAAGTATGCAATTGGTAGTCACATCACATTAATGCAAATGGTTTTGCAATTGCAAACATCCATGTCATGTTATCTTGCAATTGAGAATGCAATACCAATGTTGATTCTCTTATAAAGATACCACTTACAATAGCTTAGTTTGGCCCTGCTGTAGTTTTTGCAGAAGCAACTTTCTGACTGGAGCTTTTAGATAAGTACTTTAAAAAAAAGCAGTTTAGTGTTTGGCTGTAAAACTATTAGAAGTGTTTTTTAATATGAGCGGTTGTAAAATGACTATAAAGGACTTATAATATAAAATAAAAATAAAAATTCTAAACAATAAAAAGTAGTCAAAATGGATCTTGTTAGATTTTTTTTATATTAAATAATATGATTTTATAATTTATTTTATTTTTAAAATGATATAAATGAAATAAAATTAAAATATGGTAAGTATAATCTTGTATTTTCAAAACAGCTTTTCGCAGAAGCTCCAAATCGGAGCTTCTGCTTTTATGTTATACAAAAACGTTTTTCAAAAGCCGAGCTTTTAGAGGTGTTTGGCCCTGCTTCAGCTTTTAAAGCCGAAAAGCACTTCTAAAAGCCGGGCCAAACATGGGCAATATCTTTATAAGAGAATCAACATTGATATTGCATTCTCAATTCCACGAACAAGGGCTTGGTCTAGTGGAAATACCACTAGCCTAGAATCTGGAGGTCCCAGGTTCGAATCGGCCTTAAGTAGTACCTTAATAACAACAAAATAAAACCTATATCACCGTTATAAAAAAAAATACAATTCCAAATCCTATTGATTCATATACTTTACTCATACATGTTTCGATATGATCAAATGAATTTATGAATGTGTAGATGACAAAGTTTATTGAAGATTATGAAAAACAATTGTATATAACTTATGTGTATCAAATTTTATTATTAATATTTCCCATATTTTGATTAGTTATTATAATTGGTAGTTTTGGGGGATAATAATAATGGTAGTCTTAGAGTAGTAGGGTTAGGATTCGCTTTGAATTGGGGTTGGCGGCTGTCGCTTGGCGGAATGGGTAATTAATAATAGTTGGATTAGGAGTTTGTGTCGTGGAGTAAGGGCCAAACTTGTGGCCGCAGGTTTGTGGGTAATTTACTAACCCTAAACTAGTCCTAATCCCTCACAAACCTGCGGGCTCCACGACACAATACTTGTTGTTCCATTCTTATAATCAATGGATAATGAAGAAAAAACCTCTAACAATGTATCTATTCTCTCAATTCTCAATCTCAACCCTTCTTAAAGTCTAGACTGATTCTCGACGTACACGATGCTTACACCAAAAATGCATCAATAACATGCCCAAAAAATAAGTTTGTGCACAACAAACCTCTACACCTATCTAATATTTTTTGTTATCAAGAATGATAAGCAAATCAAATGCGATGAAGGTTGATTGTTTAGATCCGTAGGTTTTTCCCCCTCTCTTTTTACTACTACATTGACTTTGGGGTTTGGCAACCACTTAAAAAACAATTTTCACTTGGTTTTTCCCCTCTCTCTTTTTATCGATCCTTCATAATCTTGATGCACAAAGACCCAAGAAGGGAGAAGGGATCAAGGGAGCCTTATTATGTATCTCTCTACTCTCTCACTACATTTCAAAACCTCTCAACTCCACACAACTTTTCTAGCTACCCAATGGGAAGCATTCAATGAAATCAACACAAGATCTCCAGCTAACCAAGGGGAAGCATTCAATGAACTCATGTCATTTATGCAGAAAACAGATGCACCAGTCCCCTGCCTTAAAGAATTCTTTGGAGATGAACCACTGCTCACACCCCCCCCCCCCCCAAAGATCAGCAACTTGTATCTAATCAGAATCCAGCTTTGTTGAAGGATAGGTTTGAAGTCAGAGAAGTTAAGGAGAAGCCAGACTCTCTACCATTTAGATATCTTGTTCCCCTGGAGATGGCAAATCTTTCTGCCCCCAGTTGGCCTACAGAACACATCCTCTGGAAACCTCCCCTTGGGACTCTTCTTTGCGCATCTCCAATCGAAGCTGAAGCGAAGGCTCTACTGGAAGCTCTCAAATTAGCTCAAGGATTACATTGCCCGATTACGGTGTGTTCGGATTGCCTCACTTTGGTAACAGCTCTTCAGAATCCTCTCCTGGTACTGCCGTGCAAATGTTCTGCCCTGCTGAGTGTCATGTCTGGAATCCTCTCCAGTTGCCCGTTGATCAAAGTGAAATTCATCGGACGTTCGCTCAATACCAGAGCAGACTGGATGGCCAGATCGCTCCTTAATCACTCTCTCCCCAGTGACTGGGTTGTTGTCCTTGATTTAATTTCTGAGTTCCTAGAATAACTGTTCAACAATGTTTTTCGGTTGGTGGTGCAATATAAGTGATCCCTTGTAAAAAAAAATTGACTTTAGGGTTTTGGAGAGTTAGGACAGGGACCAATCTTTCCAACCACTTAACTTGGCTGCTCCTGTCCAGTCCTGCCAAGTACGTGCATTTCCCTCTTTCCTTCCATGGCTGAATCAAATTAAGAAATTAACTGAAAGTTGGCACAAACAAAAGTCCTTACATATGGTCCCTACTCGAAAGGACTCTGAAATGGGTTTTGCACAGTAGTCTACTGCTGCAATTGCTTGTGGGCTGTGGTTGTGTCATAGTTGTCATTCCCACTCTTTCTAGTGCACCAATACACTAGACTTTGCTCCAAAACTCACCCAAACACCTTTCTTAATTATGATCTTATCTAAACTTTCCATCCACTTCGGGGTAAAATAGTTCTTGCAGGGACAACTCGAGTAATTGGTCGAGATCCAACTTTGTATATTGCAATCCTCTTTTGCATGCCTACTCAAACAAAAATTAACACAACATCTTTTAATAAAAATATCATGCCAATAACTAATTTTTCTCGTTGTTAGAAAAATATGCTGAAAAGGTAGTAGATATTTCAAAATTGGATTACTAGCAGTTACCTAACGACTCCATTTTTATTAAGCCATGATCAGTCCAAATTCAGCCGGCCCATAATTTGATGTGGGTCCTTACCCAATCTGTGGCCCACGTCTGAAAATATGGCCCATCAACTTTAGCAGCCTACAACCGCACTCCTGCACAGAGTACAGACCATTGCGCATTACCTTTGTTTTTACATTCACACATCATGTCAATAACAAATTTTTGTCCCCAACATCTTCTTTCCACAATTGTCCTAAAGATGGAAATTGTTTTTTAAGTCTTCTATGATTGGGTTTGGCAACCACTACTAAGCTTAACTAATTATCTTTTCCCCTTTTCTATGTCCATGAAACGTCTCCTCTTTTTAATCATGATAAACCAATCATGCATGTTTTAAACACTTGGTTGAAAATGGCAAAATATAACCACCAACAAATTTCTGATTTCTACTTTAGCATTACCATAATAGTACACCATAAGATGGGTTTGAGCCCCCTGAACTATGTAAAGGATTCATTCTATGAATATACGTATATTATTGAATTTTAGTAAGCTCTTGGATTAGTCCAACGGCTAAGATTAAATGGTGTTTTCAACTTTTGATAAATTCGGAATACTTGCTATCTTATCTCCTGTAAATTTCAGTCACAATATTTTATGCATAGAAAAGATTAATAAACTATTAATAAAAAATCGAATGATTTTCACACACGTTGGTAATGTGATAACGTATCATGCACGGGGTGATGTTGATGACACCAATAAGTATAGGTGTCAAAACAGAACCTACCCTGAGTAACCCGCCATATTAAGTCGACTCACAATCCGATCGTGATTCGAGTTGACTAAAATTCAATTCCCCATTCGATTGGCCCGCAAATCGATTGCTCCGCAACCCTATTGATCCACAACCCGGTTAACCAAAATTTGATTGATCCGATTGTAATTGAACCTCAACCAGATTGGCCCATAATGGATTAACTCGAACCCAACTAACTTGTGATTCAGTTGATCCAACCCAAACTTCCCCGATTGACCGAATAATTACTATACTATATACTATAGTATTGCAAAATGATTTTTTTTTTGGTTTGAAACGTGATCCCCTTTTTTCATTTTCTAAATTGAAGTTCAAAACATGAAATTCACTTAAAATTATATTTTTTATAAAATTAAAATGTGAAATTCACTTGAACATTATGTTCTTTAACAAAATGAAAAACATTTTCAAAATATAAAATTAGCACAACATCAATATTGATAATAAATTATTAACAATTGAGAAAATGTAACCCATTATATAGTTTATTATATTATAATTCTGGTTGATTCAAATCTTCCACAAAAATTTTTGATTAAATATAAGTACAATAAAGTGTAGGAAATTTTAGTGTTTTCAACTTTCTCGGAAGAGAGAGAATAGAAAATTTTTGTGCTTTCAAACATAAATCTCGAATTCACATGTGGGAGAAATCTTGATAGCAACTCGAATAACTCGTAACCTGACTACTCACAATCCGATGAATCCAAACCCGACTAACCCGTAGCCCGATGAATCCGACCCAGAATGATACGTAACACAGTTGAACCTATAGCTCGAGTAACTCTTAACCCGATGAACCCGTACTCCAATGACCATTAACACAACTGACTCGCAACCTGACTAACCCGTAACCCCAATGAACCCAAATCGAACCCGACCAACCCATCTGATTGACACCTATACCAAAAATATGATATTTCAAATGCCATATCATGGCTTATTTTACACCATTTTGATACATTCTTAGCTAATTAATATGACTTGGTTTTTCTTAATAAACGTAACAAACATCCATTTTGTAGTCTCTGTAGGGGTGGTTTATAGTGTCGATACCTTTTGGGGTCTTTTCTCGTTATTTCATGGCATAGGCGTATTAGAGGATCGATGTGAATATGGACTAGATATTTAGATTCATAACCGTAAGGTACAAAAAAAAACTCATTTTGCACTTTTCCAAAATGAAAGATGGCCTATAAGGACGTTCCTAAAGAGCCTGAGCGACCCAAACAATTCAACCCAAGAGGTCCATGTTTTCCATTCTGACGGCCACAAGACCTCTCTTCAGCCATAAGAAAAGGATAATCACTGAATAAGTCATCTCAACTCAACTCCACAAGCTAACATGTTTACTTTCATTTCTGTTTCCTGTTTTTGAAAAAACAGATGTTGAAAACAGGTGAAAACAACATTTTGTCGTTTCCGAAAACAGCAGGAAGTTGCCACTTTATGTTTTCATAGTTGAAAACGAATAGAAAACATAATGAAAAGTAAACAAGTTTTCTCATTTCGGTTGCCAAATTTATGACATGAAAACAGATAACAGGAAAGGAAATTGGAAGTGAAAAGGGTTTGTTTTTTTTGTTTTTTTTTTTTTGCTCTCCTTCGATATTTCTGCTTGTTTCTATAGCAATGAGTGCCTACTTGATTCCATTGTTTAAGTTTGCGGGAATCGTGATTGTATGTGATGCTGACTCGACTCTACTGTCACTCCAGGAATTGGCCAAGTGTAACCACTTCCTAAAGCGTAGTATAGCGGGTTTAGGTTTAATTATCAACCCGGGTCCTAGATTTGCTGACTACTCAGTGAGTTCTTGTTATCTAGCAATAAAACTGGAGTGCAAGTCTAAACTACCAAACAAACAAAGCAAGTAAACTGGTTGTATTCAGGTTAAAGAGGTCACCCGGATATGGTTCCCCCTAGACTGCAGTTAAGCCGGATTGTAATTACCAAGTTCAGTTTCTATGACAGTTATACTGCGGAAGGTTCTTAAACAGCCTGAAGTCTCGACTAAAGGTCTTCAGACCCTCTCAATCTGACTCTCTAGCGGGCGACTAACCTCCACCGGAGTCGACAGATTGAGGCCCTAAGAACAAAACCTCCACTACCGGAGTAAATCCGGTACAGAATAGTGAGTTGGCTCCTCGACTAAAGTCACCAACTCCCCACCTTCAATCAAGGATACTCTATTAACCTAGGCAGATATTCTCATTCTAGGTTAAAGCAGAAACAACAGGAATTTGATCAGGATTCAAGTCATTCAATCATTAAAACCTCAATCGAATATAATCAATCACAGAATCAGTACTTGGGTTCATACAATCAAAGCCTAACATACAAATCTAGGGTTCTCCATACCCAGATGAATGGGAGAACTACTCCATGGAGAAGAAAGCAAAAGCAGAATCAGACACGGAATTCATACTGCAAAGGATGGATTCCTGCTTCTGGACGTTGATTGGCACTCCTCCAAGCTCAAGCTGGCCTCCAATGGTGTTGAAGATCAATCTAGGGCACTTGGGAACTCTTGCTCGTCACTTTCTCTCTCTAGGAACTGATCTCTCTCTCAAAAACTCGAATCCCCACGAATTGTGGCTGAAATTCTGCTTAAAAGGAGAAAATCCCGACTCGCACGGCCAGGGTGCACGGCCGTGCACATCACCATTCTGGCCGTGCACCTCAAAACGCGGCGTATCAATTAGTTGAACCTCAGCCAACTCGCACGGCCAGAATTGTATGTTGCACGGCCGTGCGTGGCCACGCACAATCCCGTGCGTGCCCACGCACAATCCCGCACGGCCAAACTGGTCGCTTGCACGGCCGTGCGTGGCCACGCTGGTCTGCCCGTGCAGCTTGCTCAGCCTCTGTTTAATGCTTCGTTTCTCCCTCGTCCGGACTCCGAATCAATCGCCGTTTGATCCCAGACGCTCGTAGTCTCGTCCTCTTTCGTTTCATAACAAGCTTGCATGATTCTTTGTCCATAAAGTGAGGTAGAAATCCATTCTTCTTCAGGTCATGCCCGAGTTTCTTCTCTCGAATCGTCAATTGATCTCTGATTGACTTGAAACTTGCGCCTATGCTTCACTTTATGTGCTAGGACCTGAAATGGGACAAAGGAACACAACCTAGCATAAAATAGGCCAAAGACGCAATAATTCAAGCTCAAACAATCAAGAAACAAAGGGGAAAACATGTGCAAATGCCGAGTCATCAGATGCTTAGTGTTTCTTGATTGCAAAAGGCTGCTTACACTTAGTTAGAAGTTAGAACACCTATCATTGAAACTGCTTGCTAGATGTAGTGACAACATGCTTGGTATACTCACATACCTTAATAGATCACCAAGCACTCATTGTAGCGACAACAATAGAGTACCTAGGGTTTATGATTAATAGTGTGGAATGAGATTAAAACTCGATGATATGTGTGTCTTATTCAAATGAAGTATCAATCCAGAAACTCTAGGGGAAACATACCTAAACAACATTTTTGCTTTTCTGCTTTTATTCCAAGTTCTTTGAGTTAGTTATAAATCATTATTTGTCTTTAAAATTTTGAATAGTTTATTTTCTGCTTTGATTTGTATTTCGTGTTTTAGAATTAGGTGTTTTATGTTTATGGTATTTCTTGTTTGTCTTTGACTTGCATAGATTGTGTTAAACGTTCACAAAAGAACCTAACAGTCCATTTAAAAGAATGAGAAAAGAGTGATCCTAGAGAATACGACCTCAATAATATGTGTACCTATTTATTTATATTTGAACCATATCCTATACCAAATCAAGTTTTGGCATCGTAGTCAGGAACTCTCACTTCTTTTTTAAAAGGATTGGTTGTTTTATTTTGTGAAATTTTGTTTGGAGACTTTTTATTTTTGTTTTGTATATGTTTCATATGCTTTTCACTCGTATTTCTTTCTTGAACTTTGCAGGGTAGCTTGGGATATGAAAAAGAGGAAACAAAGCCTCTTCACATCTAGGGACAAATTTAGGGTAAAATACTTCAGCTACCACCAGGGGCGAAGGGAGAGAGTTAGAGGGTGGGTCCCGGGACGCACCCTGGCTCGGGTTAGAAAATGGTCAATTAGGTACAATAGTTAATCGGGTATGAAAAATAATACGTATTTAAATGAAATTGGTAGACCTTTGAAATATTTGATGTATGATTTATAACGAGCGTTGACATATTCAATGTATTTATAACGAGCTATGTACAAATGATAATGATGTATATGATTCGACCAAAATTGAAGATGTATGTATTCAACAAATTTTCACCAAATCATAATTCATTTGTAAAAATAATTTTACTTCAATCAGGGGTAGGGAGATTGCATCAGGTGTTTCCTAAGGACGAAAAATGAGTAAATTAGTATAATAGTTAATTGAGAATGAAATTTAGGGCACTTCTAATTAAGAATGGTTGACCGAGATATCATTTGTTCGAATCTTTGTAACCCCATTTGTTAAACACATGATATTCGGATTTACGTAAACTTTAAGCACGCATAAGTTGGTTGTAGTAAGTAGGAAAGTGTTAGTAAATACTAAATAGTAGAACACTTCTCCTATACTATATAGTATTGGTGCTTTAATGTACAACTTAAAGTTGTACCATAACATTAAATGTATAAGTTTAGGTTGTACCATAAAGCAATTTGTACCTTTATGTTATGGTACAACTTTACTACTTGAAGTTGTACCATCACATAAAGGTACAAGTTCAAGTTGTACCATAAAAGAATTTGTACAAAAAGTATAAGTACAATATGAAGTTGTACCATAACGTAAACGTACATTTTTAAATTGTATCATAAAGGCAAAATTCTATAGCACCAATACTATATACCATTGTAAAATTTCTCCTAAATAGTATTAGATTCATTATTAAATCTTTCATAACAACTCGAGTTAATGATACTAAACGGTCTAGACGAAGAACATGATTCAAAAGCAAATGTCTAACTAAATCATAAATAATTGTTTGATACATATATGGTGATATTTTTGATAGTTTTGACATATAATTTAATTTACCAAGTTTTTGCAAATACAAAATTATATCATGAACGGTTTAGAAAGCTAATAAAATTATTTTATCGTATGTATTTTTTCTAAATGGACCCACCCTCGACAAAATCCTGGCTACGCCCCTGGCTACCACTTAAGTTTGAGAATTGGGGCAGACATACCACTTGAGGTTGAATAGGGCGTCGGGTACCATTAAAGTCGCTAAAATGTGCATCCGTTTAGTTTTTCATCCAACCCACAATTGTAATTACTTTTTGGTACCCATAAATTTTAAAAATATCCAAAACTATATTTTAAGAAGTTTTTATCTAATATAGAAATTAAAAAACCTTCTAAACATAATATTACTAAAGGACTAATCAAAATTGTTAATAAAATAGATAAATTGGTAAAAATAATAAACAAATATCAAGAAGAAGAATAAATATATAGAGTATAATAATTAATAATAAATATTTAAAATCAATATTAGAAAATTTATTTAAATCGCTAATCTAATTAGAAGTAATATTAAAAATAGTTAAAATAGAACCTAATCGATCATCAATACATCAAGACCAAAGAAGGATAAATAGAACACAGTCAGAAAGAATAAAACATATTCCAATAATTGAAGAAAATTTAGAACAAAAAGAGAACGGAAGTAACCAAGTAATAAATAAATAAAATCTACAACATGTAAAAAATCTAGAAAAGAAAATACGACTATAAGAAGAGAATTAGAATTAGTAAATTTAATTAATATGGAACATCTAAAATATAATATTAGAAAATTACAAGGATATTTAATAGAAAATTATACAACATCAGCATGATGTACGAGAATTAAATATAACATCCTCAGATTATTTATATCGATATAGAATTCATAGGATATATTTGCTTCAGCAAATTATTCAATTATTATAACATATAATGGTAATTGAAAATACTTATAATGATAATTAATTTGACATTTCCTATTCAAAAATTGGTTTTGTATCAAAGTTTTCAAAAGAGGATTCCAACTAAACAGAATTTATAGGATATATTTGCTTTATAGAATAATTTAATTATTAGAAAACATAATGATAATTGAATATACTTATAATGATAGTTGATTCTAAATTTTATATTTAAAAATTAATTTTGTATCAAGTCTTCAAAAGAGGATACCAACTAAATAATAAAAATTGATGTTTTCCATAAGTCAAAATATTTTTTTACAATAAGAAAAGTAGAAGGACCAATTAAGAAATATAGAAAAATGAATATTCTGTTAACTTTAAAGGAATGCACCTAACATTAAACTTAAGTGATACCGGGTGCACAAATAATAGAATTCAGTGGTGCCCAACGCCCTATTCAAATTTAAGTGATATCTCTGCTCCAATTCTCAAACTTAAGTGGTATGCACTATGCAATGTATTTTACCCGACAAAATTTAGGTGCCCCTGGAACACCTTATGGAACGATTTTGACCGCTCCCAAAAAAGCAATCCCAATTTTTACGTCTTTTTCATTCTTCCTTCTCGTAATCCAGTATTTACGTTCACGAGGCCAGTCATAATAAGATTCAAGAAACAACTCATACCTCTTGTTGTGAACCCTCTATACAAAATTCTCTTAGCGAAAGACATTAAATCTCTCTCAGAAATTACTTCCACCATTGTTCCCCATCTATAACTATTGACCTTGGTTATATACAGTTAGTTGTTCGATGACCTTTTTGTTATTTTGTTCTCTTTCCCTACTCACGTTACTTATGTTGATGGGTTGTATATAAGGGTTTTTACCTAGGAGTTGTAGAGCGTTGCGGCTACAGAACTACAACGAGAATAATAATCGCTTGAGATCGTTCTCCGTGGAGTAAGGTCGATCACCACGATCGGCAAGAACCACGTAAACGTTGTGTCTTCTTCTTTCCGCATTATCGTATTTTACATGGTATCAGAGCCTGGTTGATTGATTCCAGCTGATTCGGAGAATATGGGGGACGAAAATAAGGATTCCAAAGGCGGGCTCCTGCATACCGGCGGTAGCAGCTCCGACCAAGATATCCTGCTCTCTTCCCCACTTTATCTTCATCCGTCTGAAGACCCTGCATGTCTGTTTGTAGTAGATCTTCTCTCGGACTCTAATTACGGAGAATGGGTAAACGATATGATGGAAACTCTAATCTCCAAGAACAAATTAACCTTTGTGAATGGCTCTCTTCCACGCTCTGCTGCAGGTCCTGGGACTCGAGTGGATGCCTGGGATCGTTGTGATGCCACCGTGAAGGGGTGGTTGAACACGGCCATGATCCGAGAAGTCCGAAATAGCGTGCGAACGACCTCTACTGCTCGCGATATTTGGGTTGATTTACAGCAGCGCTTCGGCGAAGGATCCTCACAGCGCTCTTATAAGATTCAGCGGCAAATCAGTGCCCTACGTCAGGACAAGCTTAGTGTATCGGCTTTTTATACGAAGCTTTGGGGTCTTTGGGACGAGATGTATACTATTAGCAATACCCCTCGTTGCACATGTAGTGGATTCACGTGCGGTGGCTGTCGTTGTGATTTGGCCAAGCAACTTCGTGACCAGCAAGAGACCACTCACCTTTTTGAGTTTTTTGTTGGGATTGGATGATACCTTTTCCGTGGTACGGTCCCAAATCCTCAGCATGAAACCTGTCCCATCTCTTGCTGAGGCTTATTCTCTTGTTTCGGCAGAGGAGCAACATAGGAAATTACTAGTGGGCGTCGACCAATTGTGGACACGGCGGCTTTTCAAGCTGAAAATTATCTCCGTGACGCTAATGATTGTCGTGACTCCTTTGATAAACCCCGATGTTCACATTGTAACCGCCTTGGTCACACAAGGGATTCATGTTATAAACTCATCGGCTACCCCACTAGCTCGACGAAGCAAGCTCCATCTCCACAGGGTGATCGTTTGGGTCCGCGCAGTACACGCAAGGAGAATGCTCCACGGGCAGCTCATGTGGAGCCAGAAGAGAGTCCCATCCCTGGTTTAACGGCACAACAATTCGCCCAGCTCAAACAATTCCTTGCTTCACCTACGGATGTGTCCAAGGAACCCACAACACACATGTCTGGTAATACTTCTGATCTTTATGAGTGGTTGATTGATTCAGGATGTAACGAACACATAGTTCGTGATGTTAGTTGGTTGGATTCTGTTGATCAGTCATCTCTGCATTCTTCGGTGCGCATTCTGAATGGTACACGGGTACCCATTCGAGGCACTGGAACAGTTAACTTATCATCCCATCTTACCCTTCATGGAGTTCTTCATGTCCCAGAATTTCATTGCAACCTATTATCCGTAAGCAGGCTAACAAATGATCACAATGTGGCCCTGACTTTCTTACGTTCTGCGTCCTCCAGGACTTACACTCCAAGACGCTGATTGGGATGGGTGAAATGCATGATGGATTGTACTACTTGCGGCAGTTCCCAAGAAAACCAAGTATTCCAAAGGCGAACCCACAAGCATGTCGAGTTGCACGCACAGAGAACTCTTCGGGTCTATGACATGCACGACTGGGGCACCCTTATGCTGAGAAATTTTCTTTGTTAAAGGATTCACTTTCTTTTATTGCTGGTGTACAACATGGTTTTTCTTGTGATGCTTGCCTTCGTGCTAAACAAATACGAACCCCCTTTTCCCACTAGTTCAATAAAGAGTCGACGTTGTTTTGATCTTGTTCATGTGGATATCTGGGGAGGGTATAGGACAGCAGCCCTCGATGGTTCTCGATACTTCTTGAACATCGTCGATGACTACAGTCGGGCCACCTGGGTTTATCTAATGAAGTATAAGTCTGACGTTGAACGTTATATTCGCCTGTTCTGCGAATTCACACGTGCTCAGCTTGGTCTTCCTGTGCGTCAGTTTCAAGCCGACAACGGCGCTGAGTTTCAAACTCTTACTCTTCGCACTTATTATGAAGAGCATGGGACTGTCTTGCAAACGTCCTGCACTGATACTCCACAACAAAATGGAGTGGTTGAACGCAAGCATCAGCATCTTCTTGACACGACTCGTGCACTCATGTTTCATGCAGGCCTACCTGTTCACTTTTGGGGAGATTGTGTTCTTGCTGCTACGTATTTAATCAACCAGCTGCCTGCTGCCCCTCTCGCCGGTAAAACACCTTTTGAGCTCCTTCTCGGAAAGACGCCCTCGTATGATCACTTACGATGTTTTGGCTGCCTTGTCTATGCAAAAGACACTCATCAGGGGTTGGACAAGTTTGCCGCAAGGGGGAGAGCATGTATCTTTCTTGGATATCTGGCTACACAAAAGGGTTACAGGGTATATGATTTGAACTCTCACAAGATCATTGTTTCCCGTGACGTGCATTTCCTAGAACTTGTGTTTCCATACAAGAAAGCCTCCTCCATAAATAATCCTCGTGAGCAGCCAAATTTGGGAGGTTTGGACGTAATGCATGGTGTTCATGGGTCTCCTCCTTCTTGTTCTCACGAAGAGTACCCTTCCCATGTACCTCCTGCTTCTTCTTCTCCGCTACGACACGATGATCATGAATCTCCTTTTGAGCTTGAGGATGAGCTGGAATCGTCCATGGAAGTGACTTCGCCGTCGTCCTCGCCTGGTCCGGTCACCGTGCCGCCATCCACGACTGAATCAGTCACCTCACCGGCTGCAGGCCCAGCTCCTCCCGCTCCAGTTGAACCACGATGAGGGCTGCGCACTCGTCAGCTGTCTTGCAAGCTCGATGGGTATGATGTAACTCTTCTTCCTTCGCTTGCTCATCATCATTCTGATAATAATGATAATGCTACTCCTCATGATAATGCTACTTCTCATAATACTGCTACTCCCTATCCCATGTCTAATCATGTCCAGTATCATCGTTTCTCACTTTCTCATTCTGCTTTCTTGGCTGCCATTACCAAAATGGATGAGCCGAGATACTTTTGGCAGGCCATTCGGCATGCTTGTTGACGCGAGGCGATGCAAAAAGAGATCAATGCTCTTGAGGCTAATGGAACATGGACGTTGGAATTTCTACCTCCTGGCAAATGCGCCATCGATTCAAATGGGTGTACAAAATTAAGTACTACCCGGATGGTTCCATCGAGCGCTACAAGGCCAGACTTGTTGCTAAAGGGTTTACGCAGTTGGAGGGCATTGATTTTCATGACACTTTTGAACCTGTTGCTAAGCTTGTCACTGTCCGTGTTCTTCTCGCAGTTACAGTTAATAAAGGATGGTTTTTACATCAATTGGATGTGAACAATGCCTTTTTGCATGGTGATTTGGAAGAAGAAGTTTACATGAAGGTTCCGCAGGGTTTTCAGCAGGCAGGTGATACTCGAGTGTGTCAGTTGCGCAAATCCTTGTACGGTTTGAAGCAAGCTTCTCGCAATTGGTATACCAAGTTCACTCAAGCTCTTGTGGAATTCGGTTTTCGCACCTCCAAAGTCTATCCATTCTTGTTCCTATACTCGACTCCCACGTCTTTCCTTGTCGTCCTCATCTATGTCAACGATGTGGTATTGACTGGTGATGACATGGATCTCCTTGCTCGTGTGAAGACCTTCTTAAATGAGCGTTTCAGCATTAAAGATTTAGGGCAACTAAAGTATTTTCTGGGTATCAAAGTTGCTCGCTCACCTGCCGGTATGGTTTTGAGTCAACGTAAGTACACCTTGGACATTCTATCTGATGGCGGTGTGAGTGTTGCTCGGCCTAGTCAGTTCCCTATGGAGCAACATCATACTTTGACTCGCCCGACTGATGAGCGTGTTGTCGATGCTAGCTCATATCGTCGCCTTATTGGCTGACTTCTCTATTTAACTATCACTCGGCCTGACATTGATTCTGTCGTGAATGTGCTGAATCAGTTTGTCAATGCTCCAAGCCCTGATCATGTCTTTGCCGCTAACAGGGTCTTGCACTACTTGAAAACTGCGCCTGGACAAGGTATCTTCCTGCCATCTGATGGTTCTCTCCAGTTGACAGCATACTGTGATGCCGATTGGGCAGGTTGTCAGTCTACACGACGGTCCACTACTGGTTACTATATCCAGCTCGGTAGTGCCCCCATCTCCTGGCACACCAAGAAGCAACATGTTGTTGCTCGTTCTTCTGTTGAGGCAGAATATCGTGCTATGGCCAGTACAATTAGTGAGGTTCTATGGCTGCGTTTCCTTCTACATGAGTTAGGCATTCCTCGGACCATTCCTACGCCGCTCTTCTATGATAATCAGGCAGCACTCCACATTGATGTCAACCCGGTTTTCCACGAACGCACAAAGCATGTCGAGATGGACTGTTACTTTGTTCGTGAACGCGTTGTTTCTGGTGATATCTCGCCTTTAAAGATTGGGACGACAACTCAACTAGCTGATATTTACACCAAGGCCTTGGGTACTGAGCAGTTTCATTCTCTCTTATCCAAGCTGGGTATTCGTGATCTTCATGCTCCCGCTTGAGGGGGAGTATTGACCTTGGTTATATACCATTAGTTGTTAGATGACTTTTTGGTTTTTTTTGTTCTCTTGCCCTACCCACGTTACTTATGGTGATGGGTTGTATATAAGGGTTTTTACCTAGGAGTTGTAGAGCGTTGCGGCTACAGAACTACAACGAGAATAATAATAGCTTGAGATCGTTCTCCATGGAGTAAGTTCGATCACCACGATCGGCAAGAACCACGTAAACATCGTGTCTTTCTTCTTTCCGCATTATCGTATTTTACAAGAACTACTCCAAACTTCAACATTCACACCTCTACATTTCACATAAAAATTATTTCCTTCATGGAGGACAGATGGCCTTAAGGATTGGATTTCACATTAGACATGGAACTTCTAAGCAATTTTCTGATGCCGGATAGCGATATCAAGAACTTCTGCAAGATTGCCCTGACAACCGTTTTAGGCAAGAAAAAAATGACTACTATCTTTAATAAAGGACTCGACATTAATACCACCATATTGGTTAATCATTTAGTCAACGGAGACATCACACAGCTCAATTAAAAAGCTGCTATGGAGCGCTTCATGTGGAATTTCGAAATCCATTAGACAACCACTACTATCATTTCGAAAAGCACCAATATTATTATAGAAAGAAAAAAATCAATACCAAAATATAAAAATGCTACCACTACCACAACATATACCACTTATTAACCAATAACATTACATATTTAACTTATACCAATACATGAAAATCAATACAATAACATCAATACCAAAAAGCAATACAATCACATAAAATCAATACCAATGCGAAAAAACAACACAACTACAAAAAAATGGATACCAATACGAAAAAATACATACCAATAGGAAAAAATCAGATTTGGAATTCGATGACAAAACATCGACGATAGCTCATCATCAGGTAGAGAGAGAAAGAGAGCGAGGGAGGGAGGGCTGGTGGGGAGGGGACGAGAGTGAGGGTCGGCGGGTGGTGTCACATGTGGCAGATGACATGGCGCCAACAAGGTGACAACATGGCAGCAGCACATGTGGCATGCATGGAAGACTAGTAGCATAGAGATGCTCCTAGGATTCTCCACCATAATGTAGAGCTTTATAATGCACTTATGAGTCACATAATGGTGACATTGATAGAGTGCATAATGGGGGGACTTAATGGGGTGTATTGATGTAGTAGAGGGACTTTATGAGGGGCACTGATGCCTTGTATGTGGAGAGGCCTATATAAGGAGCCATCTCCCTCATTTGTACTCATTCCATCATTTTTGAGAATAATACACACTAGAGAGTTCTCCCAATCCTTTGTCTTGTTCTTGTTCTTTGCTTGCTTGTGAGTTTGAGAGAAAGGCTGCCTAGCGCTCTAACGGAATTGAGAGCTAGGGCCGCACGATCGAGAGTAAGGTCGTGACAAGTGGTATCAGAGCCTGGTTCGGCTTTGTGCTAGCAAAGTTGAACCTAGAGCCAGAAGGAAAGGAAGAACCTCACCAAAAATGTCGGGATCAGAAGTCAATGACGACGGTGAGAGGCGTCGTGGCCGAGAGCCTACCCCAACCGGGAGGCCAAAAGACAAGTCGAGCACTCGTGATCCTCTCAAGTCTTTAGAGAGGCGAGTCTCGAGGATGGAGGTGAAGATTTCTGACGATGTCACCGCCATCGAAGATTTGGGAGCTAACTTCACCCAAGTCGAAAGCGATTTTCAAGGTATGAATGCTCGTTTGTCGAGCTTGGAGATTGGTCATGATGGCATACGAGAAGAGCTTGTGGCCCTCATCAACAACACCATCAACACATCCTTGAACAACGCCATTGAAGTTGTGAAAGAGCACGTCCAGGTTGAGCTGGTCGGCGTGAAGGAGGAGATTGCAGATCTCAAGAGTGAGATCACTCTCGTGAAGAGAGCCATGGCTAGCGGACCAGCCACGGTGCAATCAGTCCCACGTGCTGACATTCCAAGACCGAAGAGCTTCGGAGGTTCAAGGAATGCGAGGGAGCTAGAGAACTTCCTTTGGAGTCTTGAGCAATACTTCAAGGCGTCCGGCATCCAAGAGGATGAGGTAAAGATTCGTACCGCTCCACTCTACTTGGTTGATGTTGCCATGGTGTGGTGGAGGCGACGTGAAGCGGACGTCGAAAGAGGTACTTGTGTGATGGTAACGTGGGAAGATTTCAAGAGAGAAATCAAGAGGCAGTTCTACCCAGAGAACGTGGAGTTCGAAGCCCGTTCGAAGTTGAGAAGACTCACCCAGAGGGGTGGAGTTCGAGAATACGTGAAAGAATTCTCGGAGCTGCTTCTAGAGATCCCGGACATCACGGACAAAGAGGCCATGCACGGCTTTCTTGATGGGCTGCAACCATGGGCCAAGATGGAGATGCAACGTCGAGGAGTGCAAGACCTTGCAACTGCCATGGCCATGGCGGAATCTTTTGTCGAGTACAAACGACAAGAGAGCAGCGGCAAAGAGAAGAGTTCAAAGCCCAACAAGGGTGGAGAGCAGCAGAAGCCTTTCAAGGAGGGTTCTCGCACTCAACAACACCAAGGTGGTTCGAGCAAAGGGGGTAAGTACGAGCCAAAACCCATGACTTGTTTCCTTTGCGACGGACCACATCGAGTGCGAGATTGCCCAAGGAAGGCGAGATTGGCAGCCATGGAAGCTCAAGATGAGGAGCCCAAGGCGGCGGAGGCCAAGATTGGCTCAATCCGCAAGCTTGGCGCGGCGAAGACCGACGTCAAGGAGAGCAAGCGGGGGAGGTGCTATGTTCTGGCGCAATTCATGCAAGGCGAGTCAAAAGCCTTGGTGGATACCGGTGCCACGAACAACTTTCTTCGCATCGAGGAGGCAAACCGGCTGGGTATTGCCTACGAGAAGGGGCAAGGGAGGCTCAAGACGATCAATTCGGAGTCCATCCCAATCCATGGAGTTGCTCACAACGTACCAATGAAGCTTGGCGAGTGGGAAGGCCTCATCGACTTTTCCGTCGTCACCATGGACGATCACCCAGTCATCCTCGGCATCCACTTCCTCGACAAGGAGGGAGTGCTCTTGAAGCCCAACTCCAACACAATGTGCTTGGAGAAGGAAGGGGAGTTTCATGCGGTACATCTCTTGAGAGAAGATGGTCCCCATAGTGCTCTATCCGCTATGCAAGTGGTGAAGGGGTTCAAGAAGAATGAACCAACCTTTCTTGTGTCCTTGAAAATGGAGGAAGAAGGAGGCTCAACGGGAATCACAACTCCCATCATCGAAGGTGTCCTCGAAGAGTTCGACGACGTGATGCCATCGGAGTTGCCCAAGAAGCTGCCACCAAGAAGAGAGGTGGATCACAAGATCGAGTTGGAGCCAGGAGCGAAGCCCCCTTCGCGAGCACTATACCGCATGTCGCCACCGGAATTAGAAGAATTGCGGAGGCAGCTCAAAGACTTGGTGGAAGCAGGCTACATGCGGCCATCGAAGTCACCTTTCGGAGCACCGGTGCTGTTCCAAAAGAAGAAGGAAGGGTCGTTGCGAATGTGCATCGACTATCGAGCCATCAACAAGTTGACGGTGAAGAACAAGTGGCCGATTCCCAACATTGCCGACTTGTTCGACCAGCTTGGAGATGCGATGTGGTTCACCAAGCTAGATCTTCGCTCGGGCTACTATCAAGTGCGGATAGCAGAGGGCGACGAGCCAAAGACGGCTTGTGTGACGAGGTATGGCTCTTACGAGTTTCTTGTGATGCCATTCGGTCTCACCAACGCACCAGCCACGTTTTGCACTTTGATGAATCAAGTGTTCGAGCCATTCTTGGACCGGTTTGTCGTGGTCTACTTGGATGACATCGTTGTGTATAGCAAAACACTCGATGAGCATGCCGAGCATCTACGCCAAGTCTTCCAAGTCCTTCGCGACAACGAGTTGTACGTCAAGAGGGAAAAGTGCACATTTGCCGCCACGGAGGTTCCATTCTTGGGGCACGTCATTGGTGGAGGCAAGTTGAAGATGGATGGAGCGAAGGTGCAGGCAATCCAAGAATGGGAGCCGCCGACGAAGGTGCCAGAATTGCGGTCATTCCTCGGCCTTGCCAACTACTATCGGAGGTTTATCAAGGGCTACTCCAACATTGCAGCACCCTTGACGGATCTCTTGAAGAAGAACAAGGCGTGGGATTGGTCGGAAAGGTGCCAGGAAGCATTCGAGGCCTTGAAAGCAGCGGTGATGAAGGAGCCCGTGCTCGTGCTCCCCAACCCGATGTTGGCCTACGAAGTGCAGACCGATGCGTCCGACTTCGCGATTGGAGGAGTGTTGATGCAAGATGGGCATCCCATTGCCTTCGAGAGTCGGAAGCTCAGCGAGACGGAGAGGCGATACACCGTTCAAGAGAAGGAAATGACGGTCGTGGTGCATTGCTTGCGTACATGGAGGCACTACTTGTTGGGGTCAAAGTTCGTAGTGAAGACGGACAACGTGGCAACGAGCTACTTTCTGACGCAGAAGAAGCTCACCCCTAAGCAAGCGAGGTGGCAAGACTTTTTGGCCGAGTTCGACTTCGTTATGGAGTACAATCCAGGCAAGGCGAATTCCGTTGCCGATGCTCTTAGCCACAAGAGTGCAGCCGCAAGCATCAGCCAGCCCACGTTTCCTTTGAAGGAGTGGATCGTTGAAGGCCTTGGCCATGACCCCTTCGCCAAAACCGTAGTGGAGTACATCGAGCAAGGTAAAACTCGGCGATTTTGGATGAAGGATGGGCTCATCATGACCAAGGGAGAGCGGGTGTTCGTGCCAAGATGGGCCAACTTGAGGAAGGAGATCATGAAGGAGTGCCATGATTCCAAGTGGGCGGGCCATCCCGGCATCGAGAGAACGCAAGCGCTCATCGAAGAAGCATATTTCTGGCCGCGTATGAGAGACGACGTGGAGATGTATGTGAAGACTTGTCTTGTGTGCCAACAAGACAAGATGGAGCAGAGAAGCCCGACAGGCTTGCTAGAGCCCTTGCCCACGCCTCAACGACCATGGGAGAGTGTGAGCATGGACTTCATCATCGGACTTCCCAAAGTCGATGGATGCGGTTGCATCATGGTTGTGGTGGACAGATTCTCGAAGTATGGAGTGTTCATTCCTGGGCCAAAAGACTTAACGGCGGAGGATGCGGCACGGCTATTCTTCAAGAACGTGGTCAAGTATTGGGGCATTCCTAGCAGCATCGTGAGCGACAGAGATGGGCGCTTCACGGGCATATTTTGGCGAGAGTTGTTCAAGATCATGGGCTCAAACTTGAACTTCTCGACGGCATTTCATCCTCAAAGCGATGGACAGACGGAGCGGGTGAATGCCTTGTTGGAAGTGTACTTGCGGCACTACGTGAGTGCAAACCAACGAGATTGGGTGAAGTTGATGGACACGGCGCAGTTTTCCTACAACTTACACCGCAGCGAGTCGACCAACACGAGTCCATTTGAGTTGGCGACGGGGCAGCAACCTTTGACACCTACGACGGTGGCAACGGGGTATAAAGGTAACAGTCCGGCGGCCTACAAGTTCGCTAAAGGCTGGCACGAGAAGATGGAGATGGCCAAGTCTTACTTAGCCCGCGCTAGCAAGAAGATGAAGAAATGGGCGGACAAGAAGCGGCGGCACTTGGAGTTTGAAGAGGGAGACATGGTGATGGTCAAGTTCTACCCTCGTCGCTTCAAGCATCTCAAGAACGTGCACAAGGGACTGCTTCGCCGCTATGAAGGGCCATTCCCCATCGTGAAGAGGATTGGCAATGTGGTATACAAGGTAGAGCTGCCGACGCACTTGGAGATCCATCCGGTCTTTCATGTGAGCCAACTCAAACCTTACCACGAAGACAAGGAGGACGAGCAGCGAAGGGAGCCGCAGCGCGCACCAACACTCGTCACCAAGACACACGACCATGAAGTCGAAGAAATCATGGCGCGTCGTGTCATTCCTCGTCGCGGCGTACATCCAAGCTTTGTGGAGTACTTAGTCAAGTGGCGCAACCTTCCGGAGAGTGAAGCAACATGGGAGAAAGAGCTCACGCTTTGGAAGAACAAGGACTTGATCGAGGCATTCCATCAAGAGGACGCGACGAGGGCGTCGCGAGCATAGGTGGGGGAGGATGTCACATGTGGCAGATGACGTGGCGCCAACAAGGTGACAACATGGCAGCAGCACATGTGGCATGCATGGAAGACTAGTAGCATAGAGATGCTCCTAGGATTCTCCACCATAATGTAGAGCTTTATAGTGCACTTATGAGTCACATAATGGTGACATTGATAGAGTGCATAATGGGGGGACTTAATGGGGTGTATTGATGTAGTAGAGGGACTTTATGAGGGGCACTGATGCCTTGTATTTGGAGAGGCCTATATAAGGAGCCATCTCCCTCATTTGTACTCATTCCATCATTTTTGAGAGTAATACACACTAGAGAGTTCTCTCAATCCTTTGTCTTGTTCTTGTTCTTTGCTTGCTTGTGAGTTTGAGAGAAAGGCTGCCTAGCGCTCTAACGGAATTGAGAGCTAGGGCCGCACGATCGAGAGTAAGGTCGTGACAGTGGAGAAGGGGACTGTGGGTGGGCAGGCGGGCGGCAACCCCACGTCGGAGAGGGAGTGAGACGGTTTGGTTGTCCGGTTAGGGGAGAGGAAAGAGATGAAAAGTCATAAATATATGTAGTTTTCACATGTGTTAATCTTTTAATACCAAAACTGTCATTAATCTAATCTTGACCATAATTTTTAAATAAGAGGAAAATAGGGAAAATGAAGGGTGAAGATGTAGATTGCCTCGGTGGCTACTAAAAAAAAACTAGTAGTCACCTTAACTCATTCCCTGATTACGTGATCTTTAGAGAGTAACGTTAAAGAGTAGTCGGTATAACATCTATCCTAACAATATAATAGAAATATGTATTTATCCAACATTAATTATGCAATATGAATGACTGAAAAAATTGCTTGGAAAAATTAGGTAATATTGAAAAAAATTTAATAAATATGTGCACTAATAGACTAATTTGATTTTTTAAAATACCCATTCTGGTCTAAATTATTAACTACTTAGACTAATTTCTGGCCGAACTTGTGAGTTGATTGTCAACGTACCAAGTCATTGACGTGTCATTGATTTATTCTATTCTATTATTTTATGTTTTGGTTTAAATGATAAATTATAGATATTAAAAAAATTATTTGAATTGGAATTTTGCAATGATTCCTATCATGAAATGATAATGACATGGCGCATTGACCATTAATCATCTCGTGGGTTCAGCTAAATTAGTCTAAATAGTAAATAATTTAGGTCAGGAGAAGTATTCCAAAAGAGTCAGACAAATTAGTCTAAAGTTCGCTTATATTTAAGATATTAACTCTAGAATAATGCGTGAATATTTACATTTATACTTTCACAACTAAATATTAAAGACTACGTACCATGAGGCTTCGACGGTATTATTTAAAAGGTCAATTTTTTTAATAAAAGGAGGCAAAAAGCCAGCAAGTGACCCTAAACTATCAGAGGAAACGACAAAGTCTACACCAGTTGAGATCACACTCAGTCTCTGTTTTGCAAAACCATCATAGAAAAACTTACTCCAACAACAGGATTCTCTCAAGTTCTCACGAGGGATTAGCTAGTTTCACTCGTAACGAAGATCTAAAAGGTCAATTGTTCTATCCTTCTTTTTTTTTTTTTTTGTCTCTATCTCCATATGAAGTTAATTAATTATTTGGCTTTTTGGGTAAATAAATTTATACTAAAAGGAAAATAGGAACAATGTCTTAATAAGAAGAAAAAAAATCTCTTCGGAAAAAATAGAAGAAAAAAAAGTAATAAATAGGAACAATGTGAAATGGGTGAAAGGGGAGAAGGGAATGGGAAGAGCAGAGAGATTCCCACATCCTTAATGGAGAGAAAGGGATGGGGCAGCAGCTGCACCGGCCAGCAATCCCCTGCTCTAAACAATCTTGACCAAGACTCTTGTTCCACTCTTCTTTACTTGTCCACCTTAAATTATAATACAATTATATATTGTGTGAGGATTTTATAATTAATAAACATTCTTTGACCAAGCACCTCTCCTAAAATTGCTCATATATTTAAATATAAGTTAAATTTGTATCTTAACATAATGTTAAGATACATGTTCAGTCTTCATGGTAAAGAAATTTGTATGAAACGGTACATGTACTAACTGAATTTGTATTATAATGTTAAACGTGAAAGTTCAATTTGTACGATAAGAATTTTTTTAAACGAAAGCAGTGGTATGCGCATGGTAGCGGAACTCATACATGGTGTGGCCTAGACATGCAATAAATTTTTTAGGGTAATGTCTATTTGTTATTCAAACCTTTTTTCATATTATGTTATATTATCCTAACCTATTAAAATACTAAAAATGAGCCAAATGTTAACTTCAAGTTAGCAATTTTGTTATTGTCAAAAAAAAAAGTTAGCACTTTTGTTAGTAATATTGACTTGGCAACATGATACTGACTTATAAGAGACACATGAAGGTCAACATTTCAAAATTCTAGTATTTTCACTAAGAAAAAAGTTATAAAATTATTAACAATAACGTAAAAAAGACTAATATTTTGATGCAATACGAAAGATTTGGCTAATCAATAGCATTTTAATAGGTCTGGATAATAAAAAAGAATCTGGAAAAAAAATTGGATAAAAAATAGACATTACCCAAAATTTTATATTGATCTATTTTTATGTGTATTAACTTAAAAGAACTTCATCCTTCTTAAAAAACTATTTGAGTGACGATAACGACTAAACAATTCATCACGTCATAGTGTAGCTTATAGTACAAATTTCAAGGTTATATCCCGACCCCATGAATCATTGGCAAATCCATAATGGTTGGTGATTCTGGTTTATATATATATAGTCTTGCCAATAACCACTAAATTGAAGAATTTTTCTCCTAATTATAAGTTGCGGGAATCAAATTCAGTCGAGAAACACAATATATCAAACTCATGTTTTACCACTTCAAAGCACTCATCAGTGGTTCTTACCCATGAAGTACAGTGATACAAACTCTCTATAGAACAAACTAAACTGTGATACTAACTGATAATCAGATCACATCTTCCTAGCTTTGGTGGTTAGGAATGCGACATTGCTTCTCTTGCAATGATACTTTTGCTCTCCAGTCAGGGGTGAAAATGAGAGGAGGCCCACGCACGGGTCAGGAAGCTGGAGAAAGAGACGGTCAAAAAGGAAGGGCGTTAATTAATGAGAATGGGAGGTTGTCTGTCATTTGATATTATACAATACAAACATACACTCGTTTCTGGGTCAGAGGGTAAAGGGAAATATGAAAGCATCCGACAGAAACCTTCCCCTTTTGGCTTCTCATTTTAACTTCTTATTATTATTGCTGCTTTCACCCCTCTCCTCCCATGGAAAAAGCATATCAAAGATCCCAATGCCCAATCAACACACAGAAAAAGCAAGCAAGCAGCTTTGCCAGGAGAGGCCACTGCCAGCCTTATATGATGAGGAGGAGGAGGCCCATGTATACATGTTCATGCATCATATATCAGAGCATCCACTGACCACTAGTACACTTGATATTCTTTTTTCACACATTTCAGTCGTGTGATTCATCATATATGTATCCTCGATGTCAATTCTCATCGACTAATTATTCGAGAGGCAGAAAATAGATTCAATACTCATCTATATCATATTAAAATAAATGGGGACTAATTTATTACTGGCATTGAAGAAATCGAACCAAACACATAAAAAACGACGATTTGAGTACTGGTTCAGGCCACTCGATGTGAATGGCGCTAATCCATGGAGAATTTAGGCTCTCTACCTGGAGATTATTTTTATTACTTCTTGCTTGCTCGAACAAGAGGAAGAGCAACACTTATATACAAGATTAATCACAAACCCTAGTAAACAACACGGAAAAGAGGAAACTTGGAGAACAAGGGCACTGGAAAAAGTAGAAAAACAGTGTCTAAACTAATGAAACGTAACACGCGCCCTCAAGCGAAAGTATGTCAAACATACCGAGTTTGGAAAAGAAGATGAAGCGAAATTGTCCACGTCTAGGCCTTTAATGAAGATGTCGGCCGACTTCTCGTGGGTGGAATTGGAAATCTTGGTCGGGAAAAATATCACAAAGAGGATGCGCTCGAGAACAAAGTGACAAATCATTTCCACATGTTGTAAACACTCTTGGAAGACTAGACTAGCAGCAATGTGGAAGTAGGGCTGGCAAATCGGTTGCCGGTTAGCGGTTAGCCGCCGGTTATAAACGAAAATCGACTAACCGAAAACCGGCAAAAACCGACCTCAGTCAGTGTTCGGATGCCTATCAGAGGGCTCCGGCTAGCCGAATAACCGGGAATGATTAACCGCGACTAACCGGATAACCGACCCTCACCGAAAATCCCCTTCTCCCCATCCCAAAATCGCAGAAAACCCTTCACCCCCAAATCAAATAACCTAATTCGAATACCCTCCTCCATCTCCCCGATCTCGCGCCACGCCATGCCGCATCTCACCTCCGACTCTACCCAGTTCGCCTGCGAACCTCCACCTCTGCATTCGTCGTCGTCGACAGGCGAGCCTCTGCCTTCGCCCAACTCTTCCCCAACTTGCATTGCGCCTCCGCCTCTGACTCCATCTTCATCGTCGTCGAGTATCAGTGAAGGCGAGCATCAACTCCGCCGCCTCTGCTTTGAAGGACGGTCTTCCCCGCGAGATTGCCTCCGCCTCCACCCAAATCTCGTCCCTGATTCATGTCGCACCTCCGCCTCCACCTCTGGCGTCAACGTGAACAGAGAGAAGCAGCTTCAACGAAATCTAGGTAGATTTATGGCGGTTGTGAGGTTGGAGGAAGGAATTGACGGGATTTGAGGGTAGAGAAATAGAGATCGTGAATGGAGAGGGAGTAGGAATGATTTTTTGGGGAGAGGTAAGGGAGCAGGAGATGGGAACAGAGGAAGGATCGTGAATGGAGACAAACCGGTGGCCTATGTTGCGATTGCCACGGTTAAACCGACCCAGAACCGAAAACCGACCGGTGGTTGGATAACCGTGACTCCCTTCACGATCGGTGGTTGGCATCCATAGGGGGCGGCTCGGTTTAACCGATAACCGAGAAATCGGTTTTCGGTTAAACCGAAACCGTCTGACTGCCACCCATATGTGGAAGGCACTTGATTATCTCAATAAAGTGGTGTAGGAGCGGATGAAGGAATACCAAGGTCCTTGAGTAACCAATGCAACCATAAAACCTCAGTGATGGTGCTCGTCGTGGTACGATATCCAGATTCTGCAGGTGAGCGAGCAATCATAAACTGCTAAACACAATAACCAGTACTAGAGCAATGAGTCATAGAACAACCTTCCCCATCAGTGTTGAAGTAAGCAACAAGTTCGAGAGAACCACCTGAAAGGAAGAACATACCATGATCAAAAGACTATTTGAGGTAGCGCAGAATACGAGTAGCAGCATCAATGTAAGCTTGGGTGGGGGCATGTACTGCCTGACTCAATAGGTTAACCAAATAGGTTATGCCAAGTCTCGTAGTAATGAGATAAAGGAGCCAACCAACAGAAGGAGAGGCAAGACGGCCGAACTAATGGTTCTGCTCAAACGGAGCAAAGCAGGGGTGTGTAGCCTGAATATCGGAATCAACAAGGATGTCAAAAACTTACTTGTGCTTATTGAAAATGACACCTTTCGGGAGATCGAGCTACTTCAGTACCATGGAAGTGCTTTGGATGGCCTAAATCTTTGATAGTAATCGTTGATGAAAAACCATCCTTAAATGAAAGTCATGCAATTATCAAATAAAATGACGTCATTGCTGTAGATTAAGAAAAAATCACAAGAATCATGAATTAAGATTGAGTGATCAGCTCGATTCTCCCCCCCCCCCCCCCACACCAAAAAAAAGCTCATGTATCGCCTCTAAAAACTTTTGATATTTTTTTTGGGAAGCCTTCGGTAATCCATAAATAAATTTATGCAATTTATAGATGGGGTGTCATCATTAGCCGAAAACCCTTCTGAGATAATTAACTATGTACACTTCCTCGTAAAGGTCGCCATGAAAGAAGGCATTGTTAACGTCAAGCTGATGAAGGAATCTACATTTCTTCATGACAATAGCTATAAGGCAATGTACAATAACAAGCTTTCCATTTGGAGCAAATGTATCGTGATAATCGATTCCTTCAACTTGAGTGAAACCTTTGACAAATAGGCCTTTATAGCGCTCGACGGATCCATCTGGCTCGCATTCAAGTTTATAAACCCATTTAAGCAATAGTTCTCTTCCCAAGTTGTATTTAAACTAGGGTCTAGTTGTGATTTCAGTTCCATGGCCGAGATCTCCATACGTATGGCTACCTGCTAATTCTCAGACCAAACTGCCTGGTGAAAGTACTTAGGCTCATCCATATTAGAAATGTTGGCAATGAAAGCTTGATGCTTTTATGAGAGTCGGCATAAGCCACATAATTAGAGATTGGATATGTTACATGAGATGAGGAAGCATAATTGGGAAGATAAACATCAAATATGGAATACCGCTACAGAAGTCGGAATAACAAATACTGCACCCAAACCGGTAGGTAATTTTAACGATATGAAAAGGTTGAACCATGATTTTAGTACACAATACCCTATGACTCCCTTTTCATGAACAAACTCCGCTACGATTTCATAATTAGTGCAAAAGAGTACAAACAACTAACTATGAACAGTTTATAGTCAAATTGGGTATAGGGGATACGACCCCTTATAAACAACAGCGGGTATAATTATAGCCCTATTTTTTTATAGAGACCTGCTTATTTTAGTCCTATTTTGTCGTGAGGAATAGTAACCTCACACCTCACTTGTGGCTTGCTTGAGGCTTTAATATATGAATTAATTAATAATTAATAGTTACAGAATGAATCAAGGTTTATAATTGATTTTATTCCAATAAGCTTATGGGTAGTTTCAATAAGCTTTTAGCAAAGTGCTGATGGAGAGGTTGAGCCCTATCCTTCCTACGCTTGTGTCTGACTACCAGCATGCCTCGCTCCGAGGAAGGCAAATTTCAGAGGCAGGTTTGATTGCTAATGAGCTCATCGATAGGAGGAGGAAAAGCAAAAAGTCGGGTCTTATGTTCAAGTTGGATCTGGAAAAAGCCTTCGACAATGTGAGTTGGGATTGCTTGTTCAAGATTTTGTCAAGCTTCGGTTTTCCCAATACATGGAAGCAGTGGATTAGGGGGGGTCATGTGTACGTCGGTTATCTCTATCATTGTCAATGGGGAGTCTCATGGGTTTTTCTCTAGTACAAAGGGTGTCCGATAAGGCGATCCCCTTTCTCCTGGCTTGTTTGTTTTGGTTATGGATGTGCTCTCTTTCATGTTGAATAAGCTAAAGGAGAATGGGAAAATTAGAGGTTTCTTCATCTATGAGATGCAGTCTAGGGGAGAGGTCACCCATCTCCTATTCGCAGATGACACGCTCGTTTTTTGTGATGCTGCTCCGGATCAGGTGCTGAGCCTTCTTGGTACTTTGGTGTGCTTTCAAGCGGTAACGGGCCTCAATATTAATTTGGATAAATCAATTATGTATACAATCGGAGAGGTTCCTGAACCGAGTCTTTGCTGAAATTTTCGGATGCAAGTGGAGTCGAGATGCATCTAAGTATCTTGGCTTCCCGTTGGGGGCACGGCCCAATTCCATTTCAGTTTGGGACTCGATTGTAAACAGTGTACGACATCGGCTTGAAGGTTGGAAGGGAAAGATGCTGTCTTTTGGGGGCCGACTTACTCTTAATAGCAGTTGCCTCAATAGCCAGGTTGTGTACTACTGTTCTCTTTTCCTTGCTCCTAAGACATGTGCAAGGCCTCTAAGAAGAATGGGGGTATTGGGGCGCTTGACTTTGAATCTTTCAACCAAACCATGTTAAGCAAATGGATGTGGAAGTTTGCTGAAGAAAGAGGAAGATGGTGGAAAAACCTGATTGAGATTAAGTATTTTGATGGATCTTCTATATGGCATACTGGCCAAGGGTGGGAAGGAATAGCTCGGTGTGGGTTAACATTTTGAGGATGTTCGATGCTTTCTGGAATCATGTTTGTATTAATCCGGGTGGCGGTGCTTGTGTCTCATTTTGGTATGACTGCTGGATCCCGAAGACCATTCTTGCTGACTCTTTTTCGCGTATCGCTGCTATCTGCTTCCACCAAAAGATCCTCACCATCGATAACCTCAAAAGAAGATGTTGGGCGCTTGCTAATCAGTGCAAACTTTGTCGGAGGGAAGAGGAATCTGTTAACCATCTTTTCGTGGACTGCGATTTCACCAAGGAAGTTTGGAGCGGCATCAATTCATTCAGTCGGGGTATTCAGGCTCCGGTCAATGGTATCGTCTCCGCTATTAGAAGTTGGCCGACGGAGGTTTCTGATTGCATTGAGGGGTGGATTTCATACTGTAGTCTCCATGTTGTTTGCTGGACGGTCTGGAGAGAGAGGAACAACCGGATCTTCAACCAAAGTCAGACCACCCGTGGAGCTTTATCGAAGAAAATCATCAGGAGCATTGTCGAGTGGGTGATTGCCAAAGGAAAAGTTAGTAGGGATCTCGGCTCCGCTTGACTGTCTGCTCATATGAATGTTGAAGGCCTGGTTGCTCTGTTGGTGTTGTTATAGTTCTGTGTTTTCAGGGTCGGATGGGTGTTGTTGTTGGGCCTGAGGTTGTTTGGGGCTGGTTCTTGTCTTTCTTCTGGTTCCTTTCCATTTTGATTTGTTGTTCGCTGGCTTCACAGCTTTTAGTTGTTCCATGTTTTTTGCTGCTTCGCTTGAACTGCCTTCCTCAGTCACTGCTGGTGACTGCCGGACTTGGGTCTGTTTCTCCTTTTTTGTACTTTCCTTCTCCTTTTTCAGTTTAATGCAATTTCACCATTATAAAAAAAATTGATTTTCAACATGATATCAAAACATGTACAAATCACAAAAATTACTAATTTTTAATAGAATGTTAAAATAAACTCCACTATTATGTTTCTTCCAACAACTCAAGTTATTGACCTATCAACTTATTACAGCCAAACAACGACCTTTGGTGATGATTGATTACCACCGAAGCGATTTAATAGGTGACCACTAAACTAAAAACAGCAACTTTTTGTACGTTGAATCCAGCACAACCTCAGCAGCAACAACTCCAATGTCGATTTGTTTAACACATCGATAATTGTTCTTCCTTTGGTGTGCGTCCACAAATTTACAGTTTCTATGTAAACACAGGCAGGCGGCCCATCTCTGACGACCTGAAACATGCCCACACTAGATTAGAGGATCGATCGATATGGCCAAGTTACAAATTAAAATGTATAGGCAGCAGCAATAGTACTACTTCACAGTACTTGGGAATGATGCCTGATCAAAATGAAACGAAAGGGGACAAACTTGGGGTCGAATTAAAAAAATCAAGCTGAGTGACAGACTTGGAGATTTCCCGATAATGTGACCCAGAAACTTCCATTCTTGCTATCATTTTTTATAATCTGCATATTTGGGTGAATCCATGGAAATGCAGAACAGAGAGGAGAAGGAACAAACAAATCTCACATGTAAAGAAAATCCATTTTCGGTCTGCTAGCTAGCTAGCTAGCTGCAGAAACAGAGCAAGTCAGAAGAAGATAAACGGTGGACTTTGTTTGTCCACAGGGATATATAAATATATACATTTGACCAAATTATTAAACTATGTATGAGATAAAAGAGATCGATGAAATTGTATAGTAATATGTAGGCCTGCAGATGAATCGAGCGGCTCAATGTTAAATTCGAGAAAAAATAGCTTGATAATTGCCTTGTTAATAACGAGTTAACTTGAAGTTAAGTTTTTTTTTTCAACTTGTGATGCTCGCAAGCCAATTTGACTTGATGGGTTATTGACTCGGTGAATTCATAGTTCGATAAAAAAAATTGTGTTTTTGTTGCTATTTGTATCGTAAATTTCTAACTTCGGAGATTTCAAATGTTTTAAATTTAGAGATATCTAATCTCTTATAATCATAAAGATTCTAAATCTAAATTTTGAGATTAATTTTTTCTTCCTTTTTTATTTATTTATCCCACTATATACTCTTACAAATGAAGTTTCAATATTTCTCAATGCATTTTAATTCTGTTGGTTGAGGATAATGATAAAAAAAAATTCTATTTTTAATTTATTGTTAACCCTCACAGCTATCAAACAACGAACATTTTAAAAGATCGTTTAAAATCTATAAATTTTTAGACTCAAAATTTTCAAGCGAGCTCCTAAAAGTCTTGGAAATGCATACAAGTAGTCTAATACATCGTCAGTTCGTCACCATCCGACGTATTTCGACAGAAGTACTACAATGATGATCAGTTGGGTTTTCTGGCACGTGACATATTATTATTTAGCCTTTTCCTTTGTGATTAGGAGGTCTATTTAGAAGAATAATGTAAAATGAAAACTATAAGAGAAAAGGAAGAGAAGAGAAAGGTACATGACCTAAGGTACCTTCTGACTCGCAAGCCGAAAGGTAGCTGTTAATGCTACGAATGGACACGTTTAATTTGGTTTTCATGGATATATATATAGTGGCTGGTGAATGAATTGGGTGTAATTTTATTTACAAAATTATAATCAAATTTGTACAGCAATTACAAACCAATCAACACTTAATTAATTCGACAATACTCAACCCAAAGAATATATATATATAAATAAAAAGCTGAGTACGTACTAGCCCCAAGAGAGGAAAAAAGGCAGTGTACTGAAATCACACTACAGAACAGTAGTCCTTGAAGAGAGGAGGATTAATACATTACTGGCCGAGAGGGACTTTTTGGAGAACTCAGAATCGCAAAACATGGAGTGAGGGCCCCCCCTAATATATCAACTTTGATACAATTTTTTTCAAAGCATATCAATATATATATATATCATTAATTAAACATAGTACCACTACCACAAAGCAAGAGAGAAGAAGAAAGAAAGTAAAATATGTAAAATGAATAATTAATGGTATTTCCCGTCGGGGCCTCGAAAGGTGGTTGTGGTTCTACTTACGGATTACACTGTAGAAATGCACTTGATTCACTATTTGAAGTACTCTCGGCGCGTAGATTACATGTATTATTCATTCTCGCCAGAGTCTAACTTATTTTATTGGTTGATTTACGATATTTTTCACATTTACCGAACCCAAACTTTATACGAACATCAAACAGGAGCGTCCGTCCTCGATCTTTTCTAAACAAAATAATAATAGAAAAGGGAAATAGGGGTATGATAAAGGATCTTCCTTGTTGGTGGGGGCTTATATAAAGGAAGGGTAAAGAGTAGAGCCTGCTGGGTGTTTGGCTAGCCTCCTTTCGAAAAGAGTACAAGCTAGCTTAAACTAGTGTTCAGTGTAGTAGTGAGGCAACCCATTCCACTCTCACAAAAGAGCAGAAAAGATAGAGAGAGAGAGAAAAGAGAGAAAGGGAAAGGTGATTGCTCATTTGCTCTTGCTCTTGTTCCTTGCTGTGTGTTGTTGAGAAATGGAAGAACATCTCAGCCCGTTAGCCGTCACTCATCTGCTTCAACACACACTGAGGAGCTTGTGCAACCACGACAACTCTCAGTGGGTTTATGCTGTCTTCTGGAGGATCTTGCCCAGAAACTATCCCCCGCCCAAGTAACGCAAATTAACACTCTTGTTTAATCAAATCACAAGTACTACTACTGTTAAAAAATATCATATATATGCATCTGTCCTTTTCCTTCTTGTTGTTCAGGGAGACAGTATCTAGCTAGGCAGAAGTTATAGGATCAAATGCATCTAATCACATTATTATTCTTGACAAGATTCCTTTTTTTTTTACCTATATTGCAGATGGGATGGGCAAGGAGCGTATGACCGGTCTAGAGGCAACAGGAGGAATTGGTACTTCTTCTTTTTTTCTTTTCCCCCACCCTTTTTTTCCACCCATTTTTTTTAAAAATAAGTGTTTTTTTTTATTAATAAATATTTATGTATTCCTAGCTAGTGAATATTGATATGATTGAATGATGATGAAATAATGTGGGGGGGAGAGCAGGATATTGGTGTGGGAAGATGGATACTGCAACTTTGCTGCATCTTCAGCAACAGCAGCAGAGACCACCACCACTTCTTCTGCTTCTGGTTATGAGTTTGAGCAGCAATATCATCATCATCAGGGGCTGCAGCCTGAGCTCTTCTTCAAGATGTCCCATGAAATCTACAACTATGGGGAAGGGTATTTTTTTTTTCAATCTAAAATCTGATTTTATTACTTTCTGGGTTATAGAGAGAGAGAGAGCAAGTAGATCAGGAGAGAGTAAAATGAAGTTTTGGGTTGATGTCAGATTGATAGGGAAAGTAGCAGCAGATCACAGCCACAAATGGGTACACAAGGAACCAAATGAGCAAGAGATCAACTTCTTGTCTACATGGCACAACTCAGCTGACTCTGTATGAAATCAACAAATCTTTGGCCCTCTTCATTCTTGATGATTAATTAGTTTCACTACTTACACCAGAATGATCATCTTTCTCTTTTTATATATATGTTACAGCAACCAAGAACATGGGAAGCCCAGTTCCAGTCTGGTATAAAGGTAAACAGATAGATAGATAGATGGATGGATCTCTTCTCACCAGCTAGCTCTCAAATCTCTTCATTTCCATTTTTTCCCCTTCTTCCTACCTTTCTTTTGATTTGTGTTTGATGGTTTTCAAAAATCCAGAAATAATATATTATATATATATATATATAATGTTGTGTGTTGGTTTGGTTTGGTAGACCATAGCACTGATTGCTGTCCGAGAAGGTGTTGTCCAACTTGGAGCTGTCCACAAGGTACTCTACTCTACTCTCTCTTCACCACCAAGTTAAACCTCTTTTAATTCTTTCTTTTTAATATATATATATATATATATATATATATATATATATATCATGTTTAGTACAGGTAAATAGCTAATGAGTTTGTCGGATATTCATAAAAAAAAAAAGCAAAATTTACCATTTTTGACGAATTTTTCTCGTTTATGCCCATGAAAAAACACATCATTAATTATGAGGCTCTCTATTCCCCCCCTAAAACAGCCTAAAACATGCAATAATCACAATCATCATGTGCATGCATCTACATGAAAACGACATATTTTTTTTATATCTAAAATCCACTTTTCTTTGTTGATGGGAATGAAATTGAAGGTGGTTGAGGATTTGAGCTACGTGGTAACGCTGAGGAAGAAGCTGAGCTACATAGAGAGCATTCCAGGAGTATTACTGCCCCACCCTTGTTCTTCATCAGCTACCCAAATCCTCCCCATGAGAATGGACGGTTACGGTTACGGTTATGGCGGCGGCGGAAACCACCCGATGATACCGCCTCCGCCGCTGCCTCACCACCACCATGAAGCCGCGGCTTATTACCAACTCACTGGCGGCGGCGGGGCAGATCATCAGCTGTACGTGGACCATAACAGCGGCAGCCTCCTGCCGTTCAAGGTAGCTCCGTCGATGAGCAGCCTCGAAGCCTTGCTCTCCAAGCTCCCCTCCGTCGTCCCGCCGCCGCCGCATCATGAGTTCATGGGCGGAATGGAGGAGACTGCCGCCGGGGGAGACCGTGATGCTGGTGGTGGTGATGATGACCAACGGTATGATATGGACGGGCATCATGAAGTTGGGGAAAGCAGCAGCTCAAAGACGACGACGACAATGACGTCTAGTCACGGTAAAAGCAGCCATCGCCGCCATCATCATCATCATGATGAGTTTCATCTCCACCACCGTGATTTGAATGTCAACTGTGCTAGTACTACTACCACCAACAACAACGCTTATTTTCAGTGATTATTCTTATCCTCATATATATATTGGGATCTAGTTAGTGAGTGAGTGAGTGAGTGAGAATAAGTAGAAAGTTGATTAATTATGGAGGATTCGCGCTAGCTGAAAATGGCGGCTTATCATGTTCTGGTGCTACTGGACATGCATTTGATTTCATCTAATTAATTAATGAGTGCCCTACCCTCTTTATCTTATCTTTTCTTTTTTGTATCTTTTTTTGGGTTGGTTGATGCTACCTACAAACTAATGATTGATGACATTAGTTTCATCTTTTTTTGTTTATTTAATTTTCACTTATTTTCATATTGCGGTATATGTGATATTTTGGTTTGGTTTGGTTCCGCCTTGCTTTTTTTTTTTCTTGTGTTTTCCCTCTCTTCTTTTATAGGATATATTTATATATATCTACAAGGAAAATTTATAGGGAGAAAAGCCGTTGGACTAAGATCAGGTGACTAAGTGAATTTTTTAGTTATTTGATTAAGTGAATCTCAATATTTTCATTTCATTAAAATATAAAGGTTTTAATTAATTTAATTTAATGAAAGGCTATAAATTAATTACATGATTATTTATGTTATTAATCAAAATAATAATAAATAAATAAAAGTTTGGCTCGTCCCTCCCGCCCGGTCGTTGAATTGTCGACCGCATGGGTTTTTTTCCCGGCCTTTTTTCCCCCGGCATCTCCCGCGTTACGCCGGCTGTTTCCTGCTCCGCCAGCCGTTTGGGGAATTCCCGGCAGCGTGGGGGACTTGTTCCAAGCGACATGGGGGATTTTTTTTCCCCAACCTATTTCTAGGAGTTCTCTACGAGAGAGAGAGAGAGGGGTGGATTTCCGGCGATCAGAGAAAGTGGAGGTGAATTTTCCGGTGACAGTGTTGAATTCGTGGTGTTTGTCGACCTATTTTGTAATGTTTATAAGTCCAGTTTGTATTGTTTATATCAATTGGATTTGTATCGTTTATCATTCAAGTCTGTTATTTTTGTCTATTGTGTTTGTAATGATTACATGACTAATTTATATATATTTTGATTTATAATATTTGTTACTCTATTTTGTATACTTTACATTCTAATTTGTATACTTTGTAATAAAATTTTCATATATATACAGATGATGATATAATAAAAAAATATTTTATTTTATGAAAAACCTTAGCGGTATGTTACATGAAATGATGAAAATATAAACAATAGGAGGAAGAATGTAAAATTGAAAGGTGTTTGAAACTAAATGTTATAAATATTTTATTTGGAGATTTATTATTAGTGAATAAAAATGTTGGTACCAAAAAAAAGGAGAGAAGTTTTTCTCCCTAGAATATAGACGGGTAGAAAATTTATGAAAACTTGGGCATTTTTAGGATTCGTAAATAAACTCTCGTCGTGAGATATTATTGATTTAGAAATCTATATAAAGTTCTGTTTTAATAGTTTAAATGATTCAAATGTCCTTCCTACAAACTCTCATAATGCTGCTGAAAGTTTCGAATAGAGTGTGTTCTGACTTTTGATAGAGAATCTCCCAAAAGATTAATGTAATAATATTTTTACTTTTAATATTATCATATCATTTTCGGTTTTGAAGTCCTGATTTTGTCCTTAGTGTATATAGTAGATGGGAATATGGGATAAATTCTTAGCTGCAATCTACTACCACTAAAAAGTATCTGTTTTCACCCAAAAAAAAAAGTATCTATATTATAATTATATATATACCGCAAGGGAGGAGACATATATTTAGGGAGCATGCATGGTATGGTGTCGATTGTTATCATCTTTTTAGGGTTTGGATCCACAACCACATCTGCTTCTTTTCACTTTCTTTCCCAAACAAGAAAAAAGGGCCTTTCTTTTAACCACTATATATTATCTTTAATCATCATTCAACACCTTTTATTAAAAGGTCTTAATCACGCAAGGAAAGGGTTTACAGGGATAGAGATATATCATAGAACAGAGCATGACGTGTGTATTAACGTCGAGTAGTACCGTTTCCGCGTCCAGAACAACGTTTTGCTCGCACGTTCAGTTCAATGATGGCTCCTTTTTTTTCCCCCCCAGTATTGATTGACGACTTAATTTCCTCTTTTTCCCTGCCCAGTTTTTCTTCTCTTTCAGAAGTTTTGCTCATTTTTTTCTCTTTTCTTTTCTTCTGTCATTGCCTCATCATCATGGCTTGTCGGCCGGTTCGTACCACGGCAGCGGCCAAGATTCCCATTCACAAGAATGGGTGACAATTGTATCCACCTCCATTACATAATGGCTCGACTCATTGCTTGCCACTGTAGTTAGTGTTTTATTGGTTGGCAATGGAAATATGCACACTCCCCCACATCACCCTATCCCATCATCTCAGTGTGTTCTCTTTTCGTCTCCACAATATCAACATAGTATAACCTGTATTAAACACGGTTGATGTACCCAAATCGCGACAATCGTGCATCCTCGCTATCGTTGTATTGTAAGCCATTCCGAACCAGATTGTAAATGTCACAAACCAGTTGTTCTGCTGAAAAAAAGAGTTCAGCAGAACTACAGCATTCAAAAGACACCAGTCAAGAAACTTCCCTGTATAATTTGTTTCATCACTCACCCCCAAGCAACCCTCCTGTTCGTTGCTACACTATCAAAATGAGGCAGGCAAATGATAAATAACCTTAGAAGGCAGAACCTGCGCAAGTCGATCTCTAACAACATAAGCAAGCTTGTGGTCTTTGGAGTCGAGCCGCTAATGGAATGCAGCAGTTTCGTCGGCAAAGTGTTGGAGCAAGCTCTCTATGCTCATCACCGAGTGATCCGCAATGTCTCTGACCCGCACACTCACCTGCATTACCACACTAGTCCATTAGCTCTACGAGCCAAACAAGCAAATGCCTCTTAAGTGAAGGCCAATTTTGAGCTCTCATCATTTACGATATCTAGGTAATATGTGAGCAGCTGGAGTTGAAGAACCACAAAATTATTAAGTACACCAATCTGCATAGTCGCACAGTGGCAGCAGTAGAGTTGTACCTGGCCTGTGTTGGCTTCCTCTTCGCCGACAACTAAAATGTAGTTGTACTGTGCTATTTGGGCCTCTCTTACCTGGATTAACCCAGACAAATCAATTGAGTAAATATATGCACGTACACTTATCTCAATAGGGTAAAATGGGATTATAAGCATAGAAGCTGCATGCAAACCTTTTTCTGGATCTTCCTGTCTGTTATATCAGCATCCGCATAATATCCAGCTTGATGAATCCTATCTCGTACCTGTAATTCAACCAAGAATATGTCGTTATCTCTGCTAAGCTTAGGTTGGATGATAGAGAACAGATTAACAAGATGATAAAAACACAGGACAGAGGATCAAACTCCATTAAACGATCACAAATTTCAAAAGATAAGCCCTTGGAAATTTATAATAAACTCTGCTATAGGAGCCTGGGTGAGAGAGAAACTGAGTCTGAACTCTGAACAACAGCATATAAAGAGAATCTGTAACTAACTTGTTTTGCATAGTCCACTGATTTGGCAGACACAGGACAGACAATTGCTTGACGTGGGCTAAGCCAGAAAGGCCACTTCCCCTTGTAATGCTCCAATAGTATAGCAAACATACGTTCCACAGATCCCAGGATTGCTCTATGTATCATCACTGGCCTTTCTAACTTGGTTTCATCCTCAGCAGAGAATTCCAACTTGAAACGATCTGGAAGCTGGAAGTCAAGCTGCAACCGACATCCATAACCAATTATGAGACAAAATGCAGCAATGCACTTTTGAAGAAAAGAAATCAAAACAACAGAGGAAAATCATCTCAACCTGCAATGTGGCACACTGGAATTTCCTGTTCAATGCATCAGATACACTGATATCTATCTTAGGACCATAAAAAGCACCATCCCCTTCATTTATCTGTAAATGCAAGAATGTATGCATTAGGATTCAAGAGACCATTTGAGATCTCTTCTTTGGCCTGTGGAGTTGTGCAACAATATAACAAGCACCAAATAACATCAGAATATCCCCTAACGTGAAGAAAAGCACATACCTGCCACGCCTTCCCAAATTCATTCAATGCTTCTGTCAGAGCAGCCTCAGCTTTATCCCATGTTTCCACCTCCCCTAGATATTGCTCCGGCCTCTGGCATATAGATAAAATTACAACATAAGGAGTCACCCCTTCAACCCCTTACAGGCACTGATGAGTAGAAAATATTAGATGCTCAGGGAACGCATTCAACCAATCCACATCCACTGAAAAGCAATAGCAATAGCAATCATAATAAAGCATATAAACTTGCAAAATGGTAGATAGGACAGAGTGCCGGATATTTCATAGGAATCAAAGCGAGCATATGGCCCTGAACATGCATATAGAATAATCTTGATCTCTCATCACATACTGCATATAAAGCAGCATTAAATCTAATGTGCACTTTATTAAACTCATCTGATCTCAACTAAGAAACACGTAAATGAGATCAGCCCCAAGTATGCCCAGCTATGAATACTGAACCACATTCATGATAGAGCTAGAACTTTGCTATCTTCCCAAAATTTGAGCAAGATATCTCATTAGATTATGAAGTTCCCATCAGAAAGCGTTTTTGAATAATCAAAAAGAAATATCATACCGTAGAGAGCTTCAGCTCATAAGTGAATCCAAATATTTTATATGCATAATCAATGAAGTCCAAGACACCTCTCACTTCGTCTTTTATCTGTGGAAAAAAATGAGAATGTATCTTTCAGCAAATCTTCTCACCTATAAGTACTTCATTATGTAAACAGAACTGTTGGGCATAAGATTAGAAATATCACCTGGTCCTCTCTGCAGAAGATATGAGCATCATCCTGTACAGAAAAGAAATGTTTGGCTTCAACAGCAAAAATAAAATAAGACATATATACATAAGAGAAATGAGAAACAAAGAAATATTCATCAGACTAGACAGGCGTAAGAACTAGACAGTTCATCGACAACTGACAATACATCAACAATAACATACAGGAGTTCTAACCGGATATGAACTTCTAAATCTGTTAATCAAAATCTAATGCACTAGTAATAACAGCTATATCTCACTGTAGGCACCCATCTTCTTGACTGACAATGAAACACGTAGTGCCAAACCCTTATGTCAAACAGTAAAAACATTGCTTATAACCACCTGCTGAAACCTACGAACGCGAGTTAACCCTGTGAGTGCACCACTAGCCTCGTTGCGATGCAGGGCACCAAAATCTGCCATACGAATAGGAAGTTCTGCAAAACCAGAATAAATGAAAGGAGTTAAAATGAGAACCCAAAGGACAAAGTATAAAGCAAGAATATCAAAATCTTTGTCCCAGGCAACAGACTACATATTGAAGATTCATTGAAGAAGACTCTATGACGGAATGGCAATAGATGAAACCAAAGTCACCTCTGTAAGAGCGAACTCTATACTGGAACATCAAACAATGCCCAGGACAATTCATTGGTTTCAGCCCAAATTCTTGCTTTTCAATCTGCAACAACAGAAATCATCAACTGGAAGTTAATATCTTTAAGAAGTATGGTATGACTAATTGCATTGAAGTATGAAGCAAAGCAATATCCACACAGAAAAACAGTTTATTCTCCTTTCCCTTTTTTGGCAAATCACATTGGAATCAGTCAAAGCACAACTTTACACAACACCCAAATGAACTCCTAGATAAACAACACTACAGTTTGAAATATATTAAGAGTGACACACCATTCTATCTTAACCCCCTCAGAGAAATAAGAACATAATGCCTCTTCACAAGAGCCTAGACTAATACTGAGGAAGCCATATCAATCTGAAAAGTGCTATCAAATAAGAGTTGAGTTGCTAATGTACTCACATTAAGCAGAAACATGTTATCCCTGTAATTTGCAGCATGCCCAGATGTCTCCCAGAGTTTCATGTTATACATATTTGGGGTTTTGACCTGCGAATTTTAATGAAATTAGACCGAGTATTTGTCAATGTGAGCTTACTTGAACATGCGCTAACTAAGCAGCATACCTCCTCATAACCCCTCTGGATATATTGAGATTTTATGAACCCCATTAGTTTGTTGTAAATCCGTGTCCCATGAGGAAGGAAGAACCAACTTCCAGGGCTGAGAAACCACCGAACATGAAACAATATGTCATTTTGCTATGATCGAAGAAATTAAATCCATATTAGGGAGAACTGTGCTCTACCTCAACGGATGACAAAAGAAAAGTTCCTGCTTTGTCCCCAACAATCTGTGGTCATACTTCTTTGCTTCTTCCAGGTTTTTAAGATACTCCTGCCAGAAAAGATGGCATTCAGGAATTAGAATACTTGTTAAACCCAACCAACAGGACATTGTACAATGATGCAATGGCACAACATACCCATTAACATAAGTCAAAAGGAAGAAAAAGATGCAATGCCAGAAAAAGAAGAATACTTGTTAACCCAACACAAGACATAGCACAGTGATGCAATGGCACCAATTAACCATTAACAGAAGTCAAAAGGAAGGAAGGGGAGGGGGGGTGGTGGCAGACCTTCAGACGCTTCTGGTCAGGGTATGATATTCCATATACCCTCTGCAAACTTTCACGGTCTTTGTTCCCCCTCCAGTAGGCAGAAGAAGCCTGCAAAATTCCAAATATTAAACCCAACTCCCTGTTGAGCAGATCAGGAACACAGCTATATAGGTAACAGGAGAATGCATCACAGTCAGCCTCATCGGCAGAGCATGTAGTTAAGAAGTCACCTTCAAGCATGCAAATGCCTTTACAAAGGATGTGTTTGGGATATGGGGACCACGGCACAGATCCACCAGCGGACCACATCTGTACACAGTAATAGTTTTGTCTGAAGGCAGGTCGTTTATGATTTCAACCTGATTATTTTAAGACACCCAAAAAACCGAATAAGCAAACACATGAACAGTCCCATGGTGAGCAAAACCTTAACCACCATTGTCAAATTACCTTAAAATTGTTATCAGAGAAAATCTCAAGGGCCTCATCCCTGGTAACTTCAATGCGCTCAAAATCTTGTCCTTCCTAGAAAGAAATGGACATCAGGTACTTGAGCAACTTTCAGTGAATGATAATCAATATACAAGTACAAATGTGAAAAGAGGATTGGCATAACTGATTCAAGATCTGACAGAGTGTTCGTCAAGGGGACAGAACAAGATTTTTTTTTTATGAATGATTTTGTATTTGTATTAATTACTGTTGTTTGCTCAAAAATTAAGAGCTCATCTGTGTTACAACTGAGTATAACATGAGAGAATATTACAACAATTGATGAAAGAGAATTCTCAGGTTATGGGGGAAGACGATGTAGTTACATAGCCAGAACAAGAATATTGTAAATCAAGTTTTAGAAGAAACATGTTGAACAGGTAGTTTCAGCACAATAAAAGAAATTTGAGAGAGCTACCTGGTCTAGACAAATAGGAGCATCGTTGGATAAATGTAATGAAGCAGCTAGACCAAGAGATTAGATAGCAACTACGCAAATAGAATTAGGGGAGTACCTTGACAGCTTTTGAGGCTGCAGCTTCAATTTGCTTGAAGTGTTCATCATTTAAACCTAATTCCCCATAGAACGCATCATAGTAGAATCCCTACAGCCCCATGGTATATGCATACGGAAGGTGACACACCTCGAATCAAAGCCACATAAACAGACTCACAGGGGAGAGAGGAGTGGGAGGGAGGGGGAGAGAGCGAGAGAGAGAGATTATTGAAAGAAACGGTAAGGTACAGAGGGAACTACTTTAGACTAGAGCATACCTCCCCTCTGGTGGTGCAAGGTCCAATGCAAAGCTTGCAACCATATGTTTGTTCCAGTGACTGCCAAAATCAAGAAAAACGTCAGGTAACAAGAAAACCAAAATTTGCCATCTATACCTTGGGGCCCTAAGCTGTCACATAAAGAGAGACATGGACATAGAATTACAGAACGATGAAAATTCTGAACCCCGGCAATACTCATACCACCATTACCCAGTATGCTTTCTATCTTACCAAGCTATTTAGTAGTAGCCAGGGTGTTTCCACAATGGATATATACATTTTCCATTAGTAAGAAGATCACCTTCCCCCGCCCCCCCCCCCCCCCCCACCCCCCCCCCCCCCCCCCCCCCCCCCCCCCCCCCCAAAACTCATCCATCAAGAGACAGAACAATCTAAGCTGTATACTAATGGTGTTATGATTCCAAAGGCACACCAGGTCAAGTGTAGTTCTCTTCGAGACTTAAGTGGGACACTTACTAAACTTATTTTGTTTAGCACACTTTCTAATCGTGCTTGCCATTTATCTTCAAAAGAAAATTGAAGGGATTGGTATCCATGTCCAGTATTGAGGAATCTATGTATTGACTATAACCAGCTCTGGAGTTGCCCATTTAACAAGACACTCTCATCTTCTTTTCTTGTAGTGGACAGTTGAAATATTATATGAACAGTTATA